AGCCACGCCACCGCATTGGCCTTTGTTCTGTTTCTGTAACCAGGCGTTCGTTCATGCACTGCATGCATGCCTGCCTTGCCCGCTATTATCGAGTCTCATGCCATGCTCTTATTTTTTTTTGATTCGTGGGGGATTTATCTCGTGGCTTGTTTTTTTTTCCAGACATACTAACACACACACACACACACACACAGACAACTATCGAGCTAACAACCACTTTGCTATCAGATGCACTGTAGTCTCGTCTTATGGAGTGTTCGGATTTCCACACATTTTCTTTCTCCGCATACACCGTACATATATATATATATATATTCTTTTTTTTTCTCCCTCAAATTTCTAAACTTGTGACTTGGAGAAATAAGGATAAAGAAAGAAAGAAAGAGAAGAAAAAAAAAGGGGGGGGGAGAGGAGGACGGAAAAAAAAGGAGAAGCAGGAAAGAAGGAAATGCGACCTCTTGTTTCTTGTACATGTCCCTTTGGATGGTTTATTTGTTTGTATATATATATACTAGGGGCTGCTAAGATCTACGTAGTTCTGCCTGAGAAGATTAATACGTAAGTAGCTGGTAATTATATATGCTTTACCACACAACTTCTAGACAAGGAGTTGGGGGAAGAAAAGAGGAGATGTGTGTGTGTGTGTGTGGCTATCATGTCTTGTCGTCTAGTCTACTCTACAGTGCCGTTTCCCGAACGCTCCATGCCGTGCCGTGCCGCGCCGCGCCGTGTAAACTAATATTGCTTGACATTGCACTCAATTCCTACCTACCACTCTCATTCCGCATCCCACTCCCTCTGCTTCTAATGTAGTACATAAGTACCTCGCCTAACCCCCCCCCCCGCCATCTCATGCATAGCGACGCGAAGAAGAAGAAGAAAAAAAAGGATATAACAAAAGGAGATGGATACGTAGACTCGAGTCTGTATCCTGCATACATACATACATACATACATACATACATACATACATACATACATACATACATGCATGCATGCATGGGTAATAAGAGGTAGAAAAAAAAGGGGGGGGGAAACAAGATGAGAAAGACACGGGAAAAAAGGACAAAGAGAAAGGGAAAGGGAAAGGAAAATGGGCGTGAGTACTTTACTCACTGTGCAAGACGTGTACTTTGGTGTATAGGTAGGTAGGTAGGTGTACACATACATGCGCCTGGGCTTCGGGTAGGAGGTGTATGGTGTATTTCTCACGTGTTTCTTCTTCTTTTTCTAGTCCAGTTCACTCTTTATTCTTTCTCCCTTATTCTACTTCATCTTACTCTACCCTCTACTCTCTACTCTATCCGCGGAATCCACATCCCCCTGCTTACCCCTCTCCTCCCCTCTCCTCCCACAATATTTGTTTCTTTTTCCGCGCTTCCCCCTTCCCCCCCCCCTTTTTTTTATTTTCTTCCCCTCTACGTATTTAATTTTTTTCCCCAACATGCACACTCACACACGATTGCATTTTCTTTTTCCTTGCAGATACATAGTGATGGGATAGAGTCTGGCATGATCAATCACGACATGTACTTACTCTACGGCTCGCTTGCTGGCGGCTAGTTGTGGCATGTCCATGGCAATCAGATTCAGAGTACAATGTATATTCGTCTTCTCAAATATATAGCGAGTATGCATGTTTTTTTTTATGTTTTTTTTTGCCGTTCTACTCACTACTGTATATCCGACAGATATCGCTATACTCCACCTCGACTTGTCTACACACGCGTGTATCAACCCAATCTGGCCTAGATGTCAAAAGCCGGCTGTCGTACCCTCAGCTTCAGCAACACGTGTGCACGGAGATAATCGGCGCATGTCCGCAACCGATGCGACAAGCCTCATCAACGCAAAACCCTCCGTATCCTGCACCACATGGACACTATTGCCTCAGAAGCCCTGCTGACGAGTCATGCAGTGAGCCTCGCGTGTATGCGCCGCAAAGGCATGTACCGTAACGAGCCTGACGACACTTTTTTTTTTCTCGGTCCAGGCCGTAATCCCACCCTGTCGCATAACTGTCGGCATGTATAGCTGTACATGCTCACACGTGACGGCATTGACAGGACCAGGTTCCCATGGTGAGGGCTTGCTGGGGGGCCTAAAGATAACGAACGGCACAACACCCAGGCTGCCAGGTGTGCGAAACAACAGCCACCACCACCACCCCCACCCCCTGGTCTGCATGAGAATGCGCCGTCTCGCTTCACAGCCATGCAGTGTGACAGGAGAAAGCGAGTGGACGGAGGGTGTGCGCAGAGACTCGAGTGGTGTGTGCGCTGCTCAGGCGCAAAGTGGGGTTCATCATGTCTGGCAATATTGGCAAGCGTTGCTAGAGAGATATCGTTTGCGTATTTCCTCTTCTAGACCGTCTTGGCGTTTGCTCGAAGGATTGCTTGGATGCGTCAAATCAGGGAATAAGACGTTAGGACCTGGTGAGGCGGTGGTGCTCAGACGACGCGGGGATGCGACACGCACTTTCTCCTGCAGATCCCCCTGAAGGGTTGAGTGGGACCCAGAGCGCCAAGGGCTGAGCCGACGACGGTGCGAATTTCTTCTGATTGAGGGGTTCAATGAGGGGAGATTGCGTATATGCGACGAGCTTCAGGGTTGCGGCCATGAGGTTGCAGCTGGCCAGTCTGCTTGCATGATGCTCATTTGCATCATGGGGGTGCCGTGGCAGGCCGAGTGCCACAGCACGTCAAGACTGTGTCGGATCAACAAAATCAATATCAGCGTCTTCCGTCTGGTTGAAGATCCCGTGCGGGGGTGCAGACGGCTTCAATGCTCTTTTGAAGAACCTGTCGACTCGGGGCTGGGCATCTTCCTCGTCGCTGCCGAAAACGTTGTCAATCTTCTTCCCACCTATCCGCGAGGCGTGTTCTAGTCGTGCACACATTTGCTCTATCGAGTTCTTGGTTTCGAGGATGGTGATGTCCACCACGGCACCAGCTTCAACGATAGAGTTGCCCAGCAGCTTCATTTGCCGTGCAAGTGCATCGACCTGTTGGTTAAAGTGCTTGACCTCTGACGAGGCCGGCACCGGAACTTCAACGGGGCACGAGTCTGTCTGCGTTGGCGTGGAACTCGAGAGCGGCTGGTACGGGACGGTCAATAGTCCCGGTCCGATAACGATGTCGAGAAGTGCCAATCGTGCGGCAAGAAGGCCGTAGTCGGTATTCTTGTTTATAAAGAAATGGGGTGATTCCGCCACATGCTCGAGTACAAGGTCATGTGCCTTCTGGTCAGCCAGCGATATCTGGACTGGCAGAGGATGGACGAGGAATGAAAGAGCCAAGTGACGCTGTAGGTACGCAGTCAATGGAGACGTCGCTGGAAGGGCGCATATCAGGTTCCTCTGCAACACGGGATGCGTAACTTTGGTAAGCAGCTGGGGTATGAATGCATTCAGCTGTGAAGCGATTAGAAACTGCACAACGTGTGAAAGGAGACATCTTACGCCCGAGATGAGCTTATTGTTGTCGGCGAAATGGCAAATCAGGGCTTCTACAGCGTCTTGAATCGTACGCAACATGTCCGAGTCTGTGGCGACACGAGTGTCCAGGCATACATGACACAACAGGTACAATGCGTGATTGCGAGCAGCCGTATGCAGCCTAAGAGTGTCAGTCGTACGAGAATCGGCGGAGGGCTGTCTGCTTACCATGGCGCAGATCGTGCAAGTAGTGCAGCGATTGACTTCAATGATGGGGGAAGTAACGTTTTGGTTTCGAATCTTGGCACAGATATGGGCGCAAGTTGGGTGTGCGCTTCAAACTGTGTCAGGTTGGCACCTATTGTGCTGAACATGGCGTCCAACCGTTGTGAATCGAGCAGGGTGTGCAGATGCTCGTGGTGCGCCTGTTGATGTCAGTGGCTGGCCCGTGTTGGCCTTGGATGAGGTCGCACCTCCAAGATTTCCAGGTACTTGCAATTCAGCACCTCGCTCTGACTATAGCGGACTACAACGATTAGCGAGGAGAGACGCAACATGGCATCATGCTCACTTTGGTCAATCATCCAGGATGCAAGCTCCTCGGGGAGATGGTGGGTGCGGAAGATTTGCTGTGCAAAGCCAGTCATGAAAGCCAGATGTCTGGTGTTGGCATTCTGAAAGGCAGAAACCCAGCGCTGTTGAGGAAAGGCAGTGATGGGGAATTTGCTGTGCGTCGAGACTGCATCTGCCGTGTCTTTGAAAAAGTAAAAGACACTCTCCATCTGTGTCGCGTTTGTTCTCTGCATGGCCTGGAGGAGCCGATGGGCTTTTTCCGGGCCGTCATCGTCGTCTTGCAAGACTTGCCCTAGTGTTTCTTCGTTGATGGCGACCTTTGCGGTGGCTGGCTCCTGCTCGGCCTCGTCCAAGACAGCTTTGCGCTCCTGGATCTCGCGCTCCGTCTCCAGTTTCTTCTGCGTCGTGCGTACCAGGGAATTGAATTTTCGCTTGTCGTCTTTGAGCTTCTTGGTAGGCTTCCTGAGTCCATCCTCGTCATTGTCGGACGTGCGCTTAGATCGGGTTGCAATGTGGGCTGTCGGGGTCGCGAGGGGCTTGGATTTGTGCGGCGGGAGGTTGAAGTCGAGGTCGGGCAGCGAATCGTCATCGTCATCGGAGTCCGAATTGGGCACCACGTCTTTCCGATTGAAAATTATGCGCCTGCTCGGGGCGGGGTTTGCGGGAGTGTGGACGGGGCCCGACTGGGAGGCGGGGACGGGAGGGTTTGTTGCATCTGGGGTGACGATGAGATGATGGCGCGCGGGCGGGGGAGCGTGTACATACTGGCTTGGGGCAGGGCAGTCTGCGAGTCTTGGGAGCTCTGGGGGGTTCTTGGCGCGGAGGAGAAGAAGTCGCGGATGCTCTTCTTGTGCGGCTTCATGGCAGGCGGGGATGCGTACATGGAATGAGGGGGAGGGGGAGGGGGAGGGGGTCACGCGTCTGGTGGGCTGGATGGCGCGGCAACACGGTGGGCGCCGAGGCACGGTGTCACGTGATGGGTGGCTTGGCACGCACACGCGGTGAGCTAATACTGTAGTAGTTAGCGCAAGTGGGTGGCCGCTCGTGGTGGGCGCGCTCTGGAAGGCCCTGGGCGCTTTCTCCCGAGATGGAGGCACACACACACACACAGGCACAGGCACGCGCACCATCCATCATGCACCCACACCAAGTGCCAGTGCCAGTGCCAGCGCTGAGCGGGCGGGCTAAGTCCATCTGCCGTTGACGACATGCATCGGATTGCGCCTCGGCCGACATCCGCCCCGGAGGCTCGCTCTCGCTCTTGTCGACTGGCAACGGGCGGCACTGGAGATTGACCACGTCCGGATCCGAGGGACCCGCCGCCACCGACGGCTGGACTGGGAGATGACGCAGGTGCATGCACTGTGCAGTGGTTGTGCCATCTCGAGCGGCAGTGGCAGCGATGGCGAGGGCAAGGGCACGGAGGGGAGCGAGGGCATGGAGGGGATGGAGGGGGGTGAGCAGCCTCATGAGTGGCCGTGCCAGCTGTCACGGTTTCGCTATTTGGGGATCACACAGAGGGGCGGATCTCTTTGCATTGCAACGGCCCAGGCTCCCTGATGGCACAGACTCGAGGATCTCCCGGCGACGAGCAGTGGCAGTGCGGAGTCGGGCGACAAATAAAGGGCGAAAAAAATAAATGACGCGCCATCCTGGTTGGATCCCGTCAGCGTGCAGCAGCTGCTTAGAAGGGCATGCGGCAGCTGAGTGAGCGGGCTTCCAAGGACGGGGGCGGAGGGCTGATGGCTGATGGCTGATGTGGATGGGCGGTGGGTGGTGGAGGCATCATTACACATATATGACCTGTGGCAATGGGGCCTGACGAGGCTGCTCAAGAGACTTGGCCAGAGAGTCGTCGCCGGCCAGGCCACGCGTCGGCAGGGCGAGGCCAGAAACACACGGCGTCCACACGCAGACACGTACGTCGCGTCTGGCAGAGGCGTGCCGGACGGAGCGCGCGGCGGACCGGTCGGAAACACAGGCGCGTCGTGGTCGACGAGGGCGAAAGCGAGGGCGAGGGCGAGGGCACTGCCCGGCCGAGCCCATAATAATAACATGGTATGAGGCGAGGCAGGCGAGGCAGGCCGTGTGTTTCCCGAGCCTATGGGGCTTTGCTACCGCGACAGCGGCGACTACTAGCCCTACCACTAGGTGTACAGCAGTATTGCTAATTCTGCCTCTGCTTCTGCTGCTGCTGTAAGTAAGCACATGCGCATCATCAGCAAAGCAAAGAGCAGCTAAAGCCCCAGCGCCGCTTCAGGGTCTCGCGCACACACACACACACACACACACATTCGCACCCATATTCTCTCTCCCTCTCCCGCTCTTGGACGCGCCCGTCGTGCTGCTTCCCCTCGTGCTTGCTGCGTGTGCTGTTGCTGTGCGCTTGTCGCTGCGGCTGCCATTGCTCTCGTCCTCTGCTGCGTCTGCATTTGCATCTGCATTTGCATCTGCATCCGCCGCCGCCGCCGCTGTCGCACTGCTTGAGGAATCGCCCTACCGCGGCGCAGTCGCATAATCGCCCTCTCGCTGCGCCCAGACTGAACTACTGTTTGGTCTTCGTAACCGCTGTTTCTCGTCCGGCGGCGTCTTCTAATATCCGGGCCCTGCCATCACCCATCCGCTCCCACCCTCCGCCACAACATCACCACCCGCTTCCACCACCACCACCACCGCCCACCACCACGACGCCCGCCCTCGTCGCACCCCCCATATGTACTGATCCCTCGCCACGCCGCACCGTCCGCCCCCATCCCTCCACATTGGCCTGCACCGCCGCGTAGAGCCTTTCTGGCTCAGGCTGTCGCCTTCCCTGCCGCTCCTCCGCAGCATCCCAGACGACAAGCACCATGACGCTGCAACCCCCCCAGGAGCCCGACGAGACCGAGGTGTCGCATCCCCAGAAGCGCATCCGCTGTGAGTCGTCTTTTTTGCTTTGCTTGCTAACGCCATAGAAGCCGCGCCATGCGCTGACACGGCATGCAGGGGCAACACACCGCGCGACAGGCACCAAGGCAGCCAACAAGCGCAACTCGCTCAAGGAACGCCTGCACCGGCGCATCGGCTCGGGAGGAGAGAAGCGGGACTCGCTGGGCAAGGAAGATGGCTCCCAGGGCGACCACTCGCTCGAAAGCTCAGACGGCGATGCCGACATGCCCGAAGAACAACATGACGCAGGCCGGCGAGTCTACTTCAACGTGCCCTTGCCGCAATCCGAGCGCGACGACGAAGGCCATCCCATCGCACAGTATGCCCGCAACAAGATACGAACCGCAAAATACACGCCCCTCAGCTTCGTCCCTAAGAACCTGTGGTTCCAGTTCCACAACATTGCAAACGTCTACTTCTTGTTCATCATCATTCTGGGTGTACGTTGTCGCCCGCCCGCTTCCCTCCACCCTGCACACTAATCCAATTTGTCCAGATCTTCTCCATCTTCGGTGCCTCGAACCCTGCCCTCAATGCAGTGCCCCTCATTGTCATTCTCGTCGTCACGTCGATAAAAGATGCCGTCGAAGACTGGCGCCGAACCGTCCTCGACATGGAGCTGAACAACGCCCCGGTCCACCGCCTCATCGACTTCAACAACGTCAACACGGCCGAAGACTCGGTCTCACTCTGGCGCAGAATCAAAAAGGCCACCACCAAGAGCATCATCACAACATGGCGGCTACTCAAGGGCCTCAAGGGCGGCAAGGGTGCAAAAGGCAAGCAAGGAAGCAACCAGGGCGCTGATGGCCCGGGACCTTCGATTGACACACGGCGCGCCTCGGTCGTGTCGCACAGGGAGTCGTACATGGGAAATGAGGGCGATATTCAAATGACACCTGTGCCTTCGCCGCTTCCAGGCCAGTCGCCGTCTTGGCCTACTGGGCCAGGCGCCGATGACAAGATTCGTGGCGTCGATGCCAAACCCGAAGTGCAGCAGAAGTTTTGGGGCAGCGTGCTCAACCCTTACAAATCCGCCCCCGAAAAAGCCCGCTTCAAAAAGGACGCCTGGAAGAACGTGCAGGTGGGCGATTTTGTGCGTCTATACAACAACGAGGAAATCCCCGCCGATGTCATTGTGCTCTCCACGTCTTCCGACGACGGCGCCTGCTACGTCGAAACCAAGAACCTCGACGGCGAAACGAACCTCAAGGTGCGCAATGCCCTGCACTGCACGCGCGATGTACGACACGCTCGCCATTGCGAACGTGCCGAGTTCGTTATTGAAAGCGAGGGCCCTCACTCGAACCTCTATTCGTACAGTGCAGCCATCAGGTGGCAGCAGCACAACGCAAAGGACCCCGAGGCGCCCCTGTACGAAATGGTCGAGCCCATTTCCATCAACAACCTGGTCCTCCGTGGATGTCAATTGCGAAACACGGAATGGATTCTTGGAATCGTCGTTTTCACTGGTGAGGAAACCAAGATTATGATCAATTCCGGCATCACGCCTAGTAAGCGAGCCCGAATCTCCAAGGAACTCAACTGGAACGTCGTGTACAACTTCATCATCCTGGCCGCCATGTGTCTGGTCTCTGGAATTGTACTGGGAGTTACTTGGGGTCGAAACGACACTTCACACTCGGTCTTCGAGTACGGATCCTATGGAGGCGCCCCTGCCACAGATGGTGTCATTGCCTTCTGGGCTGCTGTCATTCTCTTCCAGAACTTGGTCCCTATCTCTCTCTACATCACACTGGAAATTATTCGCACCCTGCAAGCCCTCTTCATCTACAGCGACATCAACATGTATTACGCAAAGCTCGACTATCCTTGTACGCCCAAGTCGTGGAACATCTCGGATGACGTCGGGCAGATTGAATACATCTTCTCGGACAAGACGGGAACCCTTACCCAGAACGTCATGGAGTTCAAAAAGGCGACCATTAACGGTGTTCCCTACGGAGAAGCATACACAGAAGCCCAGGCTGGCATGCAGCGAAGACAAGGTATCAATGTCGAGGTCGAGGGCGCCAAGGCTCGCGATCAGATTGCAAGGGACCGTGCGCGTATGCTTGAGGGCATCCGGAAGATGCACGACAACCCTTACCTGTGGGACGACGATCTTACTTTTGTTGCTCCGGACTACATTGACGACCTCCGTGGGGAATCTGGCCTGGAACAGAAGAGGGCCAATGAAGAATTCATGGTTGCTTTGGCCCTCTGCCACACCGTTGTTACCGAACGCACTCCAGGCGACCCCCCAAAGATTGAATTCAAGGCCCAGTCGCCCGACGAAGCTGCCCTCGTTGCTACCGCCCGTGATGTTGGCTTCACATTTGTAGGCCGTGAGGACGACCGGCTCATCGTCAACGTCTCGGGAGAGGAACGCAGGTACCAGGTTCTCAACACACTCGAGTTCAACTCTAGCAGGAAGCGAATGAGTGCAATTATCCGTATGCCCGACAACAGGATCATCCTCTTCTGCAAGGGAGCCGACAGTATGATCTACTCCAGGCTGATCCCCAACGAGCAGCGACAGCTCCGTGCCGACACAGGAGAGCACTTGGAGATGTTTGCAAGAGAGGGACTGCGAACGCTGTGTATCGCTCAAAGAGAAATCTCCGAAGAGGAGTACCAAGAGTGGAACAGGGATTACGACATTGCTGCCAATGCTATCCAGGGACGTGAGGACAAGCTGGAGGAAGTGTCTGATCGCATCGAAAACCACCTCTGGCTCCTCGGAGGAACCGCCATCGAGGACCGTCTTCAAGAAGGTGTCCCAGAGTCCATCTCGCTGCTTGGTCAAGCCGGTATCAAGCTCTGGGTTCTGACGGGTGACAAGGTGGAGACTGCCATCAACATTGGCTTCTCGTGCAATCTGCTCGACAACGACATGGATCTCATCATTCTCAAGGTTACCGACGATAGGATCGAATCTGTAGAGGCCCAGCTTGACGAGAAGCTAAGGATATTTGGCCTTGAGGGATCCCAGGAAGAGCTCGATGCTGCTCAAAATGACCACGAGCCACCCCCACCTACACATGCTATCATCATTGACGGAGACACACTCAAGTTGGCTTTGGACGATTCCATCAAGAGAAAGTTCCTTTTGCTTTGCAGGAGGTGCCGATCTGTTTTGTGCTGCAGAGTCAGCCCCAGCCAAAAGGCAGCTGTTGTCAACATGGTCAAGACTGGGCTCGACTGCCTGACTCTGGCCATTGGAGACGGTGCCAACGATGTTGCTATGATCCAGGAAGCACACGTTGGCGTTGGTATTGCCGGTGTCGAGGGTCGAGCGGCTGTCATGTCTTCTGATTACGCAATTGGTCAATTCCGCTTTTTGACTCGCTTAGTGCTTGTCCATGGCAGATGGTCGTACCGCAGGCTTGCGGAGACGATTGCCAACTTCTTCTACAAAGTGAGCTGCCTTTTTTCTTTTTCTTGCCGACATCAATCACTTATGCTAACATTTGGTAGAACATCATTTGGACGTTTGCTCTCTTTTGGTACCAAATATATACCAACTTCGACAGCCAGTACATTTTCGATTACACGTACATTATTTTCTTCAACTTGGCCTTTACGTCACTGCCAGTCATTGTCATGGGTGTTTTGGACCAGGACGTCGATGACAGGGTGTCTTTGGCGGTTCCACAGCTCTATCGTCGTGGCATTGAGCGCAAGGAATGGTCGCAACCAAAGTTCTGGTAAGTGAGATACTCCCAATGTCCATGTAGGCTTTCTAACGTACTTGTAGGGCTTATATGGTTGATGGTATCTACCAGTCGGCCATCGCCTTCTTCTTCCTGTACGAGATCTTTGCGCCTGCAACATTCGCCACCTCGAACGGACTGGACATTGCCGAGTACCGACGCATGGGCATCTATGCTGCTACCACCGCTGTCTGTGCCGCCAACATCTATGTCCTGTACAACACTTACCGATGGGACTGGCTTATGGTCCTGATCGTCGTCATCAGTACCCTTTTTATCTGGCTCTGGACCGGCATATACACGTCCTTCACTTCAAGTCAGCAGTTCTACAAGGCTGCTTCCGAAGTTTACGGTAATCTTAATTTCTGGGCGTACATTCTGTGCGCTCTGACAGCTTGCTTGCTTCCCCGCTTCATCTTCAAGGCTACGCAAAAGATGTACTTTCCAATGGATGTCGATATCATCCGAGAACAAGTCAAGCAAGGAAAATTTGACTACCTTAATCAGACGACTTCCTACATTCCTCCGCCCCCCGAAAAGGCAGCGCCAGAAGTCGAGACCCCTCCTGAAGCCGATCCTACCAAATACAAAGCCGCGCATGCCAGTCCTGCAGATGAGGATGTACGACCAATATACCCTCCTTCGGTTGCTCCCACGGCCACCACACATAATCCAAGAAGTCAAAACGGTAGTAATAGCACCGACTACACGTTCCGTCGATCCATGGAAGGCCTCCCACCAGCACCAAGTTCAGACGGTCCTCCACTTGCCCCGCGTATGTCGACCGAGTGCCGAGTCCGGCCGAGCTTTGACCGTGCGCGCATGTCGATGGATCGCGTGCGCCCTAGTTTCGAGCAGAGCAACGACTTCACTTCAGCAGCCATGCTGACACGTCTGGAGTCATCGCACAGCCGGCCTAGCTACCAGGGCCACCGAAACAGCTACCAAGGTGTGGCTCCTGGCTCCATGGCCAACATGAATAACGACCCTACCGCACAACCCGCGGTCATGAGCCGGTTGCGCAACGCAATACGGAGGGCGACCATAACACGCGAGGAGGCTCCAGAACACCTCCAATCAAACGACGACGTACCAGAAGTGCCCGCGGTGCCTAAATCGCCGCCAAGGAGTCCGCCCAGGTAGTAATAAGAAGTACACTGCGGCGATGACCTGATTAATGTAATTTGTGGAGAAAGCAAAAAGAACTTTTAAGGGATGAAATGAATTGCATAGCGTGCGCCGGGCCCCTTGCCCAGTCTTTTTTTTCTTTTTTTCTTTTTCTGTTTCTACCTCTATATATCCATCTATACCTCTCTCTCTCTCTCTCTACCTATGTGAGTGTTTGCTTCTATCCAGACTCTTTCATTTTCTTCATCTTTTTTTTCTCTTTCTCCTTGCTCTATCTTTGGTTTTTTGTTGTTGTTTCGACTATTAACGAGTGCCTCCTATCTCTCTTCCTCCTCACGACTCCCTCCCACACTACCTCTACCACCTCTTCACCCCCCCCCTTTTTTTTCCTACGCTTGTAAATAGCCTGCCAAATCTTGTTTATTACCTTGCTTCCTCCCCTTTACTACTACTTTTGCTCTTCTTTTTCTACTTGTTGTTGTTGCTGTTCATACACATAGGCCCACATACATACACACACACACACACACACATACGCACCAACACACACACTCACACGGGCTTTTGACTTGGCTGTCGTCTATCTACATGTAGACTATGCTGTATTGTTCTTTTTTCCTCACATCTTCTTTATCCTGATATGCAATGAGTTGTTTGTGTGAATGACTATGTAGTGTGCACAATCAAAATGCTGCTGCTGCTGCTGCTTATGATGATGATGAGAAAAGCAGTAAACCCATCTCTTTTTTTTCTTTTCTTGTCCGTTGTTCTACACGCATACATGGTTTCAAAACACGCCTTGTGAGTATACCTTCTCTTTCTCTATCCCGATATCCACCTATTCTCTCTCTCTCTCCCTCCCTCTCTCTAATCCTCAATTACCCACATACACATTTCTTCAACCTAGATCAACACAACACAAGACTAATAATACTTCTACACTCTACCCCTGCTACACCCCCCACGTATAAGCCATTGTTACCACAGCCACACAGGAATACATACAAAGACGTACGTCACTTTCATACCAAGCACAGTCACAGTGCAGGCGCAACACACTTGCGTCATCATCATCGTCATTATCATTAGTATTTACTTTTTTTTCCATTTCCTTTCCCACCCTCCTGCTCCATTTCCTTTGCTTTTCTTTTCCCCTGTTACTTGCGCCTCCTCCTCCATCCTGATCATTCCGCTTTTTCTTTTCCTTTTCTTTTCTTTTCCCCTGTTACTTGCGCCTCCTCCTCCATCCTGATCATTCCGCTTTTTCTTTTCCTTTTCTTTTCTTTCTCGTTTCCTTTGCTTGCTTGCTTGCTTGCTTGCTTACTTACTTACCCGCTTTGCTTACTTTTTCCCCCCTCTTGTGCATCCATGTCGTCTTTACTTTCCCTTTTCCCTTTTCCCTTTTCCCTGTTTTCCGTTTTATTTTAATTTTTATTTTTTCCAAATGTTCATTCTTTTGCCGACCGGTGAGATCTGGTCTTGGCTTTGGCGGTCGCGGACATGGCCTGCTTGGCTAGCAGGCACGTCCCCTGGAAAACCGTGGCAGGGTTTTTATGCTGTTTTGTTTTCTCGTTTTTGTGTTTGTTTTGCGCACAGGGAGGGGGCGCTTGGGTATATGCGCTGGAACGCTTTGTTTTGCGCACGGGGGAGCAGAGAGTGGGGGGAGGGGTGTAAGGGTGAGGGCGGGGATGGGATGAGTAAGGGGTGGGGAAGGTGGGTAAGGGGTACGTGGTTGGCGTGGTATGCATTGATGTTTTGTGTTTGTGGTCGCCCTTTGTGTGGTGCGTGTGGGGTAGGGATGGTGGCTCTTGTGTGGATTTTGGGCTGCTTTAATGCTTGTGGTGTGGTTGTGGCGTGATGACGGTAGGGAAAAGCGGCTGTTGAGTGAACTGGGTGTACGTGAAGAGCATGGATAGGAGATGGTATGGGTAGAATGTGGTTCCCTGGCTACGAAGGGAGTGTGCAAGGGGAGTTGCCGTGAAATGTTAGCATGTACCTGCGGTATGGAGAATAGTATGTTTAACAGGCGTGTTGTTTGGAAGCATTGAGAAATTTCTGGTCGTGAATAGGATATCTGCGCACTATTTCGTCTCGCTGAGCAGCCGCTTCCCTAGTTCGTTGGAGTTTCATACCACCGTCATGAGTTTACAGCACCTCACGGGGGCGCATGCAAACGCCGGTCTTTATCTCCTTGCATTTGACACCATATCAAAACGCGTACACGCAACTCTACAGTGTCTGGGTCAGTTTACGTCAATTAATCTCGTCGAATGCAGCGCGCGACATGATATACGCGACGACCGTTACCGGGCCTCCTCGCATCTTCATATGATGTAGAATGTCGGATAACAAAATCATCAATATCAATGCTGTAAACGTCAGTGAAAGTGGTCGTCGACTACACATGTACGCTAGGCAGCGGTTCATTGGATGTTAAATACGAATAAAGTGCCACCTTGCTACGAATCTAAAAATGGGAATCTGACATTTCCTGCCGGTGGCTCGGGTGCAAGAGTCAATGCTATTGACGAGGATAGCGGTAGGTATTGGAGATATGTTACATAAGATGTTTTATATGGCCGAAGAGGAGAGAGATTCCACGGCTGGATAGAATACCTCAAGCGGTCTTGATTGAATATCATTAACTTTTTTTGTCTAACTAATGCTTCCTAATGCTGTTTCTCAAGATTTCGTGGCAAATACACATACTTACCGCAGCAGCGCAGTGCAGTTCTCCCGCAACGGCAGCATCGTCTTCACCTGCACGCGCTCGTGGAACAACACCGAAGCCACCGGACGTGCTGCAGCCTACAGAATGGAATCTCCGGATAAACTCCCAGCAACACAGACGCTGACATATTATGAAGCGCCGCTATCGCTTGGCTCAGCGGGTGGTCTCCGAGTGGCGTTTCGGCATAATGAGGCGAATGCAAAGTCTGATATTATCACGTATTATACGTATTTTTCTGATACGCAGGTCGGATGTATGTATGTTTGAGGCTGGACGCTGACCAAGCACAGTTTGGAAATAGTGGCTGCGTAGAGATATCTTAAGGATGCAGCGCCTTGTGAGGCGGCTTTGATTGCGCTGAGGGGCGAAGGGCAGCTATATCATCTCGTACAAGTATTGCTATAGCCGAGAATGGAATGAATGCCAGGTATAATCTGGTTACATTGTTGCCTTTTTGAATGTGTTTTTGAGTAAGTCAAGTCAGGTATTATGTACAGACAGCACCAGTTATAAATGGCATTGAATCTCTACTTCTAAAATGCTAGCAAGCTAGCAATATACTAAAAGAACTAACCTTACTTGTATTAACATGCTGAGGGTTACTATAAGATTTTTTAAGGCAAATAGCGAAAATGCTAGAATGTTAGCAGGAGCGGTCTGAGCAGGAATAGAAAAAGAGACGCGCCCGAGAGAGAACCTGGAGAACTGGCGATGCTGGGCAGTTAGCCTGATTAGCTTAATATTAAGGGAGCGTACAACGGGGTGTGTAAAGGAAGATTGCTGCGAGGAAGAACGCACGAGACATACCACAGAAGTTGCTGAGGCTGACATAGATGTAGTACGGGCGACGATACGATTTGCAATAGTAATTTAAAGTCTGAACGTAAACTAGTATCTAACTACTAGGTAAGCCTTAGCTACAAATATCAACATATCGGTAGCCCCCTGCAATAGACAGCAGACAGCGCTTTAGCCGCTAAAGATAGGACGCACAACAATTAGAGAACATCTTGCAGAAGCCGACTATAAGCCAATCTGACACTAGTAATACTAGCCCACGAGCACCTAATAAGTAATAGTAGATAGAGAAAGAGCGTGCTAAGATATAGAGTATAGGGTCGAACCTAGATAGTAAGCTACATAAAGAAGTGAGGCAAAGAAAATGGGTAGACTGAAGCCAACACGTAGCAAAAAAAATTCAAGTTAGACTACTCAAAGTAAGCACTAGGTGTAGTTTAAATCCTTTGTGGCAACGCTAACAAACTATACCTCTAGTTATGCAGTTAAAAGTGAACTGAACTAAAACTAGAGCTTAACCAAACAGACTTTTAGTCTCGCTGTTACAACGTGATATTAGCCGCCATAACTCTTTACGCTGCTTAAAGAGTCTGTTGCATGTAGAGGTGCTCTGAAAGTTGTTGGGTCTATTATTACTGCTATCTACTATCTTCATTTATCTATAGTGCACAGCTACTGCCTTTTCTTATTAAGATGGTGTACCCTTGTCGACAGACGTTTTTTATTGATATAGAATCTCCTTGCCACATGCCGCTTATTAGTAGGGAATAACACGATTTTGATTACAGTGTAGGTCGAGATGGGTTGTGCGCAATCAAATCTTAGGCACACAGCTCTCATGCGCATACAATAGACTCGTCTAAGGATACATCGTCAACCCAAAGGGCCTCTAAACTCAAGTTATAAAAAACCCCACTAGGTTTGAAAATGAGAATAGGAATGCTAGAGACATAACCTATGAGAATGGCTAAGTCCAGAAAGTATATAAGCAACTTCCCCTAACTAGCTCACAATCATAGCTATATCAATATTAGCTTAACTCTATCTCTATAGATGCTATGCGACGGTAGTTAACCTAGTTACAAAATGTGTGACACGAATGTCGCTATAACAAAACACTACCCATATCACAGGGTATTGCAATAGCGCAGCGGTTTCAGGAAGCCGAGCAAACTATCAAAAATCTGTGAGCACAAATAAATTCCTGCTCATGTGAGGAGAGCCAGAACAGTCTGTCACTAACCCTGCCAATTCACTAAGAGAGGCGACAACAACTGTAGACTTCTCTCACCCTCCCACAGCCGACACAATGTTTCTTTATAGCGTCGTGCTAATGTGGGAACTTTTTACTTTTAAACAAACAGTTAGTGTCTTACTGCACTAAGCACATCTTCCAATCTCCTAAAATAGCACCTGCCTCTAGACCTAAGTGTCGATGATAATGGTAATATATAGTAGTATAACCTACATCCACAGTTCATGATCCACCTTAGCTCCAAAAAGACCTTTTTCTCGTCCATGTTTCTTCAGCAACGCCACGAGTCTCTTCGAGAACTGAAATTCAAACCGCTCTTAGGAAACATGTCTATGACTCTACAATGTGTGGATACGTTTTGTTTTTCTACTTGAATTGAAGTGTGTATGTATAACTAATAATACGTCGACAAACTTGACAAGCACCTACCAGATATCAGTGTTATTAATGGCAATCTATTAGATATAATCAATGTGCGTCTTATGACTATCCTGTTGTACGGGCTTCTATGCATTAAGAAATACTTGTATAGTTGGCGACTTCATTCACAGAACCCTGGCTTTCCCAGATCTTCTATGTAGTTTCAGAAACACAGTCATGAAAATATTTCATCATTGAGATAACCCAAAGTCGAACCAATTTACGATTCCCGTGAAACTTTGTTCCTTGACCCAGCCTATGATCACGTTGAATATTAGTAAAATTCGTCGAGATAGTATAATGGTATACGCACGCTGATAAGGGTCTTCTAGGTCCCCGCGCATAGCAAAACCATGCTCAACCCCAGAAAATAATTGGTGATGGTATGTCTTCTTTCCTTCCTGGAGAATGTCTAACGCGCGTCGTCTGCTGGCCAAATCAAACGTGTGATCAATCTCGGCACATGAAAGAAACAATGGTTCTGAGTTGATGTGCGTTAGCATCACGCCTGGAACGGACTACCTTACGCTCTTGGAACTTACTTTCGATATTGCGGAAGTGGTGCTCCTTCAAGAATGCCGGATGGGCGAAAGCGCCAACGCTCACAACGTCTTTGGCTAGCTCGTCGCATACATATGGTGCACCAAAACAATAGCCAACGGCAGCAAATTTTGTGTTTGGATCCTGATTTTTGAAACGCGAGGTAACAGCAGTCACCCACTTCGGCGTCGCGACAGTAGCAAAATCTAGATGTTTCTGCTTCCAGGCCGCGTAATCGAAATCTGGACTACCTTTATCCTGTTTGTTCTTACGGTATTTCCCTATTGCATCCTAGCAGACAGGCAGTCAGTATCAAAAAGTGCCACACTTTAGAAAACAGAATGATAGAAAGTTCGTACACCTCGGAAGTAGTCCGGCCCTAGGACCGTGTAGCCAGCGTCGGCAAAGGCATCCATCATGAGTACGCCGTTGGGAAACAGACCCCATATATCGGGGAAGAAGAGAAGTACGTTTCCATTTCCCTTGCCGTCGCGTGGCGTCGAGATGTAAGTCTCAATCTCCGCAATGGTTTCAAGTGTCCCTCGCGATTCGCCTTCATGAATTGTGCCTTTGATGCAGCATTGCCCGCTCGGTTTTGCGAGGTATGAACCTTTGGGTTCCTGGGAAGATTGTGATTGCTCCATGGCTATCTTCTATACGTTAGTGAACAAGGGCAGAGGAAGTGCGACCAATGGTGTGAGACTCAATCAGTCAGGTAAATACGGATATGTAGTACGAGGGATGGATTAAGCAAGATGGTATTCAGACGAATCGCCGATGAGCCTTACTAGCGATCGTGCTACTTATGTACTCATCCGGTGGACAAAAGCCCCGCGACGCCGCACAGGCTAAAACCTTACTAAAACCTTACTAACATGTCTATCATCTTCTAGACTATCTTCCTTTACAGACTTAGTTAGAACGATACTATAGTTCAATAACGTGAAGAAAAATAGTTTCTTCTTCTTGGATTGGTTAAGTATTCTAAAGAGACAGAAACAGTGTGCAGTTATTAACGTAAAGCGTAAGACAATGCTGGATGTCGGACAACTTAGTGCACTGGTCATACTCTAGAGGTGCCAAGATGGCTCGGATTGGCGCGGAAGGGCTGGGTCTGACCAGATGATGCGTAATTATCCAGAGGGGCAGAGCAGAGAATGGCAATGATGATGACGGTAATACAACGCAACTGCGAGAACAAAGAAGCAATGCGCTCATGTACTCTTGTATTTGGCATCCGAATGCGAACTGTGATAGGACTTGCAGGCACTGTACCGGACGGTCATGTGCCTCGGACAGCCATACTTATGCCCGATCTGCCCCACCAAAACCACTACTTACAACGATAAAGTTAACTAGTCGCAAGAACGTTACATCCGACTCGGCAACACTCTCAGCGGGAGATCTCCTCTTTGCCAAGAACTACCAAGCAATAACACATCAACACTGTTTTCACGAAATCCACCACACGTGACCATGGCCATGTCGCCGCCGACATCGTTCTCTACTATCAACGACAAGACCACGCAAATATCCTCCTGGCTCGAGAAATTACCCCCGGATCCCCTGGCAGACGAAGAACGCGGGCTGCTAAAGCACAAGCGTGCCATTTCAGAGCCCACAAGCATACACCAGTTAACCACCATATCTACACATCAGAGTGGCAGCCCTAGCAAACGTCAGCGGCGGGACTCGGAAGACTTGCGACCGGAGCAGAGCGTGTCGGCTGTTGGGTCAAATACTCGCCCGCTCATATTGGGCAGTTCAACCCCTTTTAGCTCGCCCGGCAGTCGTGTAGGCGTCTCGACGCCGCGGCGCAGTGATAGCCCATCGCGCGAGGCAATTGCTGCTTTGAGGGTAGCATCGCCTCCAATAACGACGGAACCGATGGATGGGGTCGAGTCGGCACCTCCTGCGCAGGTCATGGCCGTAGTAGCGCGACTTGAGAACGGATTAGATCAGGGTTGGATACCGGGGTGGCTTGAGGTGCGTTCTAGCGCGTACCCGCCCTACATCACTGCTCAATCTGGCTAACCTATCTCAGGAAGCAGTGAAAGCTGATAGAGATATCGGTTTCCAAAGATTTAAGCCTATCGCATTCAGCAACACGGCCACCCGCGATCTCTCTGACCCTAACCTTGACTCAGCTGCCCGTGCTGAATTATAATACATTTTAAGGAAAGTAAAAAAGATATGTAAGAAAGCATTGTATTGCCAAACAAGAGGCCGAGATGAAAACGCATGGTGTGACGACGTAATTAAGCCAATAGTGAAGCTGGCGCTCCGGTTGTACGCAAAGGGCAAGCTCTCCTTGCAGAATGTGTATATCTACCCCAGCTAACCCGCTTAAAGGTACTAGTAGGCTAACGTGTTCAATATTGTAGGCAGTCCCAGAACATTGATGTTAAGTTCCTTTCCCGCGCCACTGATACATCCGGCAAACAGCGCATCCTTGATCGAAAGGCTGATTATACCCTCTCCTACTCGCATGACACGGCACCTTTTGAAGCTCTATATGCACGCCTTCTCCAGCACAGAAACCAGTGCATTAGCCATACGACTGATGCCTTTACCAAAACTACAGCTGTCTTCTCTGGGGTAGAGGTCAAGCCCGCTAACGGTGACAAGCTTGAGGCCCAATATCAGCTTAGTATATGGATGGCGGCGAATCTGCGTAAGAAAACGAAACTAGCACGACATGCGGGGCTACCCGACACGACCTACCTTATAGAGCCAGGCTTTACTGTTGTAGGACACGAGCTGTACTTCTATATTGCGTACATGGATTCTAGACAAGGTGAAGCGGTGCGTATTCTAGAGTTTGGTAATGCTGCAACTAGTAGTATATCTGGCGCTTTTAGACAGCTGAGAATGTGGCGGAACGTCATAGAATACGGCCTTGAAGAGGGCCCGGACGGTTTCTGGGGCGGATTTCTGAAGCCTGTATTGGAAAAATTAGCAGCTGGAAACGAATAGGATGTGGTAGATGAGAGAGATGTGGATGAAAAGCGGACCTACAAGTCCGGGTGCAGGTCATTCAACGGTGAGCGGACTTCCACGCCTGTCTCAAGACTACTATTCCACCTTGAACCGTTCTTGCAAACTCGCTAATAGTTTTCTATACCTAGCATAGTGAAGTTATAGTTACTATACGTCTTGTTCTAGACACCAAGTTAGATAAAGAGAAACAGTGCAGATGTAAAAACGTAGATTGCGGCACGTTCCCTATAGGGCGCGTTACATGCTATAGCTAGGGCTTATTTAATGATAATAATACCTAAGCTTTAGGCGATAAGAATGATAGGTTATTAATAAGCATCCTTGTGTGTGAACGTGGTAGGAGACAGGAGCCTTTTCAACTTTGTTGATGTATTTTAGTAAGTGATACCCAAGTCCAATTCGCGTAAAAAGATAAAATCGTAAACTCTCAATGTGTCGGCTTCACAATATCTCTGACAACTATGTCTTCGAACATGGCCGGCTATACGAATGGTTCTTTGGCAAATGCTCTAATGATTACAGCGTGCTGTTAGGAAACCTCTGCTGGTATGTTATGCTACATCTCGATATTGTATGCTGTGTCTGGCTAACCTGTTGCAGGGGATCCTTTTGTTGTCGATGCAAAGGAAGTGCCAAGGTACAAAGGCACTGCCATCGAATTACTAGTTGGCTACAGTATCAAGTTCGGATGCCATCTTGTTCTTTTCGGCTCCATGGTTCTTACCAACAAGTATCGCGACCAAGCATAGGCCCCGCCAAACCGTGAGGCTAGCAACAAAGCGGGTATGTTGAACAAAACTGACTTCAAGACCAGGGAATTTAGGTATGTACTCTATAGTTCATTGGTCTCCAACCGGTCACGAAGAACCATTATCGATTGAAACTTCTGCCATTTCATGGGCAGGTAGCAAAAAAGCAATTGGTGCCGTATTATGCAAGGAATGCTGGCACGATGCAAACTGCGCTCTCCCTCAGAATCGGAGCTGTTCTTCTTCTAAAAGAACAAAAGACTGCATACGTCTGTTGTGATCCCTTTCGCTTCGGGGATGCGACCATTGGCTTTAGTTGATGATACACGAAAAAACAACATACTGTCACCGCCATTCCTACTTCACAGTAGCATACGTATCGTCATCCACGGAGAAGGCTACAGCATTGGGCAGTATCTATGCAACCATACGCCTAGCTATTTCCGGACAAACCGCTTTCTGCGGCTGCAGTAGATGGGCAATTTCAATACACATTGCAGCTCCCACCGATGGTTGATACATTCTTTTTTTGGAGGGTGCATAGGTCTACTGCACATCCATTGGGAGGTTTTAATGTGAAAGCTACCGTGGAATTCACCGCTATCTACACGTGGCGAGAGCTTTAACCCAGTAATTCTTTTGATATGGAAGCGCAGAGTCTCACTAGATCAGTAAAGGCTATTGGGCTGCGCTGAAACCAATGAACGCCGAAACTGGTAATAATTTCTTTTGCGTTCTCATTCCGGGATATAAAGGCGAAGGGAGTATGGCGAGTAACTGGTTCTGACTGGCATCCAAGCTGTACTTCCGATTTTTTTATCAACAACATGTCGAGCCACATTTCGAGTCGAGCACTAGACGATGAGGTCTCTTACGTCGTCCCCCTCTCGAACTACGGCACAGATGGCCTTTGCAGAGATTACACTCTGAGAAGAAGCAAGTGGGAGGCTGAAGCCAATGCGGGATCTCATGAGGCGAGGATGGATTGGATGAAGTACATCGGCCCTATCGAGGAGTTTGGGGGATGCAATCCCATCAACGGGAACTTCTCGGCTGTTGCGCTACCACTTACGAGACCGGATCGACTAAGGCTTGTTGCCTACCTGCTTGAATGTACGGGGTCCGCGCATCATATGTTCTGTCACAGGACCTTGGTGATCCTATTCGGTGTCAGCCCGCTAAAAAAATTATAGATATCTTCATGTACGACAACATGGTCGAGGTCGCGAACGCCGATGGTGTAAGATAGCATTCGGGAAATCTTCTGACATTGAACTATCTACTGACTTTTCTATTTAAAGTCTGATACCAACAACCAGCACGATCAAAGGCCACAGGAGTGGAGGTACACAGATCCAGCGCTGGGGAAGACCGAGATGCAAGCAAAGATGATGGAACAGCTTACGTCAATGGACCCATCCTGCACTGGAAGGGTTAAGCGTACATGGAAAGAAACAATTTCCATAGTTTCGCCCAACAAAGGCACGCTGTTTGGTTCATTGGAGGAGTACCTGGATTTTCGTGTTGTTGACGCTGGAACATCGTAAGTTTTCCCAAAGAAACCCTAATGTTGAAACATTGATGCTAAGTGTTTCAAAAGCCTCGTAGAAGCCTTGTTACTCTTCGGCATGGGCGTGACACTTACCGAGGAAGAAGACGCCATTCTCGATCCCATCCGCAAACCCTGTTTCGCAGCACTCAGCCTAGGCAACGACTACCTTTCCTTCGACCGCGAATATCTTGAGTTCCTTGAATCGGAAGACGAGAAGACCCTAAAAAACGCCGTATGGCTGCACATGCAATGGGATTCTGTGGGCGTTGATGCTGCAAAGAAAACGGTACTAGAAGCGACACGGAAATACGAGGCCCAGTTTTTGGAAGATTGCGCCCAATTTCAACGAGGAAGTAAAGGATTCTCAGAGAAACTGAAGAGACACCTAGATGCGTTGGCATATCAGGTTAGCGGAAACGTGGTCTGGAGTTTGAACTGTCCCAGATATTGTCCTGACCACAGATACGACTCGAATGCGGGGATAGAGGATCAATTGACAGCAAAGGCAATGCCCGAGTTCTTGGGGATAGAATACAAAGTCCGCATTGCTCAAAGGGCAAAAGAGGCCCCAGGACAGCTGGCCGTCATGAACTCTGGTCTGGAAAATGGGCGCTCCCGGAATTCTTCTTCCGAGACCTCGCTTACAGCTTCCGATGACACTGGGTCGACACCAGAACGCAGTGTTTCTCCTTAGTCATATTTTCGGCTTCATCAGGCCCAGAGATCTGTTGAATCGGAGCTTCCCGTCTCAAGAAGCAAATATCTGAAATCAGAATGTATCCAAGGACCACTCGCCTGTACTATGTTTGTGAGACTAGTGAAACTATGTGTAAGCATATACATTGGTCGTAGTTTAGATTCCTGGGTGGGTGCCTCTTAAAGTCCCCCGTAGAGAATATACGCTAGTAGAGGTTACATGTATTCATGTGAAGGTGTCTTGTAGCCCACTCAAGTGAAGTATGCGCTAACCCAAATCAAGCTAGATAGCCGATCAACACGACAAGTATGGCATCATAGATCGCGTCTGGGCCACATCTTGCGAACCTTACTTGCAGTTAAACAGCATCTCCATCATGAATGATCCTACACCTTGTTTGCTATACGAGCGAAAATGCCACCGTGGTCGCTGATATCGCCAGCCTCTCGAGGCATCGGCTTCGCGCTCGCAAGACAAGTCTTGCAAACCACGAACGCGCCCGTCGTGGCAACGGCACGAAAAGACCTCGATAAGACCAAGGAGGAGCTACTTGACGGGTTGGATATCGATGAGAAGCGGCTGTCTGTGCTGAGATTGGATGTTTTGGGTACGTAGAGAGTGCACCTTGTTTTCTATCAACTAACATCATGAAGACGAGCAGACCATCGCAGATACAGCAGCGGCCTGCAAAAAGCAGTTTGCTGACGGCCCCAGTCAGCTCCAACTTGCATTGATGGTACATGGAATACTTTTCCCGGAGAAGTCGCCAGCCCAAATCAACGCCGACGATGCGTTGTTGACGTTTCGAACCAACACTTTAGGTCCAATGCTAATGCTCAAACACTTCTCGCCATTTTTACCAAAAAAGCCACACACTATTGATAGAGAGCAAGAGCACATGAAAGGATTACCAGACGTAGCTACCACTGCTATCATGTCAGCTCGTGTTGGTAGCATCAGTGACAATCGTCTTGGGGGATGGTACAGTTATCGCGCATCAAAAGCAGGTGTCAACCAAACTGTCAAAACCTTTGATAACCATCTTCGGACTGCATCCGGCGATAATGCAATGGCTGTAGCCTTGCACCCAGGCACGGTCAAGACCGGTCTAAGCAAGGAATTCTGGAGCAATGTAAAAAAGGAGAAGCTATTCGAGCGCGAATGGGTTGCTGAAAGACTCATCCATGTCATCAAGCAAGTGGGAGTTGAAGGGCGAGGCAAGTGTTGGGACTGGGATGGGAAGGAAGTACCTCCTTGATGGCTAAACGCACAAGCAGGCGCAATCGATCGCTAGCTACTGGCAACCTGATCTAAAAATCGCCGTATTCCTTCACCTGACATTGTGAAGATTCCTCGTTCCCATGCAGTACTCGGCAGCAATCAATTTTTAGCTATCGTTATCCACCCGCTACTCACCCATCGTTATAATGACAGCACATCAACAATCGCGCGAGGACACGTGTAGCAAGTCAGAGAGCGACTTAGCTGTACAAAACACGTATCAGGGCCGCCCGGCGTGTGGAGATATACTTGATACGGAAATCTGTCCCCGGTGCAATCGCAGGCCAGATTTTGCATTCCCTACCCTGGTTGAGCGACCCTTTCGAGCAGAGCACATGTGTCATGATTGTACCCTATTAGCCAAGACCGAACCGATTGATTTGGAGGACAATGGTAACCAATACACCTCAGATCGTGCAGCGCGGGTGTTTGTGCGACTCCGGTTGTGCCTGGAAAGCTATTTGGAGACATTCAGAAAGGTCTGTATGCCGAAGAGATCACAACAGACCAGGCCACTTTCCAAGGTTTCAACTATCACCAGTACGACAAGTATACCAAGGTGAGTTTGCTATTTTTTGTTCTTCCTGGTTGTAGCTAACAATGTCTAGGCACCCCGAATTTGACTAGGAGTCTCTAGCAGTCGAATCGCATCCAGCCTCTCCGCCTGTAGATATCACCAGCGGCGCAACACGACCAATCGCGACACAATCAATAGATGATGAAAACCGGATTGCTTCCAACATTTCTGGAAACGCTGCGAAGTGCCCGACGCCTGAGCCAATTCTACACAGCCGGCCTGAATTGGCTGAGAACTACACTGCTCGACTGGAGGATCCAGAGACAGTCTCTCAACTCAAAGGCCCGTTGACACTTACGGACCGAGCCTACTGTTGTTTAGAGAGACCATCAGAGAAGCCTACGTCTACGTCTCCTCCAGTAACTTCATGTCCAGGATTTCATGAACACAACGCTTCAGATGGCGGTCAGAGAAGGAGCCTACCTGGTTCGTCATGTATCTTGGCAAGGAGCACTCAGCCACAAACCTATCGCGTCGCCGTCTGTACAGGTGCGTAATGGGCTCTCCGAAGACTATGACTATACTGTTCAGAGGCATTCATCGCTCAATGAAATCATGCCTATTCTCATGCTAACGCGTTATAGATGAGCCCGTTACACGTTCATCAAAATGTCTTCCGCATTCATCCGGCGTGTCTCTTGAAAAATGCGGTGAACAGCAAGTTTCCAGTACGGCTTGCCTGGAAATTTCCCCAGACATCGATCATCTGGCCATGTCAAAAATATCAAATCACAACACGCTGCCCAAATTTCATAAAGTTTCGTGTTCCGGACCCCTCTCAAAGCACTGGGTTCGGAAAGATCACTCCGAGAAGTTGGATAAAGGGGAAGGGATGACTGCAGAAAGACATGACTCGTTGTCTGAGGTGGAACAGCAAGACGGAGATCGGGCAAATCAACTGGACGTATCCAACCAAGCGCATGGAGAGCAAAACTCTGAGCAAGAATTTGTCAAGCAGGCTTTCGAAAACGCACTCGTCAAAGAGAGGGAGGCTAGCACATGGAGGAGCAATGGGTTTGAAGCAGACCAGACACTCTCGGTGGTTGCCCTCGGGCCTGAAAACATCGCAGAAACACACTACACTGATGGCGACCGTGGTAGTTTATTCAATTTGGCTTTCTCTCACACATCGCTCGAGCTGGAAGACACTATATGCACGACATCGACATCCCGGAACCTACCTGAATGCAAATTCCCTTCACCATTATATCGGGTAGCAGTCCAGAGACTTGTCTCGAAGATGTGGTCGAAAGTTGAGCTTCAAGGAACAGCTGGTCTATATTCTGCCCAAGACAAAGATGTTCATCAACACAATCGCCCCAAACTTGCAAACACATTCGTTGTCCTGAGAGGAGGCTCAGATTCACCAGAAGGGTCGGATTCCGAAGAGCCCCGCCGCAATAGAACGAGGGATACGTCTGCCCAAACCGGCAATGCGGTGAACGGAGTCAATGAGGTGAACGGAGCCAACCAGTTGAATGGAGTCAATCACGCGAACGGGGTCAATCTTTTGGATGCAATCAATCGTGCCAACAGAGCCAATTTGGTGAATGGTGTCGATTCTTCGACGCCAAGCACAGAAACCGACTCACCCCGAGACGAGACTGGCCCCCAAAATAATGCGATTGGCGGTCGGAACCAAAACGAGAACGGATACTCGTGGGCTTCTCATGATAGGACTCGAATGGTCCATGGGTTCCCTGATACCACTACAGGGGCTGGAAGATGGTCTCCCCAGCCCATTCAGGCTCGAGTGGACAGCCCTGCAAGGTCGGTCGCATCAGATGACTGGGTCATTGACTGGTGGCTCACGGAACCGCTTGGCAGAACGGCTACCAATGAGTCCTACAGTCCAAGCGTAGATTCCGTGATTGCCCAGCGATTCTTCAGACGGGTTCCGTCTTCGGACGAGCATCGTTACAACCCATGGATTGGATATGGCGGGTCAGACGAAAACGGGCCTACTCTGTTCCCGCATTGGACTAACTCCCCTCTTTCCCGAGTGCCGTATCTCGATCCAGGGCCAGCGTCCAATATTTGGCCCCCGAATCCTGGTTCTCCGGACTTGTCGCATAGATATGCCGGGCTTCCCGAGTCCCCCTCTCGCTACATGGTCTATCCCGACCCGGCCTCAACCAACCCAGGGTTCGCCACCGGTCCGCCCGCAAACGTGGAAGTTACCGATGCACCTCCTGTTGGAGCAAGGAGGAGGCGGGACAGGATCCGTGCGGCATTGCGTGGGACTTGGAGACGCGTAAACGATATGGGAACAGGGGTGCGGAGTTATATTTCCAGAAGACGATGAGTGGTTTTTAACCACATTCGCACTATGTCAGCATGCGCTTACCGGACTTGTTGGGGGTTTAACAGACGGTGTATAGTCTTTCAAAACATAGTACATGCAGTCTATTTTACCCGCGGAGATTCCGTTGATGATGCACCCTGATACTCTAAGTGTTTACAAATTCCCGCCAAGCGCGCAGTCGGGAATGGATGACGTCTACACCAAAGATGATCGACCCCGTTCGAGACTTGTAATCACGGAGATATTACACTTTACAGGAAAAGGTTCAGTTGCTCATATGCAAGTCTAAAAGGTGACTGTCATGCGTCGTCTGTACAACAAGTCCGCAGTCTGACAAGCCAGGGTCGTGAAACACCCTGGACCAGATAGCACAGTAAGATGAGAGCAGCACTACAAGGCTAACCTGTATCTCGATACAGCCATATTGGTATCAGACTAAGCAAATATAGAACAATCAATCGCAAACGGGAAAAGTGAGTAAGAAGAACGAGGACGTGCAATCCTCGTTCGGACGTTATGGTGATTATATTGATTATAGCACACGCCATACCTATTCTTACTACGGACTTGGCCTCCGCACAAAGACTTAGGGCAACCCAGTCTCGCATCAAGGTGAGCAATAAGGTAAGCGTTGCGCCGGTAAAGCAGAACTCTATGCATCTGGTCCTGGTATGTTGTACACTGGATAGATTACCAGCAATCAACGGTTTCACAATCTGGATACCAAACCAGGCAATTGCATGCATGCGGATTCACCAACAACCCTGCAGCCATCACCGCTCATCATCTCACTTCTTACCTTACCTCACCCTCACCCTCTTGTATCCCACGCTATCCTTCTCTGGCCTGAACCAAGCGTGCGTACGCATAGCGAAAGTCTACAACCCCTCTTTTTTGTTTTTGTTTTTGTCCTTTTTTTTTGTCTCGGCCGCGTTCTAAACCTTTACACTATGTACATAAGCACCTAGAACGCGAAAGAATGCACTGAGACGACGACCCCCCCTCGTCGGCACTGTCGTTGCCACCCATCGTCGTCGTCGTCGTCGTCCCTGGTCAATCTCCCCATCTCCGTCTCACACGTACGCCTCGCCACCCCAACCCATGCATTGGCCTAACTCCCCCCCCCCCACTCCCCCTCCCCCATCTTACTTCTCACCCCGATTTTTCCCCCGTGTTTCGGCCCTTAGCTACCCCAACTAAACTCGTCTCGCTCGCTCGCCCGCCCGCCAGCGGTCCGCTTGAGATCTGTTAAATCCTTCCCCCTTCCCCAGACGTTGACCCCAGGCCCCCCAGCCACAAACAAGGCCCTTGACCCCCCCCCCTGGCCGGCCGGTCAAACCATCTTCTACGCCTTCTCTTGCTCATCTTAGAAGTGGCAAAGGCACAGACGATATTACATCCATCCTAGTACTATGAATGTGGCCATGTCCGCATGTTATGTATGGATGTATGTATCTGCAGTGCAGCGCAGTGCTATGCAGCCGCTAAGTATAAGCCACGCTCTGTATAAGCCCCCTGCCCCCGCATTCCCCTTGTCAAGGCTCTTCTTCCTTTTTCTCCTTACGAGATACGAGGCACTGGCTCGTATCGCGGGTGCGTAAGCAGGCTAGTGTGATAGCTTGGTATGCAGCAAGGCAAGGAGAGCAGTGCCGAAGGGAGTCTGGGCGATGGACGGGGACGCGTGGGTATAGGGATAGTTTGCGAGGGGGAGGGGAGGGGGCAAGACAGAACAGAGTTACTTGTGATTAAGAACGCACGCGTACATGTATGCATCAGTAGATCGGTACGTGCGCCAATTAAGATTATGCTGTTGCGGGCGTTTTCATGTGAAAAATACACTTGGCAGCGTTACGGTATGAAAAGACATGGAGACTATCTGTATCATTGGCTACTTGATGAGACTGGATAATCTGAAAAGAGAAACCTAGTAGTCTGTAGTAGCAGAAAACACACATACACATACAAAAGAATGTACACTAAACCTATAACCCCCTACTCATCCTCCATCTCCATCTCCATCTCCCTCTCCTCGCTCTTCAGTCTTCCCTCTTCCCTCTTCCCCTCACATACGCAAGCATGCAAACTCGCCACTTACCACCTACCCCTCCCATCTCGCATATCCCATTTTCCTCTTCCCCCCTCACATAAATGCCTAAGTAAGCCAATTCCCCCACTCCCCACTCCCCACTCCCCCCCCCCATGTCCTATTCCCCATGCCCCACTTCCGAGTCCCCACATATCACATATCACATATCATTTGTGTTTCATGAGTGATTTTTAGCGTGCCGACGCAGCAGCGGCTTTCACAACGCAGTAGAGTACACAATATAGAATAGCGGTGAGGTACCTATACCCCCAGTATGTACCTAATACACAATAGGTAGGCGGTATTATAATACAGTGAATGTATATCACATATCACATATCACATAGCGCACACTATGTACATACGTCCATACCCACATGTGAGACATATACTACATACCATATACGTAGTGCATACCAAACATGTCACATATACATTTTCATATAGACCACACGCCAAAAAAAACAAAACAAAAAAACAAAGAAAACTTCTTACATGTGACACATATACATACAAAGCAACCATGTAGCAAGTTAGTTGGCTGTGTAAGTGTATGTATGTGCTTGGCGCTCTTTGCTTGCATGTCCCCCCCCCCCACATGCCTATTACCATTACTATTCTTATTGCTATTCCTATTGCTACTCTATTGCCATCCCCCATCCATCACTCCCACCAGCACCAAGCCCGCATACTCAAACAACCACTCCCCCCCCCGTCCAATTCAAGCCGAGCGACATCACTCCAATCCAAGCCCAGCCCAGCCCAGCCCAGCCAAGTACCCAGTATTGTGCTGAATTAAGCTGGGCTGAGCGGCATTAAGCCGCACTGCATCAAGCCCATGTGAATCCAGCCGACCGGACCTGACCTGACCTGACCGGACCTGACCAGAGCTATAATGGGACGCGCTGATGTGCGCTGAGCTGAATTGCGATAAGCTGGGATGTACTGGACGGGGGACGGGGACGGGATGGGATGGTATGGATGGGGGGTGGGGGGGGGGGGTTGGCTGGTGCGGAGGTACAGCTGAGGGTGGAGCTGAGTACTTACGGTAGTTGGGAGCTGAGTGTGGGGTTGTACTCATAGCGTGGTTTTGATGTTGATCGAGTGTGATAGACGCGTGGAATGGATAGATAGATAGGGAGCTAAATATGTAGGTAGATAGGGCAGATGGGTACATGGATAGATAGGTAGGCAACAAGCTACACATCACAAGCTACAAACGACAAAGAAAAAATAGTCAGCGTGCGTGCGTGCGTGTATAATCAGTACACATACATACACACACATGCAGAAGATGTGATTTGACAGGGGAAAGAAAACATGTGATTATGACTGTGGTTGTGATTATACTTGTAATTATGATGCAAAGCGCAGGATTCAGCACGGAGGGGGGGGGGCATAGTTGTGTCATGTTGACATGAGTATATTTATCTCTCTGTCTATCTATCTATCCGTCTATCTGGTTTCTATCCAGTATCTGTATCTGTATCTGTACCCTATCTATGTGTAAGTCTGAGCAAGTGACTGAGTGAGTGCCCTGAGTAACTGAATGCCAACAAACCATCCAAATTCCCCTCTGTCTTTGTTTCCCTGGCTGCGTAACAATACCACCGCACACCATCCATCCCCCATCCATCCATACATAACTTACCAAGCCACACAATCCCGTGACGTAACCCCATAGCGCTCACCTCCCTCCCTCCCTCTGCCTCTGTCCCATCCTCGTTTTTTTTTCGCCACCCCTCCTTCGGCACCATCCGTCCCCACCAGGCCCTAAGCTGTAAGTAGTACATGGATGATGTATGTAATATACACCTAGTGCCAGCAGCAGCACCACCGCCACCTACGCACCCATGCTAAACCAGCCTCGGAGTTCCTGCTTGAGCAAATTTCCAAAGTCAGCAGCACCACGAGACCACTTCTGGTCCACGGCTGTCGCGGCCGGAACCGCTGTACAGAAGTGGATGTGATGATGACACTTCAGAAGGGGGGGAGAGGCCCAAGCGTTTACGTGGCACTGGGAGGGGTGGAAGGGAGGGGGGAGGCGTCGGGTACGGACATCGGGCGCGGGACAAGGGGATTATCTAACGTATGTATGTACTAGGCGTACGTCTGTATGTGGGTGTGAGTGTGTATGGTTAGCTGCTGTGCTCGGCTAAGGGGGAGAGGAGGGGGAGGTGCGGCACCATGAGAACGCACGGAAGAAATGGGTCCACCACGGCACCCCGACACACTCCCACACTCCCACACACTCCCGCACTCAAATCCACACGTGAAATGTCTCGACATGGTATCAGACCGGTACGGCCCATTGCGGAGGCCCCACCGATAATTTTTTTTCGCCAGACTAAAACATCTACCTGGCCCCAACCCGCCCTATAGCACACACGACATATACGTTCCGTGGCACGCCAAATGGAAAAGGAAAAGAGCGTTTGGGCAAGGGCTCCTCACGGGACGGTGCGAGACCACAAGGAATGGGAAAAAGCACGTTTCAAGGATAGGCCCGCCGGCCGCCCATGTCGCGCAAACCTGACTCAGAGCAGGCGACTTGTGAGCTGAACGGACCCTGTTCCTTGCTCTGTCCAATTTCACGCCTTCTCCCAGGCAGCTAGTCCGTCGCTAGTGTACCGCTGTTTTTCCCTTTGCATCCTTTTACTACTTTGTTTTTTTCTTCTCCACTGTCTCTTTCACCTTCTTGATGCTTTCAGCTTTGGTTCGGAGCCTGCGGGTCCGAAGACCACGACCCATGTGGCCCGATAGTATTCGGAGGGGGCGTGGGCTATACTAGGTAATGGTGCCATGCAGTCAGTGATGGGTGTGTGTGTGTGTGTGTGGGCGGTGACCCTCTCTCTGTCTCTCTTTTCTCTCATTCTATTCTCGCACTCGAAAATCTCACCGACGGACTTCCGGGGTTGGCAAAGGAGCGGCGGCGACGGCGGCGGCGGCGTCGTGCATGGGGGAGGGGGAGGGGGGGGGCATTTTTGGGCTGGAGATTGAGGCCGCCCAAGTCGCCATGCCGTTTCAGCATGGACGGAATTTGAGAAGGCGCGATTTCCCCAAGGCAGTAATACCAGAAAAGGGAGAGAGCAATCATCCCCCATCCACGCCTTGGACACGGCCGCCCAACCCCCTCCCATGTCTCGCTCTGGCTCTCTTTTTTTCCTGTCCGCGTCACATACAATAATAGCAGATACGTTGTTCGCTGCGCCACGGTGGTATTTGCGGCGAAAAGACCATGGCACCCACACCCACACACGCACACGCATATCGCGTGTCCTCCGTGGGCCTTTTTTTTCTTCTTGTCCAACCCCCCCCTCCCCCTTCCCATCCCCACTTCCTCCCTGTCTGCCCGATCCAATCAGCCTCCCGTCTGACTGCGCAAAGGAATCTCACCCTGTAGCGGGAGGGCCAGGCAAGGCCAGGTTAGGGGGGGCTGAGCCGTTGCGGTTCGTGCCTGAAACGCATTACAGGCTGAAGACGAATCGTGACAGGTCATTCCACCCTGCATCCCTTCCCTTGTCTCACTGAATCAATAAACCCAACGGCGGCCAGCATCCCCGTCCGACTTGGACGGGGAAACAAGCTTGAACCTGGGGCCTGGAGATAGCGGTCGAAATAAGTTTCTCTTTTCCTTTGGGCCCAAGGTTGGAGGAACCAAGCTAGTCAGTCAGTCAGTCAGTCAGTCAGTCAGGCCCCCGTATATACGTATTCCGTTTTCGACTTCCATGTCACATGTTGACTCAGTGCAGACAGTGAGCCATTGTGGGCCAATGGGGGATTCCTCTAGGGCCGTCGTGAATCCGTCTTGCTCGCTGCTGATTCGCCCTGCGCCTCGTGTTCAAACTCAATAGGGCCCAAGCCTAATGACGACGACAACGACGGCTGCCAACCTGCCTAGCACCGTCGCGGCGCAAACTCTGCTGCTCGCTCCGTTCCGTTAGTGTAGTCGAGCTTGTGGCACTCGAGGGCACACTACAGAGCATGTCCCATCCAACCAGCGGGCGGTAGGGGCAAAGCAATTTTGACAGTCCCGAGGTCATGTCGTTGGGTCACCCATTCGAGAGGGCATGTGAACGTCGGCAACCGACGGGAAGACGCGACCGACATGATCTAGCCTTTCCATGACGACTGGTTGCTGCTTCTTTTTCAAACTCGACTCTGTTGGACAGGTGCGCGCAGTGGTAGGAAATGGTAATAGCGCCGTCAAGCGTTGACATGGACACTGTCGGATCATCGTCCGGTCATTCAACACTACAACAAACCACACGCATTCCTTGGTACACTAGAGGCCGGGACCATGAAGGGCCTTTTTTTTCTTCCTTTCCCTGCGTCCGATAACCCTCTGCTCCGAGCGCCATAGCGCTTCTTCCCGCACCCTCCAATACTCGAAGCGATAGCGAGACTAGCTTGCGACGGCGGCGTTGGTGCTGTGCAGAAAGGCGGAGTAATAGAGAGAGGCCTAGTGGAGGAGGAGGAGGAGGAGGAGGAGGAGGAAGAGGGATGACGACGACAAAGCAAATCTAGATGCTGCTCTAGCAGCATTTGCTGGCAGTTTGGTTTAGCTGGCCGCTCCGCCCATGGACGTGACGTGACGTGCCGTACCGACGTCAACTGGCGTGAGCGAGCGAACGAAGGAACGAATATCGCTGCCGATAGATCCCGATGCGGAACCGTGGTCTGAGGCCGTCCGCGTAGCCGATAAGCGTTTTGTTGGCGTGGCCATCAGATGTCAGTGTGGGCGGAGGAGAGGGCAGCAGGCGGCATGCATACATACATGTGTGTGTGTGTGTGTGTGTATGTGCATGTGCATGTGCATTGGTGGGATTTGCGTGGTACTGAGATCGATCGACGTCCGGGTATCGAGGAAGAAGCAGCGAGGGCGAGGGCGAGGGCGAGGGCGGTCCAGGCGGGCTGGCAGGCGTGGCTTGCCTTTTCCTTCTGTCGTTTCTGGTAGTGGCGGTGGTGGTGTATACACAAAAAGGGAAGGTATCACACGTGGGTATCCGCCCATCGTCGTGCCCGGATCGTCCCTGCATTGCTCATGCTCATGCCCATGTCCCAAGCCAACGCGTGCCACAATGTCTCCTTGCTCCGGCCATTGCGCCTTGGCATCGTGGGAGCCGTCACATCGTCGCAGGTGGCCGCGGTGCCCAAGGGTTGCGGCGAGGTTTTGCCGAGCGAGCAGCGGAGCACGCCATGAATGGGGTGATGGATCGCCCGTCCAGAGGGCCAGCAAAAAACACTATTCGCCGCGCCAGTCCCAAGCTTTTGGGTTAACCAAGGCCAAACGGCTAGACCTGCCCTCTACAGCACGTCGTCTTGACCGGTCGCCAAAACCAAGCAAGCCCAGGCAAGCGTTGCACCATCAAAAGTCTTCAATTTAGATAGCTAGTTAAAAAGCGTAACAAACCCGACGACGAAATAGAAACAAAGATGTAAAAAAAAAGCACTACGTACGTTGCTGCTGGGACATTTGCCTTGGAACGTGTCTTTGCGAGTAAAATTCAGATAGCCACCCACCAGTAGAGTTCCCATGTAAGTTGAAAAAAAAGTAGTCGGATGCGGTAGAGACAGTAGAAGAAGGGGAATATAGCAACCGCACCTATTCGCAGAGTAAACCGCATCAAAACGTAGGGACAATGTACAAAAAAAACAGAGCACAAACTACCACGACCCCCAGCCAATGCAGTGAAGCACCAAAAAGCTGGTCCAGCCCAGACTTGAGATGATGCAAATATCAAGCCAAGCCTCCGTGTGATGATGATGCAACCCTCCAGTTCTAAAGCTTGCAGGAAAAGACAGAATACCACCCAGGTTTAGTAGTGTAGAGAGGTTCGACGAACAGCAGGAATTCGAGCGCTTGCCACCAAAAACGTGAGAAAGACGACACCTCCCACCTCCGGGGGACCGAGAGATAGAGAGGCACATGATGGGATTAGCAAACCGCCGCACTCGAGGTAAAAAAAAAGGAAAACAAAACGACCCCGGAAATGACAGTGAGGTAGATCTTTAAGTATTAAATAGGAAAAGAAAAAAAAAAGTCTCGATGCTCTTGATCGCCATTGAAATCAGAATTCCGCCCAGAAAGCACGCTGTTGCCAGCCAGAACTCCTTGCGATAGCAAATGTCGATGGTGACGCGAAGAAACGGTTATACACGAGAAAACCAGTCGAAAGCACGGGGAGCGAAATGCGATTTTCGAGCCATCACTTGTTGCTCTTTGTTGTCCCCGTCCCTTTATATATTTTTTTTACTCGGGTTTCTGTAAGCGCTCTTGAAAAGACCAGCTCCAGAGCGCTGCCTCGCGCACACACACGAGGCATGAGAGATTTACATGGGTCGGCGGTTTAGCATGTTGAGCATCGACGAGTCGGTCGAGCTGCGAGCCGGGCCATTGTCCGTTACTAGGTCGTTAATGCGCATGCTCGGCCTGGCCGAAGCTTGCGATGTGGGCGGCGGTGGCGGTGGCGGCGTCCGGCCATCGCTGCGGGGCGGTGGAGGGTGGAGGACGCCATTCGTCTGAGGCGCGGCGTAGTAGGGTGTTGGAGGAGCGCCGGGGGTTGTGGGGGCTTGTGAATGCGGCGAGGACGAGTTGCGGCTGGGCTCGTAGCGATAGGCGCTCTGTGGAGAGCCCTGGCGCGGGGGCTGTGCGACGTAGTAGGGTTGGGCGGGTGGAGGAGCAGACGAGTACGTCGTGGGAGGAGGATTTGCTGTGGAAGCAGCCGATGTTAGAGTTGGTGGCTCTGGATAGGCATAGTCTGAGCCAGTGCCCCGATGAGGAGCCTGTGACGCTGAGCCAGGGTGCGGCGGAGGCAAGGTAGGCGTGTGAGGCTCTGGGTGAAGCCTCTTCCTGCCGGCCACGGCGTCACGGCTTGCCTCATCTGGAGAAGCACCAGGCGGACCATATTCAGAATGAGCTTGGTACGGACCTGCAGTTGGGCTGGGCAGATATTGCTGCGGGCGCGACGGCTGGCCGTAGGGCTCGCCGTGGCTGGCAGGGGGCAGGGGCTGCCCATAAGCACCGTACATTGGCGGTGGCTGGCCGACACCGCGCCAGACGGTGTGGGCCGGCACAAAGGCCTGCGTCTGTGCCGAAACGGGGGTGAAGATGCAGTCTTGGTTGAACCTCATGCAGTTGGAGCAGCGGCCGTCCTCTGTCGCCTCGAAGCCCGAGCATCGAATCTATGTAGAGAGTAAGCTATGTGGGAGTGGGTGGCACTGAGTGGCAGATTCAAAAGTACCTTGCGGCGTCTGCAGTAGCGACAGGCAATGGCAGTGCGCTGGCGGGGAGCTGGGGGCTGGTGATGCTGCTGGACGTATTGCGGAGGTGGAGGAGGCTGCTGGCGGTATGGATCTGGCGGAGGCGGAGCGCGGGTCCACTCATTGGGGCCTGGCAGGCGGTAGGGCTGCTGGTGCTGGTACTGAGGATGTTGGGCCATGTCGGGCCGGGGCTCTTGGGGCGGTGGAGGTGGGAGCGTGGTGCTCATCTGCATTGGCGTCAAGTGTCAGCGAGCTGTCACCCAGTCGAGGGCGAGATGACGTGCGCTCGGTGTACCGTGGTTGGTGTGCGAGGGTCGCGTGTGAGGGTGGGCCAGGCAAGAGAGAGAGAGTGTGTGTGTGTGTGCGTGTACGTGTACGTGGGTGGGTGGGGATGAGGGAGAGGGTGTGTGTATGTGAGAGAGAGAGGGGGGGGGAAGGCGGGAGAGTAAGAGGGAAGGAGGGAGGGAGGGAGGGAGGAAGGAAGGAAGGAAGGGAAGGAGAGACAGGGAAGTAGCGGCTTACATGAGGAGGCGGCGCATACGAGCCATTTGCGGGCTGTTGCGAGGTAGGCGGCTGCCAGTGGGTAGGAAGTTGGCCTTGGCCACCCTGGTGAGGAAACATTGCGCGCGACAAGCAGTGGTCGTGGGTCGTGGGGTCGTTGGTCGTGATGGCGGTACGTATTGGATGGGCGGCAGTGGATGGACGAGTAGTGCGTGGTAGGGTGGATGGCGGGCGGGCGGGCGCAACGTGGAGCCTGTCAGTCACAGGGCGGTGTTGACCAGTGGTGGGCCAGCCTCGACTTGGAGCAGAAAAGAGAGAAAGAAGGAGGAGGAGAAGGAGGAGGAGGAGGGAGAGGCGGAGGGGGGAGGAAGAAGCGCCGTGGGAGTGGTTTGGGTGGTGGTGCGGGAGATCCTCTGGGGCGGGTGAGGTGTCACAAAATACTGGCAAGCGGGCCGCAAGGTCGGCTGTTGCTGCAGGTGAGAGAAAGGCAGTGCAAATTGGGCTCGGGTTGCAGAGCCAAGGCGAGAGTGGGCGGATCGGAGGAATGGGGAGGGGGACGGAGGGTCAGCCGCGAGAGGGTGTGTTGGGCGATGGGGCGCGGACTGGAGCTCATACACGCATACGCAGGCGCAGGCGCTGGCTCTCTCTTTCTCTCGTTGCTGGCTGGCTGGCTGGCTCGCTCATACACGCACACACGCTCTCTCGCTCTCTCTCTCTCTCTCTCTCTCTCTCTCTCTCACTCTCTCAGGCGCACATGCACACAGTCGAGGGCGGACAGATGGACAGACAGGCAGGCAGACAGACAGACAGACAGACAGACAGACAGACAGGCAGGCAGGCAGACAGGCGGCGGTGGGCGGAAAAGGCGTGGGCGGCGGCTGGGTGTCGCGGCGGCGGTAGTGGTAGTGGTGGTGGTGGTCGGGGGGGGCGGGCGTCAGCTACGAAGGGGCGGGAGGGAGGTTGAGCAGGAGGCTGTGGAGTGAAAGGCTTCTCGAAGCGCGTGGAGGAGACGGGACCCAAGAGCGTGGAAGCGAAAAAGGAGATTCAGGTTGGAGCGGCCGCTATTACTACCCACGACGCACCGCGTGCCCGAAGTCAACCTTCTCGCCGCTTCTACTGGGATGGCGTTTTGATCCCTGCACGCGCCCCCATGCAGCGACGACGGCGACGGTCCGCCAAACGCGCTAAAGGCCATGCGGCATCCTCACTTGCATTGGACGTGCAGCGACACGACCCGCCTGCAGACGGGCGACGGGCGACAGGCAGGCAGACAGGCGGGCAGCGGCCACGGCCACGGCCAGCGGGCGGAGCAGCCAGAGGAGACAGGCCAGGCCTACCAGGCAAGCATGCCTCGATCCATGCACCCACCCACCCATCCCTCCATCCCTCCATCCCTCCATACTATACATACAATACAATACATGCCACGCTACATATACGTCCACACGTACATATATCACGATGCCGGCCCATGGTTTACCGCTGCTTGCTTGGCTGCTGTGCGCCTGGTCGTGTGCGTGTGCGTGCGCCCGTGTGCCTGTGTGCGCCTATGTGAGGGTATGTGTGTGCGTGTGCGGCGTGTGCCAGTGGGAGCGCCAGTATGCGCGACGACGACTGAGCGAGAGAATGTGGTGTGCATGTGGTGTGGTGTGGTGTGGTGTGCTATGAGAGAGAGAGTGTGTGTGTGCGTGTGGGTGTGTGGGCGCGGCTGTATCACGACGCAGCGTCCCACCCTTCTCGACGACGCATCCACGGCCCTCGCAAGAAAAAAAAAGAGTCAGGCCCCTTGCTGGTTGGCGTATGACCTAGGAGCGCGGGCCCGTGTGCATGATGATGCTGCGGCCCGGCAGCTTGCTTGAGATGTATGACTCGCCAAGAGCTCGGGGACTCCCGTCGCGCTGTGATCTACGAGCCTTTAATTATCGACACGGCTGCTGCAACGAGCCTGTCCTGGCGCGCGCGCGCGAGAGAGGGGAAGGCAAGGGAAGGGCACGGAGGGCAGGAGTGGGAGAGGGGGACGAGGACAGCCAAGGACATGCCTCCTCCTGCCTCGACGGCTGCTCCTGCCACTGCCACTGCCACGCCCATCGCTCCTGCTGCTCCTGCTGCTGCTCCTGCCGTTGCTCCTGCCATCACCACCATCGCCACCCTCCCCCTTCTCACCCCCGTCCCTCTTCATCCTCATCCCACCCCATCTCCATCACTACTCCAATTCTGCTACCTCCGCCGCCGCCGCCGCCGCCAAACAAAAATACAGCCGCACCTGCTTGTGCTCCTCGCCCCCCCATGGCCGCCGCTCCGCCCGGGCTCGTCTCGCCTCGCCGTCCCCAGTGTCGAGCCCGTCGAGCCCGCGCCAGTGCCACATGCCAGCGCTTGGTCCTGCCGCCGCGCGCAAATGGGCGCACGCCTGCAAGGAAAGTGGCACAGTAGTGCCAGTCGTAGTGGGAGCACCTCGGGCCTCTTGAATCGTCGACGGGCCGTCTCTGCGCCCTTCCTTGTGTCGCGTCCTTTGCGAGGCACCTAGCTCGGGACATGCGACAGCTTACGAACCACGGTACCGACAGGCCTACAGCCCGTCATGGTCGCACCGCCTCTTGCTACTGCTCTGCTGCTGGCTGCGGCTATGGTTACCGCTGCGAGTCTTTCTGGCTCGCCTGACGCTTGCTCTCTCTCCATCCCACCCTCTCTCTCTTTCTCTGCCTCTCTGCCTGCTGCGTCGATGAAGAAAAAAAAATAAGAAAAAAAATACCACCATCATTACCATCGTCATCATCATCATCATCGTCACCACCACAACCCCAACCACAATCCAAAACAAAAATGTCGCCTACACCTCTCCACCCTCCTGCCAAGTGACGACAGTTGGAGTCATCCCGCATCGTCAATCACGCACGGCAGGGATGGCGCGCCAGCCTTTCATTGAGCGCCCAGGACGCGGCCTGCTGTCCTCTCATCTGCTGCAATATCTGATAGGGCTGATCAATCCGGGCGTCCGTCGGTCGTTTTGCTCTTGGGGGACGGCACCATCCCTGTCGCGACTGTTGGTGTGGAACACTGCGGCAACGGCCTTGTGCTGCTTAGAGCGCTGTGACGTGAGTCCCATGCCACGGCTAGTCAAGGCCACCGGGGCGACTCGGCGACTTCAGGCACTCTTGGTCGCGGGGCAGTGTATCGACGCCGTAGAGCGCGGGAGGGCCGATATGTCTTGCGCCGGGAGAACCGTTCGTCCCAGCCCAGCTCAGCTGCCTCCAGCACCACCACCGCCATCAAATCATCATGACTAGCACCCGTGAACACACACACGTATGGCACCCGTCCCATGCACGGCCATGGAAATAAAGCCGATTCTGGCCAGCCCAGCTCAGCCTTGCCTGCCAGCCTGCCAGCCTACCAGCCAGCCTGTGTGCCCGCCCGCGCGCGTGAGGAGAAAAAAAAACACGACCGACTTTGCTGTCGCTTCTCAGCTGCCCATTGCTTCGTGTAAGACGGGTGGCATCCGCCGCCGCCGCCGCCCACTTTGCTTTTTGGTCGAATCACGCCTCTTGACCCGACCTCCACAACTTGGCCCGACGTTCCTCCCTGGCGCCGGCGACGCGGGCTTGCGAACTGGTACCCATGGCAAAACGCCTGCTGGCGCCCCTGATTCGACGCCTGGCCTCGCGTGGGCCATGACTTACTACAGACTGGCTGACCAAGACGGACAGGCAAGCAAGCAAGCCAGCCAGACGGACCAAGATGCACCGGCACTTGTCCAGACGGTGCCGTGTGCCCGCGCCGCCTTTTTGCTCCTGCGCGCTCGTCTGCCATGAGTGGCGGTGCCGGAGGTGCCGCCGATGACGAAGCGCTCCGGACTTGGGCGGATGCTGCCATTGTGAGCGAGAAGGAGAGGGTTGCGAAACGCCCAGGGCGTATTCAGCCTCGGCATCTTGCCGGCCTGTTTGCGACTGGCTGCATAATGGGGTGACGACGCAAGCTCCAACACAACAAGAAATCGTCAGCCGTACAGGATGGTTTGTGCCTATCCTGGGAGCGCTCCGCCTAACATTCCTTCTTTCCAGCCCTCTCTCCAGATTGGGGCGGACGGCCCGCGGGACTCCAATCTAGGTTTTCCGCCGCCCAGGTTTCGTGATCGCATGCGCTGGGGCCAATCACCGGGCCCGCATTCCCCATCCAGCTGTTTTTCCCGGCGGTGCCTTGCATCCCAGCATCCGGTGCTTGGGGGGTGGTGTGGTGGGCGCTCGTGGCCGTGGACGTGGACGTGGTGGTGACGCGACGGGTAAATCCCATCTTCCTGCCACGACGCAACGCGCAAACGGTGGTGCCTCGCAAAAAACAAAGCCGGAAAACCCTTGTTCACGTCTGGGGTCACAAGGGACGGCGCATGCTGGTCAGCACCGCTATGGGCCGAGCAAGACTGTGTTTCCGCCCTGTTGCAATGGGCGGCGGGCTGCCCATCAGACTGACCGGTCGCGGCAAATGGCTGTTTAGATTATTGTTGTGCTTTGATTGACTGCCACACACCGCATTTGGGCTCATCCGAGTCAGTCACGAGGTGCGTGTTAAATGAGGGCAGATGCAGCGAGCGGCCTCAGCCAACAGAGCAGTGGACAAATGACGTTATCTGCAGCGGAGATGACCATGGCCACTCAGTTGCTCAGTCCCCATGTCGGTGCATCAGCCTTGTGCGAGGAGGGGGTGTGCGAGCGGGTGTGGGCGTGAGCGAGTGCGCGAGATACGTGTGCTGTCCGAATCCACTGCCGCAGCGCTGGCGACGGTTACACCAACTGAACGGTGCATTTGTGGGGTAACAAAGCAGCCGGGATTGATCTTCAGCCGCGCCGGGCGATTCACCCAAGCCAGCAAGCCAGCCCGCCCACCAGCCAGCAGGCAAAGCAGCGGCAGTTGTTTACAGACAACCGCCACGCCCACACCGCACATACGCATCCACCATGTACGGGCACAGGCTGCGGCGCGAAGCGCATTCAGTTTAATTATGGAAAGAAAAGAAAGGGGGGGGGATGACCCATATCGGTAGCGGTGAATCCGCGACACATGGTACGTACATCGACACAGACAACAACACACAGACAACAACACACAGACACAGACACACATAGTGTACACACGTACTCAGTCACTCACGGCGGAACAAGGCGTCGACACACAGGTCCGCGTCACTCGCTTGGTACCAGGTGTGTATCAGCGGCCCGGGACGAGGAGTGGAATTCCCGCATGTGTCCCGTTGACGTTTAGATTAACGAAGTTTGTGTCACCCTACCACTACCTTTTTTGATTTCCTTCCACCCGCAATATGCACGCCATGCTTGACTCACATGCACTTTTGCTCACATGTCTGGCTGTGCATACATCCGTCGATACTTATCACGACCTTGCATATATCCAGCTTCGAGTATACATGCACATACACATCCACAGACATATCCGTCGCTCTCCCCCCCCCCTTCCCCTTCTCCCCAACGCTCCGCCATAAGCAGCAAACCCGCCCCTTGCCCTTGCTCCCTGCGCTCCTTCGTTCCTTCCCCTCCCCAGCCCGCTCGTGCCGCGCTTCGTATGCACACATGTGCCGCGAATCCTGCCCCCCTCCCCCCTCTCCCCTCCCCATTCTTCCTCGGCGACGATATCAGGCGGGAAGACTTTTTTAATTCTTTTTTTTAGTTATCAAATCCCGCTGCGGGTCCTGCGCGGCCCCCCTTCTCACACGTGTGTATGTATGTATGTGGTGTATTGCGCGAGCGAGGACCCGCAACGTCAAGGGCAGGGGAAACTCAATGCGTGCGTGTGCCTGTCTGTGTCTGTGTGTATGTGTGCACATTAAGATACATACCACATATACCATACATACGCACGAACACACACACACACACACATACATACGCCCTGATGCATGCCTGACGGGCGGGTAGTGACACCCGCCGTTGGCAATGCGAAGCTGATGAACGGCAGTGCCTCACTTTTTTTTTTTTAAGTTTGCGTGAACAGGCATAGCATTCCTACTCGTATTCTCCTTTCCCCCACATGGTTGGATTGCATGGCGTCGTTGGTGGTGGTGGTGGTGGTTTGCGTTGCTTTTTTCCCTCTCCCACTTGGCTCGCGGCTATCCTATGTCAGTGTACGTAGTATACTTGGATCCGTAATCCGTAGGTTGGTGGGGGGTATAGGGGAGACAAGTGGGTTTGCATAACTCGCTCTTGTTCACTCATTTATCGGATACGGGGTGCGTATACATGGTCCGACACTACATACACAAGACAACACAAGACGACCACTAAGCACAACGAATGGATGAGTGAGTAAGTGGGTGAGGTGAGTAAGTGAGCCTGCAGCACTAAGCCACTCCACCACGCCTCCATTCGACACGCGAACAAGTAGCTCGAAAAAAAGACGCACTTGACGCGCTTGTGGAAACTCCCGAAGCCGCAGACACGTGTGACAGGAGAGAAAAAAATACGCCGGCAAATGTCTCTCATTGCCCTATTGCAAACCACAGAGGGTGGTGGTGGTGTGGGTAAGCCGAGTGGTGTGCAAGCAATCAAGTCCATGTGGATGTGGGTGGCGGCTTCTTCCTTTGTTCGTTCCCCCTCATCCATCAAACGCGCCCGAGTCATGCCATCTGGGAATTGGCGGACCAAGGAATCATCATGACTGCAACAACAACAACGACGACGACGACAAGACGCATGTATGCGTGTGTTGGAGTACGTGGTAAGTAGTAATAGAGTTGGATATTATTGCATGCAACGCTCCCGGAGAGGCGTGTACGCGCGCGCGCCTGCCCCACGAACACTCTCACACCACACGCATACATACGTACACACACATACAACGACAAACACACATCTTCACACCGCTTTTTACACATCATGGGCATCAACGCCGGTGAGAGAAAGAGTGGGAGTGAACGAGAGAGATTGAGCAACACCAGCCATCATCACGTCGCGCGGCCGGCTTCCTCTGCACGTCCATGTCAACCAGATTGACCGCTCACAACCCTCCCCCCCCCAAAAAAATAGGGCGGGTGCACCTGACACTATCACACGTGGATTAATGGTGTTGGGGGCGCCTGGGCTGGCGGCCGAAGTGATGGCGTAAGTCTTACCGTTATTTTGTAGCGCCGCCGGTGAAGAAGCGAACGCAGTGCGTGAGTGTGAGTTAGAGGGGAACGGGGAACAGAGGGGAGAGACAGACGCCAGCCAGCCAGCCAGCCAGCCAGCACAGCGCATGGCGGTAGCGGCGGCCGTCGTCGTACTCGTAGTGGTCGTGGTCATCGTAGTCGCAGTGGTCATCGTAGTCGTAGTGGTCGTCGTTGTCGTAGTGGTGGTGGTCGCTTTGGACTCGATGCATGACTGCAGCGATGCACCACTCTACTTGCTGTACACGGAGTAAACTAGTCGATGACATTGCAGCCAGCGCAATCAAGGCCGCCGCCGCCGCCCTGGGGGTTGGAGTAGGTAGTATGTATGTGTGTGTCTGTGCAGCCACACACTCACACACACACTATTGCCCTGTGTTAGCCGTGCCGTGTCTCTCTGTCTGCCTCTCTTTTTTTCTCCTTCTCTTTCCCGGCTGTGTCCGTCTCTTTTCTCTTTCAGTCTCTTGCTCTGGCACATAGGCGCCCTTGACGACACGGCCGCGGCGGAGACATGGCATGCTGTGTACACGTTGCGTTAGGCCGATACGGCCACGGCCCGGGGCGCACTCGTTGTCCGTCTGGGATGCATGGGTTCCGCAGCAACCCCCCTCCCCTCTCTAACGCGTCTGAGATCAAGGCCAGCCATTCCAGCCATCCATCCGTCCATCCATCCAGCCAGCCATCCAACCCACCAGCCCGCCTGCGAGGCCAGCTGCATTGCATGACCATTATTCTTGTCGTCGAATTGGTTGCCGCGAGATTGCGCGCGAAAATAGCTGGGCTGGGAGGGGGGGCCGGGGGGGCACGGCGGCTAAGCAGCAGCAGTAGCAGCCTTCTGGTGTCAGCGGGCATGCAAGTTGGAGAGGGGGGAGGGGGGGGAGGGGGGGAGGGAGCGAAGCCAAAAAAAAATGTTGGAGTCGGCATGCCATGGGCGCGCTGGCGCAACACACCCCCCCTCCCGCGTCGCTCCCTGGCTGGCCCCAACAAGAGGCGCTACGAGCAACACACGGCAAAAGAGGGCCAGGACTGGGACCAGGGGGGGGAGGGGGGAGCGGAGACGCCTTTCCGCTTTTGTGGATTTGCATGGGCTAGGATCTGAGCGTGCATGAGACCCGAACGCTACACTAGCGCATCACATGACCGTTAGTGTCATGCGGTCTCCCGCAATGCCAAGCGCGATAGACAACGGGCACAAGCGCTAACGCACGATGACTTGGCTCGTCGCATGGCCTTCGCTTGGGCCAGCCAGTCAGCGCCACTGCCGCTGCATTACACAGGCGTCTATTGGCGGGTTTCGCGCTTGTGGCCCACCCCGTCTGTCCGCTGCTGCCCGCCCCTCGACCAATCCCGCGCGCCAGATGGCCCCCCTCGGCTCCAGAGGCCGCGCCATGAACATGCGTTGCTGGATTCAAAATCAAAAAAACTGTCAAGCCTCGTCATCTGCTGCATCGCCGCCATCGCCATCGCCGTCGCCATTGCTCTCGCCATCGCCGCCCGCCGCCCCGTCCGACTCCGCCTCCCCGTCCCCCTCCGCATCCTCGTCGCTCGAGCCTGACGTGTCGTCGTCTGGCATCACCACGCCGTTGAGATAGCTGATCTGCGGCCCTTTGTTAGCAAATCATGCTACCACGCCCCGCGTCACTGCACTGCCAATCCCCGTCCTGCCCTTGCTCCATCGTGACTCTGTCGCCTGCCTCGCTACAGGCCTCTTCCCTCACACACCTGCCGCCGCTCTTGCCCCCCCTATGGCGTCCAATCATGGCCAATGCCCGGAACAAAACAATCTGCTAAACTTACAAAAGGCGACATGGCGAGTACGAGCTCAGCTACTCGACCCAGCCCGCCTGGCCCGACAATCTCGTCGTCCTCAACCTTACGCCCCAGCGTCAAGCTGCGGAGCCGCAGGAGTTCAATGTCTCGGTGATTGTGATCGTAGCCCTGCGCGCGTGTCTTCGTTAGCATATGCTTGAAGAAAAAAAAAATTTGGCCTAGCCACTCCCTCTCTCTCTCTCTCTCTCTCTCTGTGCATGCCAACCACCACGCCCCATTGCTTTGGTTGGAAAACAAAACGGGCCAAAATACTACGACTACTACTAACTGCCAAACATGGCCCCAGCTGACGTGGTGCCCAACCCTTTCCCCCTTCAGCTTGTTGGGTGCGGGGCAGTTTCAAACTCTAAATTTGTTAACGGCACAGCGTCGCAAACGCAGAAGCTCCAGATACTCTCCCTCTCCTCCTTCCTCCGAAGCTTATTTGTGAACTGCACCCCCCCCCTCCCCCATCTGCACGCGCATACGCAAGTGAAGTCACCCATCACCAAGCAACGATTGGCAAATGCAGTCATTTTTCCACCCGTCCCACGTCTCTCCCCTCCCCCCTCATATGCATACTCCCAATTTCATGCCAATGACGCTACATCCGCCGTAATTGTTGGCCGCCCTTGCTGCTGCTGCTGCTGCTGTTGCTGTTGCCCCTCCTCTTCGCTCATACGAGCATTGATACCTGTTTTTTTCTCTCTCTTCTTCTTCGGGCCCCCAAAAGACAACAAACTCGACCAGCACAGTGCAAGTGGGTACTTACTTTGGGGTTGCGCTTGAGCGCCGTCGACTTGTTCATGGGCAAGCTGGTAAAAGCCTTGACAGCCTTGTTGTCGTCGTCCTTGACACCGGCGAGGAACGAGTCTCGTATGGCGCGAGACCTGAGAACCGCTTTGAGCTTGTGTGGTTTGCGGTCGATATCACGCCGGAGTTTGGCTAGCGCCGCCGCGTCGGGCTGCCAGTATCCACCACCTAGTATATTTGTTAACACACACACACACAAAAATTGTCCGTCAATATCTATGTAGATTTTGAGAATATGGCAAAAGAAAAAAAATAAAGGCTCCTGGGATACCCCCCCACCTCCATGTGACGTTTACCCGCACACCTTGCGACGTGAAACAATCACAAACGAGGTCACCCCCCCAAGAAACAGACCCTTCCCCTCCTCGACCCCTCCTTCGCACCGACGTATACACCGAACCGGGGGGGGGACGTTAATAAGATAGCAGCGTGGCCGTGCTACCCGTAGCCGAAGTGCTATATCCGTCTCCGTGCGGCCGCGACTGTCAGAGAACATGTGTTGTCACGTAGCACGGGTACAACGGGAAGCAGCAGCAGCACCACGACGCCCGATGGCGCGCGATACCAAGGTCCCGCGCCCCATTCGTACAGCAGATAGCATAAAAAGGCGGTGGTCATTGCTGACGGGCATTGCTGCGTTCAGCACACCAGCCAACTGATTCGCCCTTTGTTCGGTTTCTGGCAGTGGCACGGCAGCCGTGACACGGCAGCCCTTCTGGATACCCCGTCACGAGACTCGGGCAAGGCGAGAATGCCAGGCGACAGCGATTCGGTCGGAGGCCATCACACGCATACAACCCTTGGGGACATGTGCATAGACGGTGCGTGCGCATGTAGGCGGGGAGAGCGCACACGCACTATGGCAGCCACGAGGCCCAAGTCGTGTCCGGGAATGGGTTCCGCAACAGCTCCAGGGCGGAGCTGCCGAATGCAAAGAGACGTACATGTGGACTGGAAATGGAGAATGTGAGCACATACCTACAAAGCTTCCACCGTTCGGTTGCACTTGCACGTAGTAGTGCGCATACGGGCCCTTGCGCCCCGTCCTGGACCATGCCGCCGAAAAGTAAGTCTGTACAACCCGTCAGTGCGCTGTGTTGCTCGTATGTAACGACCATGTTTTGGGGACAAAACAAATGTTTGCTTGGTACAGCCACGCTTGGACATGGTCCGCTTCCGACTTTGACAACTTGGCAAACGGCCCTTCGAAACACGAGCGAGTCGTTCTCACCTTGTACGGTGTCGGGTCCTTTGAGAAACGAATGTCTGTTTGTGTTAGCGTACTACTACATGGTCTGTATGCCTCAAGCTCTCACCTCTGTATATACGATAGATCTATGTATGTGTGTTAGTTGAACAAGAAACACTCCCCAAAAGCGTGATGTTTGTGACACGTACCACGTCTTTGACTGGCAGTTCTGGAATCGTCTCGTCTGCTTCAATGACTTTCTCAGACACCTTTTCGACAAACGTGGTAAAGTCCTGGAATGCCGCACGAAAGTCTGGGTCGTGTACTATATATGTACATGTCAGTCCCGTCTCCGCGTGTGGTGGCCTTTGGAAAAATGCCTCTCGAGAGTCAGAAAACGCGAGAAAGACACTCACACTTCAGCCACTTTCGATCGTTGTTGGCAGCCAGGTCTTGCAAGAATAGCATCGTGTTTGGGTGGATAGTGTGGTCCTGGTACGGCGTGTCACCTGCATCTCGCGCTTTGGGCTTCTTGATAATCAGTCGCGTTCCGGGCTCGAGTTTGGCTCCTGGTTTCCAGAGTTCGCTCTCATCCGCCTTTTTCTTGTGGATAGGAAGCTTCTTGGCAGGGCGCCCTCGGGGGGTTCGCTTGCTCGCGCCATCTTCTTCGCTAGCAGTTTCATCGGGCTCAGACTCTGACGACGGCGCCTTGCCACCGTCTTCCTCGTAGTCGGAGGCCGCGGCATCTCCTTCATCATCAGATGAAGGCTCTTTTTTCTTCATACCATCTCCTGCTTCATCCGTGTCGGTTTCTGGCTCCACGTAAGATTTCCTCGCGTTCGCCCGCGCTCTTTTCGACTGTCTCTGTGGTGTTTCCGGGGCGGCGCGCTTAGAAGAGCTCCTAGGCGCAGACGCACCCGTCTTTTTGACTGTTTTACGCGGCATGCTGAGGTTTCCAAGAGCCAACCAAAGTGTCGAAGTGATGATATGTTGTTGTAGTAGTTGTTGTTGTTATTGTAGAGATGGCTCCTGGGTTGTTCGGGGGTAACAAAGAGGTGCACTGGCCACTGATGACGCACACGAACGCGAAAACCCAGCGCGGTGTCACGAGTTTCGCGCACGCCTTACAACCACGGTCCCCCCGTAGACATGACCACTCGCTTCCAGGCTCGCAAGCAAAAGATTCTCCAACAGCTTGACACCCCAGATACCGAATATCACGACCTGTCGCCAAAGGGCTCCGTTGACGCCCCAATTCGAGGACTGATTGGCGAGATCAATCGCTTCGAGGGCTTGGTCACCACTAGCAGCTGCTCAGGGCGCATCAGTGTATTTCTTGAAGGCCGTAAAGCAGACACTGCTGTCATAGATACCCCTGCTGAAGGCGATGACTCGCGAGCTGGACCTGGAGGAAAAGGTGGTGGGGGCTCATGGCTCTTCATCTCTCATGAGCCAGTTCAAAGCGAGGACCCAACCCGTGCCTTTATGTCTGAGTTCGGACTGAAGCCACTTGGACCCGAGAACAAGGCTCCTTCAGTCTCTAGTAGATACATTCATCTCAAATTCGAGCCTATGGTGAGAGCAAGCACAGCTGCAAACAGCCAAGTCTAACAACTCCCAGATTCTGCACATATTGACCGCATCTATGGACCAGGCCCAGCTTGTCCTCAATGCAGCACTGACAGCCGGGTTCCGTGAAAGCGGCGCCGTGAGTCTGGCATCGACAAAGATCAGCGATGCAAACCCGATGGTGGCGGTTCGATCTGCCGGGTACTCGTTTGACTCCATCATAGGCTATCAAGATGAAGCCTGTGAAAACATTGCTCTGATCGATGAAAGGTATTTGAAGATATTGATCGACATTGCAAACGAGCGCTTCAAGATCAATGGCGACCGAATAGCCCGCTTTCGTAATGCACTGCTCGAGTCGCAGCAGCACGGTACTTTGCATACGCCGGCCTCGTCCAAGCCAGACTGGGAGGATGCAGATGCTAGAAAACGGAGGAAGAGAGAGGAGGGACTGGCACGGCAGCAGGCTCTGAAGGATGAAGTTTCACAGACTCAAAACCAGTCGGCAGAAGGGGATGCGGATGACATTGGAGGAATGTTTTCATGATACCAGCAGTCTGTAATGTGAGATTTTCTTAGAATATTTGACTTTAACAAATAGCTGGTGATGCGAATACTCTACAAGCCTTTTTTATACAATTTAGGTTGCAATGGGTATCTCCATAAAGAAGGTCTTGTGAGCAATCGCGCTCCAAAACAGACTATTATGCAGCATCTTACATCTAACGCCATAGCTGCCATTGAGTCTCACAAATTTTGATATTATTCATAACAGGTGTTTCTGGACTATGAGCATCAAGTAGCCTTGCAAAACTCTGATGACCGTCTAGCCGTAGCTCCAGAGTCATCCTGACATCTGGCATTTGTTCCCGTAAAGTTCCAACCAGACACAGAACCCTGATATGTTTCCGTTGCGAAAAAGTTTCCATTGAGTACAAAGACACGCTTCTGCTCCCCTTTAACCGTCTTAGCCAATAAGGGCATTAGCGTGTGTACCTGGTATGTCTCTGATGCTAGACCCGGCGACTTTACTATGGTGCACGCCTTGCATCTCTCCGTCGCCCTGGCTACAGTATAAAAAGCAGAAGAACCGACCATCCATTCCCCAGCAATCTGCATTATTCAATCGCGTTACCACAAAGAACATCCTCTTTGATCGCCCCGCCAAAACGCGATTTTCAACACCACGCACTCATTGCCCCACTCGCAACTACGAAACCCACAACACACACACTCACACACGCACTACAAACATGAGCTACGCAGACGCCAACCGTCGTTATTTCGAGTAAGACTTTCTCCCCCTTTTCCCCATTTCAACCCTCATACGCACACACACATACACACCCAGAAATCCACAGGGCGACTAGAAAAGAATACGAGAAAAAAAAGGAAGAAAGAATCAGAGATTCTCACCTCCCCACGCATTTCCAAAAGCAACGAAACATCAATAAGATCAACCCTTCCCTCCAATTTTACGTATAACTATGTGTTTATGTGCAATAGCTAACACGAAGATCATCACCCCCACCACAGTGCCATCTCGGATTCGTATGACTCGAAGCCATGGTTCGCGAAAACAAATAATCTCGTTACCGATGCCCTGCGCTCAGACCTGGCGTGGATCGGCGTTCCGCTGGGCGCAGGAGAAGCAAGTGCGACTCCTCCTCCTCCTCCTCCTCCCGCTGCAGGGACCGCGGAAATCCGCTTACTGGATTATGCCTGTGGCACGGGGTTGATGACGAGGGTAATACTTTTTCTCTCTCTTTCACTTTTCTCCATCGAACTTGCTTGCTTGCTGTATCTCGTTTCTCGCACGTGACTGGACTGGGCGGAAAGAGGTAGTTTCTAAGGACATGGTGTTTGTTCCGATGGGGCTTCTACGATGGTGTGGAAACCCATGGTCCATGATGCAGACTTTGTATCCTTATGGCTCAAGAACAATATCAATTCACTGACTACCCTACAAATAGGTCTTCGGGCCCTACGTCACGCGCACCACGGGCATCGATATATCGCCAAACATGGTCTCGACGTACAACCAGCGCGCACGGGACGTAGGACTCGCACCGGACACCGTCAGCGCCGTGGTAGGCAACCTCTTCGACAAGGCCGATGCAAGCCCAGCCTCGCTTTCCGGGCCCGAATTCTGGAACTTTGACCTTGCCACCGTGGGCTTTGGGTTCCACCATTTTGAAGATGTCGTGTTTGCCGCGAGCCAGCTGCGCGAGCGCCTCAGGCCCGGCGGCGTGCTGCTGATTAGCGATTTTCTCGAGGGTGGGGATGTGCTGGCGGATGAGAAGGGGGATATGATTGAGGGGAGTGAGGGTAATCATGCTGTGCATGACCATCATCATCATCATCACCACCATGGACACGGGCATGGACATGGACATGGACATAGCCATGAGCAAGATTCCGGCTCAAAAAAGCACGACTCCGCCCACGACTCCTCCAACGAAAAACACGACGTCTCCGATACATCCGCGTCATTCCAGCGCAAAATGGCCGCCTCAGTCGTCGTCCCGCACTTCACCAAGTCAGGCGTGCAGCAGTTCTTCACCGAAGCCGGTTTCGTCGACGTGGATGTCATCACCATGAAGGAAAAGTGCTACATGGAATTTGCAGGCAAGAAACTATGGCGAACTGTATTGTTTGCGCGAGGCCGAAAGCCCCTGGGTAACTTAGATAATAGCAACAATGACAACGAGAAGAGTGAGTTGTAGAAAGGATTGAGATGGTGGAGTACAAATGAAAAACAAGGACAAGGAGATGCTTTGTGTGGATATGGTGGGTGGATGGATGGATAGATAGATATATAGGGGGTTGATAAGGAAAATATATGGAATGTACGCAGACGTACCGAGACAGAGACAGAAACAGAGACAGACAGACAAACAGACAGAATAGATCTAGGATATCGGAATCTTTGAAGCAAACAACGCCAAAAGGGAAAGAAAGAAAGAAAGAAAAGAAAAGAAAAGAAAAGAAAAGAAAAGAAAGAAGAAGAACAGCCAACCCCCCTCTTATTTCTCAAACACTCTCTTTCTCTCTCCAACATCCAGCAATGAATCTCGCAAACTCACCACTTCCCCTGCAGCGTCAAATCCCTACTTGAAAAGCCCACCGCAATGCCGATATCGCCAGTAGATGGCAGCACCCAATTCTGCCTCTTAACATCCCAATAGCTCAGATCCCTTCTCGTGACGTCGAACTGGACGAGCTTCCCCTTGCCGTGTTCGAGATGGATCTTTTCAAAGCCGCGGAGGACGCGAACGGGGAAGTCGACAGGCTCGCCCGTCTCGTGGTCCTTGTAGTTTTGCGGGAGCGAGATGTAGAGCTGGACGACGGTGGCGCCGTCGAGCGGGCCTGTGTTTTCGAGAGAGGCAGAGACGGTCAGGAGGACGGTGTAGAGATCGGGATTGCCGCCTGGACCGCCGCCTGCGTCGCTGAGTGGAGATGGCGGTTGGGGCGTTGCAGGCGCGGATTTCTTGATGCCTTTGACCGAGTCGAGCCAGGGGTAAATGTATCGCTCTACCTGTTTGAATCCGTCTGGAAACAGGACTGATTCGGGACTAGGGAGATCGGTAGGGTAGGATGGCGGTGTTAGGCCGTCTGGGCGAGGCTTGGGCAGAGGCGTTTTGGGGCTCTTCTCTTGGATCAGGAGCGAAGACAATGTAAACTCGGTGTACGACAGGCCGTAGCCAAACTCGTATCGTGGCGTGATGTTTTTCTTGTCAAAATAGCGGTAGTCGATGTACAGACCTTCTGAGAAGTCCTGCTGAGGGGCGAGTCCGTCAGATGGGCTAGGAAGGTACTTGACCTTGCTGCCTGGACCAAAGTCATCCTCGTTCTTAGCAATGGTGTAGGGTAGACGACCAGAAGGATTGACGTCGCCAAAGAGGACATCTACAAGGGCGTTACCGGACTCTGTACCAGGAAGGTTGGCAATGAGTACTGCCTTGACATTCATCAGGTCGACAAAGTCCTCTACAATGACAGAGCCGACTGTGTGGATAACGACAACCACGTCGCCCATGCCTTCTCCACAGCCCTTTGCAACATCCTGGATGAGTTTGTCACCGCCCTTTTGCAGCTTGAGATCATTTCGGTCGCCCCGAATGCTTTCGTAATGCTGGTAGCCTTCACCCGAATCGGCGTTGGCGAAGACGATGCAAAGGTCTTGGTTTTCGAGTATCTCCTTTTCTTTGGGCAGCGTGTTCTCCAACCAGTCCGTGACATACACAGTCTCATTGTTGAAAGCCTTTCTGATTGCGGACATGGGGTCGACCAGATACGAGAAGTTAACCGCACCGGAGCCCCAACCGGAAGCCAGAGTTCCCTCGTTACAGCTTTGGTCCGGGCAGTGATTGATACCCTCGTGAGGGAGACGTGCATCTTCGCCAAAAATACCGACACGGAACTTTGTCTTGCTGCCGTCCGTCTTCCAGCCTTTGCGATTGAGCGGTAGCATCTTGCCTTCATTCTTCACCAAGACTGTGCCTTCGGCCGCAATACGACGCACCAAGTGTCCATGGGCTTCTTTTCCTTCTCCCTGAGCGTTGACGTACTGGTTGACCACACCCGTATCGTGATTCGAAGGGCTCCCTTCGTGCAGCTTTCCGATGCGGTCATTTGTCCAGGAGGAGAAGTTTGGTCCATCGTTCTTCCACTTGTCCTGGCCGACCTGGTACCAGGAGGCAACAATACGGGTGACCATATCGTCGACGCGTTCAATGGGTATGCTACCATTAAGGACTGCTCTAGTCAGCTCCGGGCCCCACAGACTGTTGCCCTTGGCCCATCTGAGGCCATCTCCTGGCATCGTCATGTCCAAACCTGCCAGAGCGCTCGCCACGCCAGAACGCTGTGCCAGCCAATCGCTCTGAACGAAACCTTGAAAGCCTAGCTCGTCTTTCAAGACGCCGTTGAGCAACTTGGAATTTTGGCAGGCATAGCTGGAGTTTACCTGGTTGTATGAACACATGACCGACGTCACACCAGCCTTGACAGAATCGGCGAATGGCCACACATAGATCTCATGGAGCGTGCGGTCATCGATATTGCTCGAGATGGCATTCGGTAGACCCCACTCCCATGCTTGTCTAAAGTGTTCTTGCTCATTGCCAACGTAATGCTTTGCAGTGGCCATGACGCCCTCGTCTTGAATGCCCTTGATCGTCTCGGCGGCAGCGATGCCCTGGAGTACAGGGTCTGAGCCAAAGCCTTCCCAGACACGTCCGCCCGCGGGCATCCGGCCGAGAGGTCCCATAGCAGGGCCGAGTAGTACATTAACACCTTTTAACCGTGCCTCTTTGCCGTGTGCCTTGCCTCGCAAATAAAACAGCTCCTTGCTCCATGTCGCGCCAGTAGTGATTCCAGCAGGGAAGCCGGTAATGTTGTCGGCGAATCGAATACCCAACGGACCATCCTGGTTGAATTAGCACATGCCCACGGCTGCCCCTCTGACGATGCGTACCTGAAGACACAGACTGGGAAACTTCAGCCTGTCCACGCGCCCAGTTTGGCCCACGCAAAGGTCCATGCTCCATCCCGTACCAGTCGTGATGTTGACCTTTTCAGGCAGCGTCATCTGTTTTACCAGCTCGGCAGCCTTCTTGTAGCTCTCCTCCCAGGCCTTGTCCGTTCCACCCTTGGGCGAGGGATACCACGGCTGACTCAGGCCATTTTCGGACACCGATACCTTGTACGCCCATATGCCACCAGACGCCAGAATCAGGACAGTTGCTGCAATAAAGACCAGCAGCCAGCAGCAACAGCGGCCCAGTGCGCATCTGGATTTCCGTTGGTGGGTAGGAAAGGGCGTCACAGCCTCGGTGTCTCGGTACGAGGCCTTGCGGACTTTGAGGTCGCCGGCGCTCTTCTTGCGCTTCAGCCTGCTATCGAATGCGAGGGGATCGTCCTCTTCGAGATCCTCGAGGGTTCCATTAGACTCGGAGGAGAAGCGCGTTGGGGTCTCGACATCGTCGTCGCCGGGGGCATCGAGCCTCGCGTACTTGGTGCGCCGCAGCTCGTGGAACTCGTATGGAGCCATGGTGTTTGTGAGGGAGTGAGGGAGTCTCGGTCAGTGCAAGGGGAACACCCGAAACGATATGGTAGTCGTGCATGCGGCCGGGACAGCGAGACTACTTGAAACGGCGCGAGCGTGAAGCCCTAGTTATATTGAGGCTAGCATTGAAGCGTGTGGGTGCGTGGTTGCTACGATGGAGCGACAGATGCAAACGTAAGGGCAAGCCGTGTTTGGTAGGTAGGACGGGAGGCACAGAGAGCAACTCTGGGCCATGGGCGTGGGCGTGGCTCGAGACTTGTTTCATCCGGCAGTCGGCGCCCTTGGGGCCGGGATGTCGCCTTGTCCCTGACACTAGACGCCCGCCGCCGCCGATCTCGTGGGCCGCTCCCGTCTCGCCTCCACCAGGGCTGATTGCCCAGCACATGGCCATATGATAATACGCCTTGCACTTGGACTGCACTGAGACTGGACTTGCTGGCCACCGAGGTCCTGCCAGGTGGCTAGGGAGTTGTGTTGCAGTTTTAGCTGCATGTTTAAGTCCGGCATCGGTAGCCTCTGGTGCACGAAGAAATGGACGCTGATTGGCTCTAATGAGCTCTGCTGCTATTGGCCAGGCCAATGCCAAGATATACAAGCCGTCTACTCACGTGACAACCCAGAGTAACAGCAGCAGAATGAAACCAGCTCTCTACAAGGCCACAAGAGGTTGGCGGGTGATAGGAGCCTGTTCCACTTTGTCGATGTATCGTGGGAAGTGATGCCCAATTTTGATTCGTGTAAAAAGATAAAATCATAAGGCCATAACAGGTAATGGCGAATCTAATGCTCTCCACGTAGTAGTTATCAAGGAAGAAAGCTCAATAACAAACTAAGCAGCGAGAAGCTGCACCTCTTTTCAGCTCTGCCACGGGCTGTACAAACGTTTAAACTCATCGCATTTTTGATCATATCTTGACATCTATCTACTACATTTCGTGGCTGCGAGCATGCAAATCTATGCTCCGACCTGGTCCAGGATACCCTGGAGGTTGATGGACTTGGGGCGCTCGATTGGCAGGCCCAATGCCCTGTCCCAGATGAGCTGTGCGAGCGGGCCGAGACCACGGCTGACTCCGAAAGTAGCAGTGTAGTAGAGCGTCTCCTTGAAGCCGTAGTGGTGGAAGAGGACACCCGACGACGAGTCGACGTTGGGGAAGGGGTTCTTGGTCTAGGAAAAAGTCAGCGACTGCTTGCTTTCGACACGGGCGTCTCTTACCTTTCCGTGCTCCTTGAGGACGTTGGGAGCAACCTCCGAGTTCTTCTTGACGAGCTGGTAGACGGGGTCTGCCGCAATCTCAGGTCGGGCATTGGCAAAGTCCATGAGCGCCTCGAATCGCGGGTCGGGCTTCCTGAGCACTGCATGGCCGTAGCCGGGGATGACTCGTCCAGACTTGAGGACGCTCCACAGGAAGTCGTTGACGTCCTGCTCGGTGAACTTTTCACCAACAACCTTTTGCATATCGAGGATGAAGCGCAGCACCTCCTGGGCAGCGAGGCCGTGCAGAGGACCAGCAAGTCCCTGGAGACCGGCGCTGTAGCTCAGGAAGGGGTCACTGAGCGCAGATCCGACCAAGTGGGTAGTATGGGCCGAGACATTGCCGCCCTCGTGGTCGCCGTGCAGAGCAAGGTACAACCGGAGGAGGTCCTGGAAGCCTTCGTTCTCCTTGCCACCCTTGCCCAACATGGCGGCAAAGTTGTACGACCAATCTTGGTTCACATCAATCTCATTCGGAAGAGCGCCTCCACCGCGGTATGCGTTTTGGTAGATCTTGGCAGCAATGGTGGGCAGCTTTGCGAGCAGGCTAATGCAGTCGTCAAAGGTGGGCTCCCAGTAGTCGGCCTTGTTGATACCCTTTTCGTAAGCTTTGGCAAACTTGGACTCGTAGTTGAGGGCGGAGACAGCGCATGCGAATTGTGTCATGGGGTGGAGGTCCTTGGGGAAGTCGTCCAGCATCTTCTCGACAAACTTGGGAATGCTGCCCTTTTCGGCGAGCTCCCGCGAAAGCGCACGCGTCTGTGATACCGAAGGCACCTCTCCAGTCAGAAGAAGCCAGAACATGGCCTCGGGCAGCATCTCAGTGCCAGATGTACCCTTGGGGAGCTCCTTCTGGCAGTCCTTGATGGTCTTGCCGTGGAATCGGATACCCTCGTTTGCGTCGAGCACTGAGCCCTCCCAAACCATGGCCTTGAGACCTCTTGTCGCTGTCAGGACTTGCCCTATCTCTCTGTCTATATTGTGCATACCTCATGCCACCCAGCGCATTCTCCACCTTGACATCGCCGAGCTTCTTGTCCGCGTGCGACTTGACTTTCTTCAGGAGCTCGCGCTTGGCGGGCAGGACCTTCTTGAAAGTCTCCTTGAGGTCAGGCTCGGACGAGGACGAGTAGCTGCATGATTGTACTGATCACACAATGAATATATCAGCGCTTGAGCAATTGATGTAGACGGCGGGTTTGCATACCAGCGACAAAAGGACGCGCCTGTGAAGCTTTGGTCAGTTTTTATTCCATGTACAACACAGCCAGCCAGACCGCCTAGAGCTTACCTTGGCTGCTCGTAGAGCTCTAGAAGCTGTTCGTGCACTCAATGCCATAGCTACTCGTGTGTGGGGTGGATGTGGGGGAGAGGAAGTGTTCACTCGGCACAAAAGATTCACGACAAGGCTCAATGGCAGACACACAATTTCACCGTGGACGGACAAGAGGAATTCCCGCGGCAACTTTCGGCAATGCTGTGGGATTGGACTGACACAGGCTGGCCTGTCGTGGAGTTCGACGCGCAGCTATGGACCGAAGAGGGGCAGCAAGACGCGGCTAGCGGTGGGCTACCTCGGTTCTGACGTCGGCCATGGGGGGAAATGCTGGAGAAGTGTTGCCGCACACATACAGACAACACGCCACCGCATTCAATCCATTACTGCCGCCCCCGACGTGATAGATAGCGTCGCTTTCTGCTCGAGTCGAGAAACAAGACGCGACAAGGCGGGTGGCAGCTGTTGTCGCTAAAATTCGCCTCCACGCCGCGGATACTTTTCCGCCTCCTGTCGCCTGCCATTCCCAGGCCACCACTCCCGATTGAAAAAGTATAGGGCAAGCTGCTGCTGGGCTGCGCCTTGCTCTGCTCCTCTTACGCTCGCCATGTTCCGAACAGTATCGCGCTCCGTCGCGCGCAGCAGCCGGCCATCGAGAATAGCGAGCCGAACACCACAACTCCTGCGCCCTCTCTCCACCACCGCGTACCGCATGTCGAGCTCCGTGCTGAAGCCTGTGGATCCCCCAGTGTCCACAGCGCTGCCAGGAGATTCATTCCAGCTGCTCCCCGAAGCTGCGAAAGCAGGCCAGGCTGAAGATGCCCTCTTCGACGAGCAGGTGCAGGCTGTGAAGGACTGGTGGGCCTCGCCACGATACAAGGGCATCAAGCGGCCATACTCTGCAGAGGATGTCGTGAGCAAGCGTGGAGCGCTTCCACAGTCATATCCCAGCTCATTGATGGCAAGGAAGCTCTTCAACCTGCTTGAAGAGCGGGCGGCAAAGGGCGAGCCAGTACATACCAGTGCGTCTACCCATGGCTGTATAGATAGAACAATGGCTGATCATGGCTCTCCAACCATCAGTGGGTGCAATTGACCCGATCCAAATGTCCCAGCAAGCTGCGAACCAAGAAGTTCTCTATGTCTCGGGATGGGCGTGCTCATCCGTCCTGACCACCACCAACGAAGTCTCTGCCGACTTTGGCGACTATCCTTACAACACGGTGCCGAATCAGGTGCAGCGGCTGTTCAAAGCACAGCAACTGCATGACCGCAAGAACTGGGACGCAAGGCGGAAGATGACTCCAGAGCAAAGGGCCAAAACCCCATACCTGGACTACATGCGCCCAATCATAGCCGATGGCGATACCGGGCGGGTATACTCAAACTCAAAGACTAGGCTGTCAGCTAACACTCTGCAGACACGGAGGTCTCTCAGCGGTCATCAAGCTCGCCAAGCTCTTCGCCGAGAACGGAGCTGCAGGTGTGCATTTTGAAGATCAATTGCACGGCGGCAAGAAATGCGGACATCTCGCAGGAAAGGTGCTTGTTCCTGTCGGCGACCACATCAACCGTCTGGTGGCAGCACGATTCCAATGGGACATGATGGGCAGTGAGAACCTAGTGATTGCGCGTACAGACTCGGAGAGCGGCAAGCTTCTCTCCAGCGCAGTCGACGTTCGAGATCACGAGTTCATCAAGGGCGTCACAGAGGAGACGGAGCCATTGGCTGAAACGCTGCAAAACATGGAGGCCGCAGGTGCTCCAGGCAAGGAGATTGACCAGTACGAGGCGGCGTGGGTGAAGAAGCACAAGCTCGTGACGTTTGACGAAGCCGTTGTCCAGCACCTCGAAAAAGAAGGCGCCTCGCAGTCGTCAATCGACTCGTACCTCGAGGAAATGAAGCAGAACCCAGACTTCTCCCTCCTCAAGCGCCGAAAGGCGGCTGAAAAGTACACAAAGACGCCCGTCTACTTCAACTGGGACATTCCCCGCACAAGGGAGGGCTTCTACCACTACAAGGCTGGTGTTGCGGCCGCCACAAAGCGCGGCAAAGAGTACGCACCCTATGCCGATCTCTTGTGGGTTGAGACGGGCGACCCCAACGTACAAGAGGCGGCCAAGTTCGCCAACGAGATCCGCGCCCTTCACCCTGGCAAGAAGTTTGTGTACAACCTATCGCCAAGCTTCAATTGGATGGGCCAGGGCTTCTCGGAAGAGGCACTCAAGTCCTTTGTGTGGGATTTGGCCAAGCACGGGTTCGTGTTCCAGCTCATCTCTCTGGCCGGAGTACACTCCACTGCCACCATTACCTGTGAGCTCAGCCGAGCATTCAAGGACGAGGGAATGTTGGCATACGTGAAGCTGGTGCAAGCGAGAGAAAAGGAGCTGGGATGTGATGTTCTTACACACCAAAAATGGAGCGGTGCTGGGTACATTGACGGCATCTTGGGCGCGATACAAAGTGGAAGCTCAGGCAGCAAGAGCATGGGCGAGGGCAACACCGAGTCAAGTTTCTAGATGTAGGATGCGCAGAGGCTTAGTTCTGCAAAAGCATAAAAATCAAAAGTCGGGACCAAGATCGAATGAGATGCTATCAGGTGTGCTGCCTATCGGATGCCATGCTGGCGCTGTTCAACCAAAGCGGATAGGCCGCATCTGGGGCTCTTGCCTCGGTCCAGCCATGTTTCCCGAGCACCCATGGCCGCTCATGACAACGCGCCGGCCTCCATTCCACGCCACGTACAATCTCTCCACACAATAGACAAATTACCGCCGTCCCGCACTCATGTCGGGCAAGCCTGCGATACCCGAATGGCAGCGCGCTTCTGCGGCCTCGTCTTCCTCAGATGATGCCGCATCCTCGCCCACGCAAGAAGAAGCAAACGCGCAACCGGCTGCAGAAGCCCCAACACCAACCGAAGACGACGTCGCACAGCAAGATGGCGAGGAGCAGCATTCTGAAGATACAAGTCTGCTAGAGCAGGCATCGCGTTTTCTCGATGACCCTGCAATCCGCGAGGCTCCCCGGGACAAGAAGATTGCCTTCTTGGAGTCCAAGGGAGTGGGCGCCGACGACATCAAGACATTGTTGGGCGAAGATACACAAGAGACAAGCCCGGTCGAGGTCGAGGAGGCTGAGGAGGTTGCAGAGCGGGCGTGGCCAACAGTGAGTATTGACCTGACCTCCTGGCGCATGAAGAATCACCGCCAGGGCGTTGCAGACCGACATGTTGACGCTTTCAGACACCGCCCAAGCCTGCGCAAGTACCCGAAGCTCAACCCCAGCCCCAGCCGCGCGAGATACCCCCAATCGTCACATACCCAGAGTTCCTCGCAAACACGGAGAAGCCGCCGCCTCTCATCACTGCCCAGCGCCTTGCGACGACAGCATACGTAGCAGGAGGCTTCATGGCGAGTTTATACGGGCTATCCAAGTACATCATAGCGCCCATGACACACGGCCTCTCAGAGTCACGGTGCGACTTCGCTTCGCATACCCAAGAGCAACTAAAAGAGCTCAATCAACGATTGCGCAAGGCCGTGTCCGTCGATCCCGCCAGCAAAGTAAAGCCTCTCGAAGACGCTGCCGACGATGTATCCGAAGCCGACTCAGATCCCACTGAGCTCTACCATCGCGACTATGGTACTCAGACCACACCCAACCTCTCCCGCCGTCCTTCGGCTTCTGCAGACCCACACCCTACCGTAACCGCGCAAGAAAACCGCCTAAAGATAATAAAGTCGCACCTCCAGGAACTCCAGACGACCAACTCGAGCCAGAGTACATCGCGGGATGCGGTAAGGACAAAAGTGTCCGACTTGACGACATACTTGACCGAGATGGATTATCAGAACCAATACTATCCCGGCACGGGCCGCTATGGATCGACTTTCGGCTGGTCCAACGGCAATCAGGAGTTCAAGAATGACCAGATTGAGGCGCTGAAGAACGATATCCGGGCTGTCAAGGGCGTGTTTTTGAGTGCCAGGAATTTCCCCGTTGGCGGAAGGAATGTCACGCCAATCCCTACAGGGAGAGTTGGCTCGTAATGTGATGGCATGAGGAAAGGAAACGCAATCATGTATCTAGTTGTAAAGACGAAACTTGTGTGTGTGTCTGTCATGTATTTATGATCTACAAGTGATGTTAACATAGCAGGAAACACTGGTAAAGACTGCAGAAAGTTATTGTATGTAGCACTTTAAACACAACATTACTCTACCCGTTGAGTATTCGCAAAGGGTTACGCGTTGGGTAAACATGGAAACTCGTTCAGAAGATGGACTCGTCTGGGTGACTAGCACTGGTGCAGCTTGTGTGTATATGCGATTGCCTGAACGCTTGACCGGCAGTGGCGGGATTGCTCGCCCCACTGTTTCTACTTGACGTCATACCCAAAATAGCAGCGCCTCGCCCCTAGCTCCCAACCAGCCCCCATGTAGATCTCACGCAACCAGGCTACACCATACTTGACAGTTGTTCACACCCCTAAACATGTCGGGCTGGGCATCCAAGCTGTCCTCGTTGGGGCACTCAAAGCCCGAAGACAAGGATGAGACATCACTCACGACGCTCCTCGATGCGGACCAATGTGCCGACTTGACCATTTTGATCATGAACATTACAGCTTCCATGCGAGAGTCGCTGGTCAATACCTTCACCGCTGAGGAGATTCCAATCGATTTACAGACTGTCAAGTTGGAAGAAGAGATCTTGCGGGGCGCACCTGAGCAACTTGATAATGTCGATGTCAGCACAGAAGACAAGATCAAGAAGGACAGGCAGAAGCGAGAGAAGGAAGCAAGAGAAGAGCTCGCAAAGCCAGAGGTGCAGGAGCTGAAGAGAGAAATGTTGAGATATTTCGATGACTGGCAATGTCAAGTTATCCTCCGGGTTGGCGAGGTGGTCAACTCAAAAGACAAGGTCAAGAGACAGGCTCAGGGCGTCGAGGGCAAACAGGTCGAGGAAGCAACTGAAAAGCCAGACACTGGGATGACGAATATCAATCAGCTTGGAGATACGGAAGAGGATGAGGAAAAGATGTTCAAGAAGCTGTATCCGCCCGTTCCGACGAACCTGACGCAGCTGGACGAGAGCAAACGCGTGCTCATCCTGCACTCGCTAGTACTTATCGTCTTGAGTTTGGAGCACTACTCTGCACATTCACGTGTTCTTGTTCTCTACCTCACAAGCTCTCTTGGCCTCAGGAGAGAAATCCTGAAGAAAGACGAGGAGAAGGTGGCTCAAGGTCTTCTGGAGGCGGCGTCCCAGCAGCTCAACGCAGATGAAGAAACTAAGAAAGCAGCCGATGCTTCGAAAAAGGCTCGCCGATGGAAAGTGGGACTCGCTGGTGTTGCTGGCGCTGCACTCATCGGCGTCACGGGCGGTCTCGCTGCTCCTCTTCTTGCCGCAGGTATCGGAAGTGTGATGGGTGGTGTTGGTCTTGGAGCCACAGCAGCAGCAGGTTATCTCGGAACGCTCGCTGGATCTTCCATTGTTGTGGGTGGGCTTTTCGGTGCTTATGGTGCGAAGATGACGAGTCAAGCTATGGACGAATATGCACGGCAGGTGGAAGATTTTGCATTTATCCCGATCCATCGCACACAGGATCCCAGAAAGCAGGACAATGAGTCGCGGCGTCTCCGCGTAGCAATCGCTGTTTCTGGTTGGCTACGCGAGCCTGAAGAGGTCAGCAAGCCGTGGCGGTACATCGACAAGGGCACAGAAGGCTTTGCACTGAGATATGAACTTGAAGCATTGCTCCAACTTGGCAACAACCTCGGGACGGTCGTGTCGAGTGCAGCGTGGGGATATGCCAAGAAGAAGATCATTGAGCGAACCGTGTTTGCTGCAATGGCAGCTGCCATGTGGCCTCTTGCGCTACTGAAAATTGCCACTGTGCTGGACAATCCGTTTTCCATCGCCAAATACCGATCCGAGAAGGCTGGGGAGGTTCTTGCCGATGCCCTCATCAACAAAGTACAAGGCGAGCGGCCAGTGACATTAGTGGGCTATTCTCTCGGAGCCCGCCTTATCTTCTCTTGTCTGCAGAAGCTCGCCGAACGCAAGGCCTTTGGTCTCATCGAAAACGTTGTTCTTGTCGGCGCTCCCTGTCCGTCTGACGTTGCGGACTGGCGTCGCGCCCGCTCAGTAGTCAGTGGACGCTGCGTCAATGTGTTTTCCAAGAACGACTATATTCTCGGCTTTTTATACCGCACTTCTTCTATCCAGCTCGGTGTTGCCGGTCTGCAGCCTGTGGTCGGTGTACATGGCGTCCAAAACGTCGATGTATCTGAGCTTGTAGACGGCCATCTCCAATACCGCTTTATTACCGGCAGTATTCTACGCAAGATTGGCTTTGAAGACGTCGACATTGCGGAGGTGGAGCGCGCAGAAGCCGATATGCGCAAGGAGGATGAGAAGATCGAAGAAGAGAGGCGTAAGAAAGAGGGTGAGAAGGGCGAAGGTGAGAATGAGGAGGAGTTGAGAGCACAGGCGGATAAGAAGCAGCAGCAAAGTCTCATGGCCGTCATGCAGCAGAAGACAAAGAATATAGATATTGGCGGCGTTGTCAACAAAATACCGAGGAAGAAAGTACCCGAGTCGGCGGCACAAACGATGGAGAAGATGCATACGGGGGAGTCTAAATAGGAGGTCAGATGAATTTAGTGATTAGGTGAATAGGGTAGAAACAGCAGGTTAGAATAGTGTTAGGCGTAGATGGCTGAATTCATGTATAGACACCCTAGTAGTATTCCGTATACTTGCATCTCCCGCTTCCACGCACAAATCTCTGGGTCTCTTTTCTAAAGCAGTGGTTAGTACCACAACGCGGAGAAAAATCACCCACTCATAACTCACTGTCAATAGCAATATCTCAGGGCATTAGCATCCTATCGCCCCATGGATATTTAAACTACCAGATACTAGTTGCCACACCACACACCCGCAGTAGCTAAGCTAAGCTAAGCTAACCGCCTATTCTTTCCCTTTCTACCAGCACGTCTGCGCTCTGAGCTGCTACTTTCCATTCACATCACATTACACGGTTAATATTTCCCTTGCCTCTCGTGATCCAAGCAGCCAGGTTCGCACCTGCATCTGGGATCTTGGATTGTGGAAATGTTTAAAAAGACGGTGACGTGGCTTCTCTGCTGCTTAATCGTGTTTCCGGCAGGCGGCTGAAAAGTGCTACGTTGTGATGGATACTTGTGTCTTTGGTACGGATGGTTTGCGGATGTGGTATTGATCCTGCACTTTACGTGTGCGGATATTAGCACCGATGAAGACTTGCTTTGAACACGAACTCGCAGCTACTCCGAGTGTTGTTCCAGATTCCATACACGAACTCGAGATGACTCTCAAATAGCAGCAGCAGCAGCTCAGGAAACTATCGTCGTCTTTTTTTTTATTGTACGTATGTACAAGACCTCGTAGTTTTTTTTTAAAAAAAATTTATCTAAGAGTATGTCGCTCGAATGACAGAATACCAGTCATCACCACGCAACACACGGGCGAAATCTCGCTGTTACAGATATGAAATTTAGGACAGTTTCACTGCATGTCTGTTTGTCAAGCTGCTATGCCGCAATGGCAATTCCGCACTTACACTGGAAAGCATCCTGGGATACAAACTGTCACGTGACGACAATGTGAAGGTTGGTGGCAAGAAGCGCCGAGTGGTGGAATATCCAGGGACATGGTGATGTGGATGGATTAGGCCAGCATAGTAAAACAATGGATTAGGCAGCAGAATAAACCATTGTACGGGTATTTAAGTTTTTAACTCTCTAATAATTGGTTGCTAGGCTTGCGGATACACAGATAGCTCGGTTTGGGTAGGTACAGCCACTCACTAGCGTCTACATCGTAATGATAGAGAGCTAGCTGGCTATACAGCAGCTGCAAGGGGGGTAACTGTATTCTTTGGATCAGGGTGCAAACTGACATATCCATAGCTTCTGTGTGGCTCCCCCCCTATTGGTGGTTACGTACTATACTTGTAATATTCACTAGTCCCTCTCTTTTTTTTTGGGTTACCTACTGTAGAGGACTGTGTAGCTGCGCTAATGAAACACACACACATATATATATATATAAACATAAAAAGTCGACTCCTAAAAAGCTGCGCAGAATAACAACAACATCATCATAATCATCATCCTCATCATGTCCATCCTCAAAACCACCATCAGCGCCATCCTCCTCACTCCCATGGTCCTCTTCGCCATCCTCAAACTAACACTACGCCTTATGCCACCCGAATGGCAATTTCCAAGCCGATAAATAAGAAGCCGCAGCAGCAGCAGCAGCTTCTTCAGCAACTTGAAGCAAGATGTGGAAAAGCCCCAACCTGGATTTTTTCAGCTCGTCGACACAGATTCGGGGGCAAAAGTATGCTTGGTATCATACGGCGCAGGACCTGGACACGGCGTTGGAGTACCATAATGCTGTGCTTACGAGGGATATGACTGCGGTTTTTTATCGGTATGTGGCGGTGTGGGTGGTGGTGTTTGGGATGTGGTTTGTTATGCTTGTGAGGCCCGAGACTTTGTGGATCATATGGAAGGGTTTGTAGGGGTGGCGAGGTGTGCTGGGGGGATGAGGCGATGGGAGAAGCGATGAAAGCTATGGCACGGGGATACTTAGCTGACCAACCGAGCAGCTGGAAGGGGTAATAACTATGTTCGTTGGCTCAGGGTTAAAACTAACAAATCCACGGTCTCTATATAGCTCCTTGTGTTAATAGTTACGTACCACAATCGTAATATTCGCCAGTCTCCCTTTTTTTTAAGTTATCTAGAGGGCTGTGTACCTGCGCCACTTGGGTACTTGGGTATTTACTCTTTGCTGGTGCTTTAGTTTCACGGTTCATTGTAGCCTCTGTTCTTTTGCGTTAGAGGCTTTGCTCCCCTTTGGACTATAAAAGATTACTGTCTGTCTTGTACATTGCCAAAGACTCTTAACCTTGAACCCTAAATCATACATACACACACACACACACACACAAACCCCACCCCCAAAACGCGCCTCCAAAAAGAACAACAACAACAACACCAACACTTATCCATCATGGCCACCATACTTCTCAACATAAACTCCATCATCATCGTTACCGCAATCGTTCAAGTCCTCCAAGCCATCCTCACGATATGCCTGGATTCCGACGTGTTTGGCCCCTTGGCGCCACGAAGCCGCATGCAGCGGCTGATCCGCGCGAGCAAAAATGAAAAGGACGCTGCATACCGCGGCGTCGCGGATCTCCTCGGGGAGCCCAACCAAGACGTGGAATTTGTGACTTCGGACGCAGGCACCAAAATACGCCTTCTATCGAGGTTCGGGGGCTGCAGCAACGTCACCGAGGTGTGGCCCAAGAACGGGCAGGAACTCGAGTTGGCGCGCGCGTATAGCTTGGCGAGGATGGATAAGCGGTTGGTTGGGTTGGCGATTAGGCGTGCGACGCTGTTGATGGTGGCGGCTGTGGTGCTGGTGGGTGTGGTTGTGAAGCCTGAGATGTTTTTGGTTGCGGTCAAGGATGTGAGGGAGGTGGCGGGGTGTAGGGTGTAGGGAGGGGGAGAAGCGATGGGAGAAGCGATGGAAGGTATGGCACGGGGAAACATGTACGTGGATTACCTGTGGTGGGAGTTTTTGTTCATGTAGGGATGGGATGGCTATCTTGGACGACCGAGACTTCACTTCTGTATCTCCTTGGGTGTATGTATACATGGATTAGTGGTAGTGGGTGCAAACACTACTCCGACCTAGTGTTTTGCATTTACGGGTAACACTCGAATACGACTGTATCTTTGTTTTCTTCATGTGTCTTAGCACGTGTCTTGGTGGGTGCCAGTCTGCGTCGTGGTGTATTAATAACCGTGCTTTTAGTATTACTGCTAAGAGGTAAGCATTAGCGAAAATGAAAGAGAGAGAGAGAGAGAGAGAGAGAGAGAGAGAGAGAAAGAGAGAATCTCAAGATATAATGCCAGTGCTAGTTTCATCAGCATCAATCTCAACTAAACACACAACCTTGACTTGATCATACTACACATCAGCTGGTATCCAAGAAACTAAGACTAGGCACCCATGTCCGATTGGTTACCCAAGATATACATTTTGCCCAGACGCTGGCCAACGTCAGCCAAGGCATGTTGATGAATACAGAACAAGTCGCAATGACGACGGAGGTATATGTAGACGGCACACAGACACACACACACACACATGCAGACGCTGTTGCAGCTGCACCCAGATCCCGCGTGTTCCCAGATGCATGTCTGGGTTGCAGTAGTAACCCGCGAATGGAAAAGCAGGTTGGCACAAGGGTGCCAATGGCGAGTGTGTGCATGGCAAGACGGTTGTTTCGTTCGAGGAAGCGGGCTTGACCACGCGATGGGACCCCCCCCAAAAAAAAAGTCCGCGCCAACTCGGACGTGGGGAAGAAGGGCGACAGGCGACCACCACCGAGGCAAAGGCACCGGCAATTCTGCGTTGCAAGGGCCTGGCGTCTATTTTGTCCGTTGAACCCTGGCCCAGACAAAGCTGTGCCGAATTTTAGTGGCAGGCTGACAAGATGGACCCCTGTCGCGCGGTATGTATATTACATATTGCTGTAGTAGGGACAGGTCGACTCATACATAGATAGATTGCAGAGACTTTTTTGGTGTTGGTGTTGGAGGCGGCTGAGGGGAGCGAGCACGCCATGAGCCGGATAAGAGTTTATCGGCAGCATTGCGGCGAGGCGTTTCTCCCGAAGCCCAGTGGTTCCCAAGCCGTGGATCGGAGAGAGAGACGACATATCCCCGCACGGCAGCCAACAGCGCACGCGCAAATCAGCGTGTCGAAGAGGCAGCTCATGGCCAATTGCAGGGCGACAGGCAGGCTGACGGGCAGGTCGGCAACGGGGAAATGGTGTGACTGGCAGGCGTAGGCGCGGCGCGTCCAAGTGATAATCCGGAGCAACGGAGCCAGGACGGGGGCGCATGGCTGATGGTACCCGCATTGGATCATGGAGCCCACCAAATGACGGTGGGCCCAGCCCCAAGACGAGCATTAGACGCTTCGTCACATTCCATGTCCCCGCGCGAAGGGGGCACGCGAGGGGTACTCACGCCCCCAAGGCCACCTTTGGCAGAGCACAGCGGAAAAAAAAAGGTGGCTTGCTCATAAGCGTTGCCGTTCGCCCATCCGCCTTCTTCTTCACATTCCAAACCTCTTTGTTTGCATTTGCACTTGCACTTGCACTCTCTCCACGGCAAACCCACTTCCTCCTCCCCCCACCCTACGCTCAACTTCAGGGAGAAACGCGCCGCTCCACTTTGGCTGGCAGCTTGTTTCCCGAAGATTCAGTACCTGGTACTAGCAGCAGCAGTGGCAGCATCGCAAATCCACCGACCCCTTTACCCGGGACTGGGGCGAATATATCTTTTGTTCTTAGAGACGCCCGTTCCCACGCCCACCCGCGGCTCGTAAAGCGTCCCAGATCCCAGCTCTTTTTGTGTGTGTGTGTGTGTGTGCGTGTGTTGGGCTTTCCTCGTCTGGTTCTTCATCCCTCCCACCCCCACTGCAGGCGACCTTTTTTCTTTACTACGCACCCGCGCGAAAAAAGAAACACACCATGTCCGAGGGCGACGTCAAGCCGGCGGTGCCAGTCGTGGCCGAGTCGCACGAGGTGGACACGTTCCACGTCCCCAAGGCGTTTTACGAGTGAGTTCCGAGAGCGTTGATTTTGGCTGTTACATCATGCAGGCGTGAGAGCTGTCGGGTGGGCGGGGTGACCCCGCGGTGCCGAGCCTTAGGCCGACCTGCACAACCACAACCACAACCACAACCACAACCACAACCGCAACCAGCGCTGACATGTGCCGTCCTACAGCAAGCACCCGCACTCGAAGCCGCACCTGGCCAACCTCGAGGAGTACCAGACGCTGTACAAGGAGTCCATCACCGACCCCAAGAGCTTCTGGGGCAAAAAGGCGCGCGAGCTGCTCACGTGGGAGCGCGACTTTGAGACGGTGCACTCGGGCAGCTTCGAGAATGGCGACAATGCGTGGTTCCTCGAGGGCCGCCTCAATGCCAGCTACAACTGTGTCGACCGCCATGCCTTCAAGGACCCCAACAAGCCCGCCATCATCTACGAGGCCGACGACGAGGGCGACGGCCGCATCATCACATACGGCGAGCTGCTGCGCCAGGTGTCCAAGCTCGCCTACACGCTCAAGGAGATGGGCGTGCGCAAGGGCGACACGGTTGCCCTCTACCTGCCCATGATTCCCGAGGCCGTCATCTCGTTCCTGGCATGCACGCGCATTGGCGCCATCCACTCGGTTGTGTTTGCCGGCTTCTCGTCGGATTCGCTGCGCGACCGCATCAACGACGCCGAGTGCAAGGTCGTCATCACCACGGACGAGGGCAAGCGCGGCGGCAAGACGATTAGCACAAAGAAGATTGTCGACGATGCGCTCAAGCAGTGCCCCGGCATCACGCACTGCCTGGTGTACAAGCGCACTGGCGCCGACGTGCCGTGGACCAAGGGCCGAGACTGGTGGTGGCACGAAGAGGTGGACAAGTGGCCCAGCTACATTGCGCCAGAGTCGATGAACTCGGAAGACCCCCTTTTCCTGCTCTACACGTCTGGCTCGACAGGTAAGCCCAAGGGCGTCATGCACACGACGGGCGGCTACCTGCTCGGTGCGGCCATGACGGGCAAGTATGTGTTCGACATCCACCCCAACGACGTCTTCTTCTGCGGCGGCGACGTGGGCTGGATCACGGGACACACGTACGTGGTATATGCGCCTCTGCTGCTGGGTGTGGCTACGGTAGTGTTTGAGGGCACGCCGGCTTACCCCAACTTTTCGCGCTACTGGGACATTGTGGCTAAGCACAATGTCAGCCAGTTCTACGTTGCGCCCACTGCGCTGCGGCTGCTCAAGCGCGCGGGAGATGAGCACGTTAAGAGGGAAATGAAGGCGCTAAGGATCCTGGGGTCCGTGGGTGAGCCCATTGCGGCCGAGGTGTGGAAGTGGTACTTTGAGGTAGTCGGTCGGGAAGAGGCACATGTTGTTGACGTGAGTAGTTGTCGCGAGCTATATTTGCACCAGCTGTGCTGAGCTGTGCTGAGCTGTGCTGAGCTGTGCTGAGCTGTGCTGAGCTGTGCTGATGTGTGACAGACATACTGGCAAACCGAGACAGGGTCTCACGTCATTACGCCCTTGGGCGGCATCACACCGACAAAGCCCGGATCGGCATCTCTCCCCTTCTTCGGCATTGAGCCTGCGATTATCGATCCAGTGTCTGGCGAGGAGATCCACGGCAACGACGTCGAGGGCGTGCTGGCCTTCAAGCAGCCATGGCCCAGCATGGCGCGCACCGTGTGGGGGTCGCACAGACGATACATGGAGACGTATCTCAACGTGTACAAGGGCTACTACGTGAGTTTTTTTTTATTTGGAGGTGGACAAGATTGCGACGGGGGCTAACGTGTCGGGGCAGTTCACCGGAGACGGGGCTGGGCGCGACCACGAGGGCTACTACTGGATCCGGGGACGAGTCGACGATGTGGTCAACGTGTCGGGGCACCGGCTGTCTACGGCGGAAATCGAGGCGGCGCTGATTGAGCACCGTGAGTTGCGACCAAGATGATATGCAGGCCGGATGTGCACGGTGCTGACGATTGCGTAGATCAAGTGGCTGAGGCGGCGGTAGTGGGCATCCATGACGAGCTGACAGGCCAAGCCGTCAACGCGTTTGTGGCGCTCAAAGAAGGCGCCGAGACGAGCGAGCAGGTCAAGAAGGATCTGGTGATGCAGGTGCGCAAGTCGATTGGGCCGTTTGCGGCTCCCAAGGCGATTTTCGTGGTGCCAGACCTGCCCAAGACACGATCTGGGAAAATCATGCGGCGCATCATGCGCAAGATCGTGGCGGGCGAGGAGGACCAGCTGGGCGACATCACAACGGTAAGTGGACGTCGTAGCCAGCCATGTTCGCCGCCACAGCTGCAGCTGCAAGGCGGCGATGACGCGTACTGCGTGCGTGTGTCCGAGTCGGTTCTGGGCTAACGCGTGGGGAACAGTTGTCGGATCCGTCGATAGTCGATAAGATCATCGACGTTGTGCACCAGTCGAAGAAGAAGTAGGCGGCTCGCCTTGGCGGGGTTGGGGGATGCGAGCGACGGGAGGGGTGTGCGGCGAGTGGCTGGTTGGGATGGCAACGCCTCGAGGCTTTTGCGGGGAGCGCGGCCGAGGCAGGTAATCGTCGAGTTAGACAGCCGGGGTAATATGCATGCATGTCGTCTATAGCAGGTGTGCACCGTGGATGCGTCGGCGGTGGTGGTGGTGGTGGTGGTTGTCAGTTGTCGCGGGGGCGGGAGGCGCCAAGCCGTGTTTCCACCGTGAGACGGTTACAGTGTATGGGCGCTGTTGCACGACACTGGTGCCGCACGTTGCATGTATGTGCCATGTAGGCAATTGCTTGGTATAGCAGAGCAGCGTCGGCGGACGGCCTGGCGGGAGTATAGTGTGTGTCTATGCATGTGTGTATGCTTGTATGCATCGGGCACTGGAGCTGGGCCAGCCGCCTGTCAACACACGGCGACGGGCAGGCCTATACGCAATCGGCCGCACAAGAGCCGTCCGTCCAGCGACGGGCAGTCGACAATACGAGGGCGGCCCTAGTTTCATTCGCGTCGCGCCCAGACGCCGCCAGCTGCCCTCGTTCTTCCGCGAGCCGGGCGCCAAGACGGTGGCTGGCAGGGGGGCTGTGCACTGCCATTACGACTGTCATTCTCTTGTCCCTCGCCGCCCGCCCGCCGCCGCCGTCCGCTCGACAAGTGCCTTTTGTGCCTCTGCTAGCGTTTGGGCGAACATTCCCCTCCCTCTTGTACACTGCTCTCCATACCTGCCAACCCATGTCTTTCTTTGCGCTGTTGCCGTAGCTTTCGTTTTCCCGCCCTCGTCCCGCCCTCGCTCCTCGCCCTCGCCCTCGCCCGCGCCCTCTCCTTGGCCGCTTCTCCTGACTGCGGGAGCACCGCCACCCCAACCCACAGAATGCGCCTCTTTGGCAGTCTGCAGACTGCCCTCACCATTGGCCTTGCCACTGTAGCAGCAGCCGCCTCGCACGCCCGTGGACCGCTGCAGCGCATTGCACTTGTCAAGAATGCCGACATCCTCACACACACACATCGCGTGACAGCCGTGTCGTCGTTCGACCTTGCCTTTGACGTCTCGGGCCAGCGCGTGCGCCTGAGCCTCGAGCCAAACCACGACCTTTTTGTCCACGGCGCCCGCATCACCCACCTCAACCCTGATGGCTCGGTAGCGAGCCAGGAGCCAATAGACCGCCTGCAGCACAAGGTTTACAAGGGCAAGACGTGGCTCAAGAGGGGCAACCGATGGGACAATGTAGGCTGGGCGCGCATCGCCCTGCGCCACGACGGACTGGATCCGCTGTTCGAGGGCACCTTTTCCATGAACCACGACCACCACCATGTCAAGACGGCCTCGAGCTACACGGCCACGCGCATGCCCGACGACCCGACCGTCGACGTGCGCGACAAGGACTTCATGGTCGTCTTCCGCGACTCGGACATGGGCAAGGGCCGCCATGGCGAGAACATGGAACTCAAGAAGCGAGCGGCCAACGTCGGATGCCCGTCCGACGAGCTCGTCTTCAACACACACGAAAACCACCCAGTCTACGCCAGCATGCGCGCCCGCGGCGAGTCGCCCGCCACGTCGCCATCGCTCATCACGGCCATGTTCAAGCGACAGGACGACCTGCAGCCCGGAGGCAACGGTGCCGGTGTTGAGCTCTCGTCCACCATTGGCAAGACGGCCGGATGTCCCAGCACGCGCAAGGTCGCGCTCGTGGGCGTCGCCGCCGACTGCACCTATGTGTCTTCGTTCAAAGGAGACAAGAACCAGACCCAGACCAACATCCTCAGCGCCATGAACTCGGCCTCGGAGGTCTTTGAGAGCTCCTTCAACATTTCCCTTGGTGTCGCCAACCTGCTCATCACCGAGGCCGAATGCCCCACACAGCAACAGCAAGCAACCCCCTGGAACCAGGCCTGCAGCAACGGCATCACCATCCAGGACCGCCTGAACCAGTTTTCCAAATGGAGAGGCCAGCAAAAGGACACCTATTCGCACTGGACCCTGCTATCCACCTGTAACACGGGATCCGCCGTTGGCCTGGCCTGGCTCGGACAGGCCTGCACCTCCGGCTCCCAGGACAACACGGGAAACTCGGGCGAGACGGTTGCCGGTGCCAACGTAGTCATCAGGACCGACAACGAGTGGGAGGTTATTGCTCACGAAACAGGTCATACCTATGGCGCGGTACACGACTGCACATCGCAAACATGTGCCAACAAAGACGTCGTCAATGCACAGCAGTGCTGTCCTTTGAGCCAGGGCAGCTGCGACGCTCAAGGTGGTTTCATCATGAACCCCTCAACAAAGGATGGCATCTCCAAGTTTTCTCCTTGCAGCATCGGCAACATCTGCTCGGCTCTCGGACGAAACAGCGTCAAGTCTCAATGTCTCACCAACAACCGCGATGTCAGCTTGCTATCCGGACCGACCTGCGGTAACGGCATCGTCGAAGGCAACGAGGAGTGCGACTGTGGTGGCGAGTCGGGTTGCAAAGACAACGCATGCTGCAACCCAAAGACGTGCAAGTTCATCAACAATGCCGTCTGTGACGATTCCAACGAGGACTGCTGCCGCAACTGCAAGTTCGCCTCTGCCAATACCGTCTGCCGCACCTCGGTCGGCACCTGCGATCCAGAGGAAACTTGCACGGGCACCTCGCCGTATTGCCCCGAAGACAAGACAAAGCCCGATGGTTCCGACTGTGGCAACGGACTCACTTGCGCGTCTGGTCAGTGCACGAGCAGAGACATGCAGTGCAAGACCATCATGGGCAGCTATACTCAAGGCAACGATACGTATGCTTGTGACAACAGCAACTGCATGCTGAGCTGTGCAAGCCCAGAGTTTGGAGCCAGGTGCTATGGATTGCAGCAAAACTTCTTGGACGGCACCAGCTGCACCGGAGGGGGCACATGCCAAAACGTACGTGGTATTCTCCCCATTTGCTTTCTTCTCCATTACTAACAGTACCAGGGTGTTTGCCAAGGCGGTTCAGTCGGCAAAGAAATTACCACTTGGATCCAGCGCAACATGTCACTCTTCATTGGGCTCTGCGCAGGCCTCGGTGGAGCTTTGCTCCTATGCCTCTTCTGCTGTTGCTGGCGCTCCTACCGCCGCCGATCTCGAATGAAGAAGTATGCCGTTCCGCCTCCCATGCCTGCTTACCAATCAAACTCGGGCAGAAGGTACAGAAATGGTCCACCACCCATGGGCCAATACAATGGCTATCCAAACGGCCCCCCACCACCAGGACCTTGGACGCCACCCAACCCCAACGGAAATGTTCCCATGCCGCCACCCGTACATAGAAGTAGCATGCGATATGCATAAGGCTATGGGAGTGAGTTTTCGTATTATTTATTCTCTTTTCTTTTTTCTTGTTCCATTTGTTGTCATATAACGAAGCAAATTACGGTCCCTTTTTTTTACACCAGCCAAAGCGTATTCAAGCTGGGTGTTGGAAATATTTTCCATCTTTTTTTTTTGCATGGTTAATCGGCGTTTTTATCTTCTACGGGATCATCCCAGGGTTGCTCTTGAGCGAAGTAGTCTCCGTTTGGTTCTTGTGTCTGTTCAGTTTACATGGCGGAGACTTGGATTAGTGCTCGGGAGATGGGTAGGTAGGTAGGGTATTGTTGCATACATAGAGAAGACGAAGAAGAAGAACAAGGTGCGGATAAGGCCTGTGTTGGAGGTATACATAATCGTTGGTAAATTCAATGTCCTGTTTTTTTTTGTCTGTCCTTTTTTTTTGCTTGCTTTCTGGATTTTGTCGATTTGAACTTGCATTTGCTCGCTATCCCTCTTCTTTTTTTTCCTTTTCTTTCTCGAGAATATAGTAGGGCTGGGGCGATTTGTATATATATCTTAACTTTTTTGGACTTTTGTCCCATATGTGGACTTTTTGAGTGCTGAGGAGCTTGGGCTTGGGCTTGGCTTGTTACTATGTATGTATCCTTTATTCTTCATCCTTGTCTAGTTTACTACTTATAGTGTACACGTGACTGTGTATATACATGTACAATATCTCTCTCTCTCTCTCTCTTTTTTTATTTTTCTTTTGGCACAGAAATGTAGATACTGTTTATATTAGGTTGAAGAATAAGAAGAAGAAGAAGGAAAAAGGACAAAGACAAGTATTTCCGAGGAATAAATATACTTGTTTCATAATGTACGTACGAACTACACACATGGCCGCTGATATCCCTAAACACCCTACTGGAGGAAACGGAGTATTCCACACAGACCTATTGTTCGTGGACTCTGCTCTCAAAGCATCAATCTTTGCAAATGAAATTCGTCTTGTTCTGTGCGCCTTGGCCGCTATTACTGTAGGCTGAATTCGCCATGTTGCGTTGCGACCAGCCCAGAGCAAGTCGCGTTTAGTCGGCAGACCACTTCGAAGATCAGGACACTTGCCTCCAGGTATAATTGCTATCTCTCCGCAACCCGGAAGGTCCCATGTCTTCTTGCCCCAGCCGAACTGCGAAGGCGTGGTGACCTCTGCATACAGCTTCACACTGAGAGTGACACCATATGTCCAGGGACATGTTGCCTCCGTGCTCTTGCCAACCCCCCACTTCAAACCTAACACATCCATCCGCGACTACACCCGCAGTCGCAGCCTCTACTTTCCAGCGCTCGTCGAACCGGATACCAAACTCAGCAATGGCTTTCAGATGAGCTTCAACCTTGGCTACTGCCCCAATCGCAGCGTAGAACTGTGGTTCAAGCATGCCATTTTCGTTTCCAGAGTCGCTGGAATCGAGCGTCTGCATCATCTTGGGTTCAAAGTCCTTTCCGGCAGCCGGGTACGTTTGTCGGACTTTGCCATCAAACAACTGTCATAACTTGTTATGTAGTGTGTAACTTGGAAGATATTGGGGGGATGAGCTCACATAACAGTAGTCCCCTTCCGAAGCCTGTGCAGCCTTGTTACAATTGCTCAGGGCATTGTTTGGTTGATTGGGAGTGGGGAACCACGAAGCCGCTGGTCGGTGTGGGTGTTGATTGAGCGGATCGGCTGATAGTAATTGAGTCGCTGGTCCCCACACAGTACGCTTGGTCTTTCCAAAAATTTGTCTGGCAGTCGGTAGAGACAGCAGGGTTCTAGCTGTAGAACTGGGCCAGGGTGATGAAATATTTATCAGCGACATTTGAACAGCTGTCGCCTTCACTAACAGTGTGCCACTTGATACAATCTGCGCATTCGTGTAAGCAAGCATTCAGGCCTGTCATCCGCATTTTCAGCGAGGGTTGGACTTACTAGCAGGCTGTCCAGTGTGGGTTGGTGCAGTCGGTCCCAACTTAGAGGTGCTGCTGGGTACTGCGGATGGCGCGACACTGGTGATTGGACTAGGCGCTGGAGCAGGAGCATTCGGTGAAGCGATACAGTAAGCCTGTTGGGCCTGGCGTATGAAACCCCGGACGCCCTGGATATACCTGCTCAACATACTAAACTGTATAATACGGGAATTGACTTACTGTCACCAACAGGTTCAACGCAATAGCTTATGTCCAGCAGTAGATTTGTGCAATTAGTCTTGATTAACGGATTCAGGGGAAAATGGAAGTCTTCCAAAGACAGGCCAGGCCATATCTCATATGTAGTCACCAGGCTGTAACAATAATCGCCCGCCTCAACATTGTACCAAGATGCGCACTTCCTATTCGATTTTGTCTTTGGCATTCGTTGGAACTGGAGCTACGAATCAGGCGGAAAAAAACCCCCCCCCCATTCTCACGCTGCCATTCCCCGGCGCGACGTTCCGCGTGCCGGGCATCGTCACCAATTGGGCCGTGTGTGAGGGTCGCGGGCGAGTTCAATGCTGCGCTGACACTCTCGGCTGAACTCGAGACCAAAAGTCGCTCTTGCGGCCCGAACGTAACAAGATTACTACAACGCAGCTATACGCATGGAACTGAGTAGTCGAAAATGGCGATGCATGCGGGAGCTCATTCTGGAAGGATTATTGGTATTGTGTCGGCGTAAAAGGTTAGAGTATGGGGGCTCAGTCATCATATTTTGACAGCGATAGCAAACATGAGGGTGTGGCAGGAGCCTAACGCCACAGTGATGGGTAAATTGCTCGTTTAAACCTCGGACATGAGTCGTCGATGCGTTTCTTCAACATGATTATAGCAACGTTATCCTCTTTTTTACCCTTTTGTAATATGTATGCTATATGAAGATCAAAGTGGATATAGATACCAATCATATTTACTTTAGATAGTAGCTACTATATGATATGATCTTAAGTGGTTATACAAGGTAGCTACTACATTTATTACATCAAAATTTTGTAATGTACTTTCCAACCTTCGTAGTGTAACAGTCTGCCGTGTTACTGATACTAGCCTCTTGGCATTGTAGCACACGTACCCTGCAACAGTAGATACGCAGACGTTATCTTTCCTACTTCTCAAATGTGCGGCCCCAACTATCAGCAGTCAGTGTCGAATTTTGTTCTGCGACATTGAACGGCGTCATGGATATGTTACCACAGGAGCTCATCAACAAAATCGTCTTGTATCTAGAGCGCTATCCTAATCAAGCACATGTCCCGATAATTCGACAGTACGGGCACCATTCGAAGCTCCCGCCATATGCTACAATCTCTAGCCACTGGAGAGAGGCTGTGGAATTCGTCACATTTAATCGTTTGTCTATCAGGAGTCATGAACTGAGTCAACTCGAGGCCATGATGACGGGCAATCGTCCCAAATACCTAACGAGACTTTCCTTTGAGATTACTCTCCCAGAGTACTCGGAAGAACGCTGTGGACATGTTGAGTCAAAAGAAGAACAACAGTGCAATGATCAAGCCTTGACCCAAGCTATTGCAGATTTGTTTTCTCTAGTGAGAAAGTGGGAAGATGCAGGCACAGTACACGGTATCCGACTCCGTCTGACCGGTTTCTTTTCCCCGACGGATATTCGTGATCGCCACCAAATCGAGCTTGAAATAGCACAGCGCAAGCGCGGGATAGACATTTTCGAAAAACGATGGGTGAACTCCCATGTCCACCTCTCCAGACCAGAAATGATACCCACGCTCTCGAGCATCGTGCATCTCTCAAAAGCAGAGAGAGGTGTTGTATAAACCCAACAATTGATACAAAAAACCAACTGATTCTGCAAAACGCCGTGTCTTTTTTTTTTTTTTTTTTTTTTTTGAGAAAGGCATCTGTATACTTGGTGCGCTAAGTTTAAGCGGTTTAGGATGCAATTCTACTTTACAGTACGTGTACTTATGTGCAAGTGTGGACATACTTGGCGTCTGTTGTTCTACTACTCAACGCCGTCGCAGATTGTGTCTAGCGTTCTAAATTTCAAGAGCGGCGATCAATGGTTCGGACAAGAAGAATCAAAGAACCAACTGGTTATTTGTAGATTAAAGCGCAGATAAGTGAATTACGTGTATATATTAGAACCAGCTCCAAGGCGACTCCAGCGCCCACGTCCTGAGCCCTTGGAACCTTTCAATCAGCGCCGGCCCATGGGTATCCCGGCCGAGGCCTCGAAAAGCTTCTGCGACAAAGGCATCTGGCCTCCATGTTTCTCCCACGGAATAGTAGACGCGGCGTAACTTGGCATCGTCGTCGTTTTCGTCGCCGTCGGCTTGTATGCCTGGCGCGTGGTACGAGATGTCCCAGTAGCCTGTATCGTAGCCCAGCTCCGTTTCGATTAGGAAGTGTTCGAGGACCGGCATGTTTTGGACTGCCCTTGCGAAAGCCGTGACGAACGGACCCAGGGTCCTTGCATCTGCATGGTGGCGGAATTGCTCCTCGATCTCGCCTGGTGTGCCGTCAAAGTACCACTCGCCAGACGGAGCGGCCATGTTGAACAAGACCATCAGTTTCCTGAGGGCCGGCCAGCTGGGCATGGAGCTTGTCTCGAGGCTTGAAGGCCAGAACAGAGTCGAGTCGACAAAGCCGTCTAGAACAAGGGAAGTCAGGGTCTGCAAAAAGAGACGCAGAGATGCGCTGAGTGGATCGTAGAGTGCGCCTGTGGGTATACGCGAAGGTTCAGCCACGCGGTGGTCTGCTGGAGGGTCTGGATGGAATGTGATTTCTGCCGCAGAGCATTTGTCAAGCCTCGTCTGCTCGAGCATCTTCGCGAAGGAGGCCCTGCTTTCCACATTGATGGACGTGTCGTCTACCTCTCCGAATTCCCAGTAGAAACTGCGTAGGTTGGGCAGCACGGCAGCGAGACCCGGTCCGACTGCCGGGGCCAGCTTCCGGAAAATATGACCTCGGAAGTGAAATCGTCTTTTTTTTTCCAATATTTTGATTTGGCTTTTGATAAGAAACCAGTCATTTTACTAGTATAACTCGTATTCATACACCTTTCCCACATCAATCCAAGACGTTAATCATACTTAATCAACCTATCCACTGCTCTATCAACTCTGTATACCAAGTAGATCATTGTCTCCCCCCCCCTTTTTTTTCCCCTTCCCTTTGCCTAGCATCCATCACGCACACATACGGCATCACAAAAACAGCAGAATCGCCATTTCGCACACACACACACACACACCATTCCAGTCCGAGGGCCCCCCCCCCCAAAAAAGAGACAAAGAAAAAAATTTCCCACGTAAAACACACGTCCTGCGAGACTGGGGCCTTGGACAGCGAAAACTAGTCTTGGTTTGGACTTGGGGAGGCGGGGGTGATACGGCGGTGCGTTCCAGCGAGGCGCGACGTCGCTGGTGCGGGCGAGGCTGAGGATGGTACCCCCCCCCTCCCATTTTAGCTAGCTAGCTAGCTGGATGGATGGATGGATGGATGGATGGACGGACTATGTATCTAGCAGCGCAGATATGAGGGCGTATGTGAGTCGCTGATTGTGCGCGGGATACCGAGCAGTGGACGGGCAGAAAACGGGTGTGCGCAGAAAGCTACGCGGGTGCCTGTGAATGTGGTCATCGCGGGGTTGGATGAGTGTCGTGCCGTGCGGGAGGAGGCAAGATATGAGTGTGAGTGTAAGTGTGAGTGTGAAGATTGTGGGGGGCCACACAGACATGGATTACCGTGCTGAGTACATGGGGATCATGGAGAGACTGGCCGGCCGGTCGAGTGGTGGAGTAGTAGTAGTAGTAGTGCGTTTGAAGCTGTGGCGCTGAGGGAGACGCTGAAGCAGGTTTGAAAGCTTCTATCCGCGTAACCTTTCTTTTCCTCCACGTGTAAACATGTCCTTTTTATTCTTCACCCAACAAAACAGTCGAACTCGTCTTGTTGAAGCACCCGGATGGATATCCGTGTCGTGACACACATGAGGCGCACAACGAGCGCGAGGAGACGCTGCAATGGGCTTCTCTGGCGGCTCATGGTTCCAGCGGAGTGGGTGTTCTTGACCCCTTGTGAGTATGGTGTTGCTTTTTGAGGAGGGAGAGACGTGGCCGGAATTTCCGCTCGGGGATATCGAGTGTGCGGTTCTTGTCTTGCGGGGCCTGGATATCCGGGGAAAAGTCGAGAATGCACAGCCTGGGGGTACCCCCGCGAGCAGGGACAAGAGGGTGTCCTTTTTCTTTGCCTTGTCTGGGGCTGAGGGCGGTGCTTTGATGGTCTGGACAAAGACTGTGTGGATGTACGTTCATAAAGCGTGGCAGGAAGACATGTGAGGAATCGTCAGAGGTGCATATATAGCTATGCTTAGCTGCAGCTTATACGTTACAGGGCAATGTGTAACCATGGTTTGCCACTGCTATTGCTGAGAAGCAGGGACATGCGAACCACGGTTTAAGGTGAGTTAGAAAAGCGCGCCTTGAGATTGGCGCAGCACAGAGTAAGCATTCCATGTGGCATTAGAAGTTTCCATTTGTCTATTCTCATTAGATTCTATCAGAGCTTGGCCTCACCAACCCTAACACACTCAGCGTATTTTCAATAATATGAGCCATCTCGACTCACATATGCTTGTGGAAAAAGTCCAGCACCATCTTGTATCCGCGCTCATACGCCCTCTGTACTTTCTCCTGGCTCAAATCACTGCGAGCAGCCATCCAGCCGTGAATCTGGTCAGGGAACCACTCCACCACATGCGGAACCTTGATTCCCTCTTGCCACTTCTGCACGTCGCCCTTGTCCTCATCACCAGACGGAAGCATGATGTAGGGGATAGTGATTCCAGGCGCATCATCGCCAGCAACCATGGCGGGGTGGCATGCCGCTGCAACCTTGAACTTGGTGCCTTCCATGGAAGAGAGGTTGACAATCTAGCTAGTTAGCACATACATCTTGTCTTATCTCCTTGAACGTACCTTTCCACCCCAGCAGAAGCCGATGATGGCCCACTTCTCAATGCCGTTCTTCTGGCTAAGCTCATCGACAATCTTGGGAATGCGTGGCAGCGTCTTTGGTGGTGCGGCCTTTGACTGGAAGAATTCGCCCATGTTCTTCTTCTTCTCTTCCGTGTCTGGCGGCATCCAAGAGATGTCGGCAGGGCTGCCCTCGAAGAAGTCGGGCATGAAGACCTGGTACTTTTGGCTGTCGGTATATGCGAGAATGTCGGCTCCTTGTAGGGTCTGGTTGAAGAAGCCAAAGATGTCGTATACTACAAGGATACCCAGCTTCGCATCTTTGGGGCCGGTTGCGTCTGTTACTGTTAGAACCGATTGCGAATGCTGCAGCCATGGTGCATACATGTTTTCAGGCCATCGGCTTGAATATAATCACCCTTGGGCTGGTAGCCGTGGCTGACCACAGCGGGAGTGTTGCAGCATGCCTGGGATTGTGTCGATTCGGTTGACATGTTTGCAATACGTCGATTGAGGGCGGTTGGCGCTTGTTTACGCGGACTTGGTGTTTGATAGCTCGATACGAGTCGTGGTGTGGCAATTGAGGCACGGCACAAGTCTTGGGCAAGACGTCGAGTAGGTGTAGATCGGAGAAGGGATGTTGCTTGAGCAATCGCACGCATTCTGAGATGTTTGAGTATTTGCCGAGCTGTCACTACCGATTTGGTGGGGGGAAACGGCTGTTTGGAGCTACCCCACCCTCATGATGTCACCAGAGGATATGTATACGCTACTCCCACAATATACCAGGCTAGTAGCCAGCGTCGTCACGATCCTCGGTACTCATCGGAAACTTTGTATCAGCGGGTAGGGATATAGGATTTGCTCTTGTTTGTTTGTTTGTTTGTTGTTATGGTTCTATCGGGCCTGTTACTCTTGCCTCCCCGTCTAAGCGTCTAGGTTGAGCCTCTCTAGCAGGGCATCTATCTTTCCCAACAGAATCTGGTAGTTCATTGCGTCTTGCGCAAACTCGTCGCCCACTTCTTCACCGTCTAGGTTTCTGATAACACCGGTGGAAAATGGTTGCTCTATTGGCGCAGGCTTCTCGTTCTGTTGCACCGTTTCAGGCACATTTTCCAACGCAAAATCGCCCATTGCCTCGACAAGATCGCCTTCGGCTGTTCTCTGGTCTGCCGCATTCTCATCCATCATCTCGCCTAAGCCACTGTCCTCAAAGCGAAGCCTGAAGCGCTCCGAGAGATAATATCGGATATCGTCGACAAGCTCAACAGTATCTGTTTCCTGACGGCCCTTGACGCGATTTGCAGATTCTTGAACCAACTCAGCAAACTCGGGCTGATCAATGTAATTCTCCAAGCGATAGGCAATGTACCGCGCTGCAAACTCTTCCAGACGCTGCACACGGGTATCCCAGCCTGCTCGGAGAACTTCGTAAATATCCAAAACCTCGTCTGCGTCCGTAGCACCGCGTGGGTTATCTGACTCTACGGCAGAGGTTGAGCCATTGCCCAGGGCAGAGATGATGATTGCTGCGCGCTGCTTTAGCTTCTCAATAAAGAGCTGGTCTGCCGCAAATAGTACGTCAATGGCAATGTCAAGGCCAAAGTCTGCACGCTCGGTATACATGAAGGTCAGGATGGTCTCCAGGACCGCCGGAGAGCAGTCGATGGTCACAATCTGCAAGTGCGGTGTGTCCTGCGCTTCCTTGAACTGGGAGCTGAACATGGTCAGAAAGTACTCGGAGCGCAATAGCATGGCTCGATGCGCGGGGAAGACGGTCGATTTGCGTGGTGCTCGTTGTGACGGTGATTGCGAACGTGCGCGGCCTGGGCCAACTGGTATGCCTGAAAGAGGTCCAGAAGTGTTTCGTACTGGTGGTGTCGGCGATTCAGATGGTCCCAATGGCTGGCCTGCCTCATCTTCGTCTTCGTCTTCGTCGGCACGCAGCAGTATGTCGGCGAAGATGGAGTTTTCGCGATCCCAGTGTATGCTATCCACCTTGTCTGTATCCACGACTCTTTTGTGGCGGAGGACATTGGTCTTGAACCAGGCCTCTAATTGGTCCCGCCCGCGCTCTAGTTCATCTGCTCGGCGTTGACGCAACAGCCGCCTATCTGAAACTTCGGTGATATCTTCAAACAACCGTTCTATTTCCAACTGCTTGCCGATCTTATCAATGCCGTTGAGCACCACCAGTTCTTGCTCGTCACTAAGTCCAAACAGCGCTCTCCGGATCGAGACTTCTTGAAAGTATAGATATTGTAGCGCCACAGATAGCGACTCTGCCGGTATGGCATTTGGGAGTCGCCACACGGTTGTGCTGGGCGCGGCCGCCAGCTTCTTTGCAAAGTAAGGCGACCGTGCTGCGAGGAGGAATTTGTGCAGATGGAATTCCTGCCCATAGGATGTGATGGTAATGTCTGTCGTCTTGGGTTCGGTTCTAGTAAGCAGGGACGTAATGTGGGCGGCGAGGGGCTGCAGAGGATTCGAGGATTTGGCATAGTCGTAGGATAGCAGGAGGTTTCGTATTCGGTCATTGAGGGCATTGTAGAGGCACCGCTCGCCTTGGAAAGTGTCTCGCTCGCAAAGGGCGCCGTTCTCCAGCAGCAAGCGTATGACTTCGTAGTGGCCACACAGACTGGCCTTGAGCAGTCAGCGCACGGCACGCTCCAATTGCCAGTGGCGGGGCGGGGGAGAAGGCGTACCAGAATCAGCGGCGTGTAGTCAAACTTGTCGCGAGCATTGATGTTGACGCCAGTCGAGATCATCTCCTGGCAGACCTTGAGGTCCCCGCGGCGGCAGGCCTCGCAGAAGACGCGAAAGTCGTCACTGAGGTCGAGTGGGTTCTCTTCCTTGAGCTGGCCCGCCGAGATGGCCTGCGCCTCGTTCGCGAGGGCGGCCTCGATCTCGTACTTCTTCTTGACGTCCATTGCTGTGGCGAATATCGAGGGCAGCGGGCAAAGCCGTCATGTCGTCGGGCGCACTCGCGGTCGGCGCAGGGCATGGCGGGCGGCGGGCACAGGTGCATGGGCGTCTGCTATCGATAAGCCCGAGCGGGCTAGCGCGTCGCCAGCGGCAGGGTAAATCCCTGCCAGGCGCGGGCGCACCACTCGGGGCTCGTGCGCTGCGTTGCTGGGTTGACGGCCGTTAGCGTAAACACGGCCAAACACCTTAGAACACTTGGCCGCCCAGCTCGCCCATTCATTGTGCATCGCAACAACCCCTCGGCCTCTGCCTCGAGCTTTACTAACCTAGCAGCCTGCTCCTCTTTTTCCTTGTTGCATCCCATCTTTGCATGTCTTTTGCGCAATAGCCCTACCGTAATCATGCCCGAGGAAGACAAGTACGACGTGCTCGAGAAGATTGGTACGGAAACCGTCCCCGCAAAGCCACAAACACTGCGCACATGCTAACAGCCTGCAGGCCATGGCTCCTTTGGAGTCATCCGCAAGGTCAAGCGCAAGTCGGATGGCTACGTACGCACCGCCCGCACAAGCTGCGCCAGCCGCCTGCTGACCGCCACATAGATTCTATGCCGAAAAGAGATCAGCTACCTCAAAATGTCCCAGAAGGAGCGCGAACAGCTGCAGGCCGAGCTGTCCATCCTCAAGGAACTCCGACACCCAAACATTGTCGCCTACTTCGAGCGCGACCACATCAAGGCCTCGCAGGACCTCCACCTCTACATGGAATACTGTGGAAACGGCGACCTCGGACGCGTCATCCGCGACCTCAAGAACAAGAACCAAATGTGCGAGGAGGAGTTTATCTGGAGCATCTTCAGCCAGATTGTGAGCGCCCTGTACCGATGCCACTACGGTGAAGACCCGCCCGCGGCTGGCCGCAACGTCATGGGCCTGGTCGGCAACGCGAAGCCTGTCCGTGATCCACGCAAGCCCATGATCCTTCATCGGGATCTGAAGCCCGAGAACAGTCAGTCTTCGATCGTTTTTCTTTGATTTGGCTCTCTGTGCTGACATGACCAGTTTTCCTTGGCGACGACAACTCAGTCAAGCTCGGTGACTTTGGTCTCTCCAAGATTCTCCAGTCGCACGACTTTGCATCTACCTATGTCGGCACCCCGTTTTACATGTCCCCCGAGATCTGCAAGGCCGAGCAGTATGGACCGCACTCCGACATCTGGGCCCTGGGATGCATCATATACGAGATGTGCACAAAGTCTCCTCCTTTCAATGCCAAAACCCACTTTGAGCTCATTTCCAAGATCAAGCTGGGACGCTACCCCGACATACCTGCTTGCTACTCGGCCGAACTACGAAAAGTCATTGCCAGCTGCCTCAACACAACTCCCGATCAGCGCCCCGACACTGCCGCACTTTTGAACTTGCCCATTGTCAAGCTGATGCGCAAAGAGCAGGAGGTGGTCAAGCTTGGCCAGGACCTTCGGGAACAGAGACTGCTCACTGCAAAGCGTGAGAAGGAAGCAAGCGAGGCGATTTCCCGGATACGCAAGGAGCTCGACGACCAGCTGCGCCGAGAATGGGAGGTCAAGGCTCAGCTCGAGATTGAGCGGCAGGTAAAGCTGCAGACCGAGCAGCGCATCCAAAAGGAACTTGCCCATCTCCAGGCGACATTCGAGGGCGAGGTGAACAGGCGTGTGGAACGCGCTCTGAAGATGTACCCAGCCCGCCTCAGCACCTCTCCAAAGCTTGTTGCCCGATCGAGCACGCCCACGACATCGGCAACAGAGCCATCTGCGGCCTTGTTCCCAGTCACGGCGTCGGCTGCGTCTTCGACTGGTTCGCAAAATACACTCAACACCGACTCCGACTTTGCCAGCGGAACAGACATCTCGTCACTTTCGCTCGATGACACTACCGAAGATGCTGCTGTTGCACCCAAGCCAAAGGCGAAGCGCCCGTCTCGCGGTCCTCTCATGCGTGCCCGCACCATGTTCAACCAGCACTCATCCACACAAGCCCCCAATTCCCCCATGGACGTTCAGATGGCCGAGCCTTCACCTGCCCCGACATCCCTCAAAGGTCTTTCTCTTTCTCCTCGTCGCAACGCGCAGCCTAAGCAGAACATTTTTGCTGCGGCCAAGGAGGGTGCCAAGAAGTGGGAGGCTGATGTTCCCCCATCGCCAACAGAGGCAGAGTGGAATGGTGACTTTGACGACGACGACGATCTTCCTGTGTTACCATCTCCCACACGAGCTCGAAGCTCTTCGGGCAGTCGTCCTCTGAACGACGACCCCTTCAAAGTACTTGCTAATGCTCAAGCTCCGCTTCTCAAGGCGAATGCGCGTCTCGGAAGTGCACCAAATCTTCTTGGTCCCAGGACCACCAAGCCGCGACCTGTGTCTGCAGTTCCCATTGTCGCAGCATCTCCCTCACGGCAAAAGGCCAAATCAACCGACAGTGCGACGTCGTCACCACGCAAGGCGGGCGCTACCACCAAGGCAGTGCCATTTGCTGGCCTCCCATCAAAGAAGGGTAACGAGGCGTTCCGTGTCCAAGCCATGCGCAACAACGGCGGTGTCCAGGGCCGTACACTGGTTGAACTTCAGCAAGCACGCGGCATTCCCGTCCAGACTATGAGTGAGGATGAGGGTGCAGCAAAGAAGGGTTTTGGTTACGGTGGACGGAGAAGCCCGGTGAAACAACGAGCCGGCGGCATCAGCCCACCTGCAGTCTGGGATCCCGAGACCGAACCCGAGATGCCGTCACCCTTCATCGTCCGCAGCAAACGCATGGTCCGATAGGAAGGACGATCTGTGACAGCTCCGGAACGATTACGACAACTACGAGAACACGACGAAGAAAAGGAGGTGGTGATATGTAACTGATGTTCTGGGAATACACACACACACACACACATTTGATGGCGTTACACGGGCGAGTCGTAAGGATCGCTCGACTATGGGATTGGAACGGATATGGAGTGTCTGGCGCAGCGTGGGGATTGGTGATTGAAAGCAAGCACTTGGCTTCGCGTCCTGTCTACCTGTCTCTTCCCTTTGTCGTGTCATTTTTCTCTGTCTATTTTTGCACCTTGTTATGAGCTTTTGATTTCAGGAAGCATACGAGCATTTTTCCTTTTTTTTATGTTAACATTTTGGATTGGAGAGGGGCGTTTTTTCTCGTTCTTGGGAGTAATGGGTGGAATTACACCACACTTGCAGTGCGTGTGTGAGATAGAGAGAGAGGGAGGGAGAGATGTATTTGTAACCCCCACCCCCTTCCATCATTCTCTGTCTTTTTTATTTATCTTTATTTTGGGCACGAATCTTATTACCATACTTCAGAATACCAGATACCCAAAGTTTCCCCATAAGCTACTTTGCTATGATCCTTGGTACAGGCAGCAGCAACACCTATTGCGCCTCATGGGAGAGAAAGAAAGAGAGAGAGAGAGAAAGGACTACCGTAATAGGATATCGAGCCACCCATGGGCTATCTATGCGCCACCAACAAAAGGAGATGAATAAGTAGGGGGGAAAAAAGGCCCCGTCAGAATCGAAGGAAGCTTTGTCGTTCAGACAACATTATATTACCACCCAAAGCTCTCCGTGTGAAGATAAATACCTTGAGCCCCCGTCCCCTTGTGCACCGCCCTCTCATCACTCAGCGCCACAACATGGTGCTTGACATCTGCAACCAGGCTCAGCGGTCCACACGCCACAACGGCGCTCTCGCCCCACGCCTGCTCCAGCGACCGGCGCACGAGATTGCGGATCTCGGGGCGACCCGCCAAGATGGCAATGGAGGGGTGAACCGCCAAGTCGTGGCTGGCCGGCCGTGTGTCAGCCGTGACATGTGGTCGAGACGTAGGCCGGGATTTGGATTTGGATATCCCCGACGCAGGTGAGGCTTGCTGGGGTGCCGAGGTGGCGGCGCAGTGACATACTTGTCTGCGGGTGAGGGGCTGGAATTCTGAAATGGGGCTGCGGCAGCAGCATGCTGATGCTGAGAGGGCGTTTTGCGGTGTGCACGGGCGGCCGTCGTCCGAGTCTATGCTTGTGATTCTGCTGTGCTTGATTTCGCGGATGGCGTCGTTGCTGTCTTGTTTGGAGTAGGTGGGAGGAGGGGCGCTTGCGGGTGGAGGTGGGGAAATGGGGTCATATTGCGCGAGGCCGTGTATTTGTTCTTTTTCTCGGGACGAGGCGGTTGCCGCGTTGGTGGTGACGCCTGATTTGTGGCCGTCGGTGAAGGCCGGGTCGCAGGTGATGTAGACGCTCATTTCGAGCTTGATGTCTCGCAGCCTTTCTTGGAGGCCTTGGAATTCCGTGTAGATGGAAGACAGTTTTTCAGAGAACCAGCTGAGTTGACCGCTGCTTTTTACAACCCAGACGAAGCGGATGTGCCGCGTAACGCTACCACTTGGGGCCCACAGGATCGACTTTTTGCTAGATGTACCGTTGGCTTTTTCGTGCCAGCCGTGTATGAGATCGCGAAGCAGCGGCATAGTAAACGTGCATCCAGTGCTGCCGGCCAAAAGAACGACACTGTCAAACTGTCGAAGTGGCCGCAGAATGCCGTAGGGACCTTCGATGGTGATGGGCCTGTACTTTGCTAACGGTTCGGGTGATCTGCCTGATTTTTCGGCGTGTTTGTAAAACTGCTTCGTTCCACCTTTTTCAGCCTTGACAAAAAACTCCATCTTCCCATCTTCCGGTATCGAGGCGATGGTGAAAGGATGGCTTTGTAAGGGCACGACTGAATGACAGGATAGGTATACGTGTTGGCCAGGGGTCCAGCTAATGGGTGGGTTTCGGACAACTATTCGCGTCGTGTTATTCGGAAGAGGTGTAAACTCGGCTTTGCACGCCCATAGGCCTTTCATCTGGCCATGTTTACGTTGCGAAGGGTGGAAGAGGGAGAGGTTGATGTATAAAAGGCGCACCGCGCGGAAGACGCGATCAAAGAGGAAAATGGCAATCGGTGCCCAGACATAGCCTCGCCTGTTGATAGGACTATGGATGTAGACGAAGAAAATGAAAACGGCAAAAGAGACAATGTGTTGGATGACGAAAACCTCGTAGCTCCATCCCCGGATGGGTGCTAGGGAGCTAAAGACAATCCAGACCAAGGTGCAATAGGCACCGAGCCCCTTCCATACAAACTCGTTGTTCTTGATCTGATAGCCAATGTAGTCGTAGGGCGCCCATGCACTGAGAAAGTAGCCCATGTGCATGGTTGCCGTGAGGAGCATACATCGAGCGCACCATCGATGTATCCAGTTGATCCGTTCGTAGCTTATGCCACTAAGATAGCCAACGATGTTGTTTTTGCCTGCCAGCAAGACAATAATGGGGACTTGTGAGAGGGTGACGATGCCACAGCGAAACCCGACAGTCTCTCGGTTGAGCTGGCTTTCGAGATCCAGTCCGTAGAGACACAGCACGACCAGGACAACGATGTTTGCCAAGATCAGTGACGTGCGGCCGATTGTGGGGAACTTGATGATCCGGTCTCTGACTGGGATCCGTACTGAATAGTTGGAGGCTTCCCGTGCCAAGGCATATGCTGTCGCGTTCCCCAGAGCGAACCAAGAGGTCGGCTTGGCGGGTGTTGGCGCTGCTTGTGCTGCTGCCGCCAGTCTTTGTCGATATAGCAGATAGTTGTATACGTTGACGAGGGCCGCAACGCCGACGGCGCTGCCCACGACTGCGTAGTAGAAGCCTGGGAAATCCCCGAGGGCAGGCAGTCCGCTGCCCATGTGGCCCATGTCGTCCATGGACATGCCGTCCATGTTGGCGGAGGGGAGCGCGTGGGGGCGGCTACTGCTTCTTTCTTTGTCTGTGGCTGCGATGCCCAGGACGTGTCAGTAGAGAATGGCGTGAGCCTAGAAGGCGGCCTTCAGCACATTCTGGCGATGGACTTGGAGTGAGGGGCGTGTATGTCGAAACGATGGCTGGCGGTATTTGCAACAGGGTATGGTGGTGGTCGAGAAGTGCGCCAGAGCGGACGGCGGTGGTTGTCGAGCCAAAGGGTCATGGCTCCGTCAGCCACGGTCTCGGCCATATCTAAAGTAGTCGACAGATAATAGCAGTGTCGCGCCGAAGGCCATGCCTCCGCTGCGAATGCAGGCTCGATGACTTGGGGGCGGCGGGCCCACGGACGCCTCTTGGGGCGGGCGCTGGCCACAGGTCACGGGCTAACCCAAAAGGGCTAATTATGCTCAAAGTCGCGCCCTGGCTCGTACGCCGCCGTGAACGGGACTTGTTCATCGTGACTCTCCTTGCAGCGCTCCCCGGTCCATCTGGGACGGTTGCATGACGGCCGCCCAAGGCAGAGCGACTTCTTATTTTACCGCCTCGGGAGGTGGGCGTTGCCGGGAAACAGGCTCGCCTGCCCCCGACGCTTGGTGCTTCAGCCCAGACTCGACCTCTCTTGACTGTCGCAAGGTCATACACATGTGCTCGCGACCGTCTACACGAACCCAAGAAATTAGCTCCCGTAGATTATGCACCCATGCTAGGACTCACACGCCTGCGTCAGCACAGCCAGCCAGGGTGTCACCCCACAGCGTCCCCAGGGAACCTTTAATTGATCGCCCGCCAGAGCAGTGGCTCGGTAGTCTGGAACTCAGTACCTAATTACCCCCCCATCTGTCTCTACCTCATCACGCAACCCGTGGCTCCAACAAAGCCGTACTGCCGCCAGTCTTCTTCTTCGTCTTCTCCCATCAACACCACTTTCGATCAGCTCCGAGACCATGGTTGCGCACGAGGGACACGATACCACCATGGAGGCAATGGATATGGGTGGCATGTCCATGGACTCTGGCCACGGCGGCATGGCCATGGCCTTCTTCACGGCTACCAACACTCCTCTCTACTCCAAATCGTGGACGCCATCGACTGCCGGTCAATATGCGGGAACATGCATCTTCCTGATCCTCCTCGCCATCCTCCTCCGCGCCATCTTCACAGCAAAGACCTTTCTCGAAGCGAGGGCTACTAAGAACGCTCTGAACCGCCGCTATGTTGTCGTTGCCGGCGAGAAATCCATTGCCGACGATGCCAACTCGGTCACTGGAATCCTGACGACCAACGGCGTGGAGGAGAACGTCAAGATTGTTTCTGCGCCAGCATCACATATTCAGCCCTGGAGATTCGGCGTCGACCTCCCCCGGGCTTTCTTGGTCATGGTTGCCACTGGTGTCGGATACCTTCTGTGAGTACTATCAAGCCCGTTTGACATCCTTCACCGCTGACGCTCCAAACAGCATGTTGGCTGTCATGTCCTTCAACGTCGGCTACTTCATGTCTGTTCTGGCGGGCACGTTTGTTGGTGAATTAGCTTTCGGCAGGTTCAATCAGGCCGCGTCGCATTGACGACCGATGAATCCCCGCTTTTCGATCCGGACTGCACCGAGGGCTCATCTCGCACATGTTGCTGTAATTCTGTAGCCCCTATTACTATTAATTCATGATAACAACTGCTTTGGGTTGGAGAACCCATGTTGCTGAGGTCAGCTCGGCCTTTTACGACCACTCAACTCCCATACTTTCCCTCTCGTCACCCCCAAAGATTGGGATCTTCGTTGCACGTGTGAAGCCGCTATTTATCAGAAATCATGCCCGTGCTCGGTGTCGTGAAGCTTACTGCCAGACAAGAATTCAGGCCTGAGCGTGGCGTTGAAGTGCAATGGACCCTGACCCCTGTCCTGCGCTAGCGACCATTCATCCAGAGTACCGGTGGTTGGATAAGAAACTTGCTCACGCTTCTGCAACCTGCTCAGTCCGGCATAACATACCGTGGTGGCACACCAACCAGACTGTGCTGCCATTGATTCAGATTGCCCTAGCATCACACATGGAGCTCGTTACCTTGCCTTCGCTTGGAGCTGGGCCGTGCCAGAGCGCGGGATGTGCAGGCGTGTGGCTGCTTTGGCTCGACGCCCGAGCCACCTCACGATGTACTGGGACGCAATGTACGGTATGGTAGGGAGCGCGCCTGGCCCTGGACCATGATAAGTAAGGTAGGATGCGCCCAGGAGACTTGCCGTGTGTGTAAGCGGGCTTTTCTGTACCAACTTAGTTTGCGCCTCTGCAGCCTTCCTCTCTCTTTATCTCTCTCTCCCCCTCTTCTTCTCTCCAACACTATCAACCTAAACACTCCGCTCTTTCAACCGCAAACATGCTTGCCAACACTGTTCTCGCGCTCTCTTTCCTGCCCCTTACCTTTGCCCATTTCAATCTCAACTTCCCTCCCACGCGTGGATTTGACGATGACAAGGAGGGTACATTCCCCTGTGGAACCTTTGACGACGTCTCGAAGAACCGCACCGACTTTCCCATCAGCGGTGGCCCCATCCAGCTGACCCTGGGTCACCCACAAACCAATGTGGCAGTATACATGGCCATTGGCGACAACCCAGGAAGTGGCTTCAGCATCGTTGCAAAGAAGCAGTTCATGGTTGAGGGTCTCGGTGACTTTTGCATGGGCTCGGTCGCCGTCCCAGAAGGCGTGAACGTCACGTCTGGCACAAAGGCAACTATCCAAGTCATTACCAATGCGCACGGCGAGGGTGGCCTATACCAGGTAAGTCGTTACAGGAGAAGGCATCGCGTGGACCGACTGGCTGACGACAAGACAGTGCACCGATGTGACCTTGGTTAGCAAGCAGCTCAGCCAGTCTGAGTTTAGTAGCAACTGCAAGAACAACACCGGTGTCAAGGTGACCCAAGAGAACATTTCCGGTAACCCCAACGGAACGTCTACGAGCACCGGGCCAAGCACTTCTACCAGTGCCAGTGGCCAGGGATCGTCGCCTAAAGCGACTGGCGCTGCGTCACAAGCCAAGGCCGCCTCATGGGTTTTGGGTGCTGTTGGTCTTGCTGGAATTGCCATGCTTTGAGTAGAGCTCTTGGAATAGATTGCGTTGATACCATGCCGAGAGAACCTCTGTATACATGGCGTCTTTGGGCGTACGGCTATTACATCCTTTTAATACACTTCCTTGTAACCAATGCGCACGGCCCAACAGCGTATTTGCACTTGATGGGCGTTGAGACAAGACCAAGACTGACTGCCAGCTGAATGAACTCGACCATCAAACGTAGCAGGGTCTTCTCTTCGGCCTCACTTCGCCGTTGGCTTTGATAGAGTTTGGGATAATACGGGGATACGGGGTACGGAGGGAGTGCCTGCGTGGTTGGCGCGGATAATATCCAGCCGCTATTGCAACGGACGGTTGACGGCAGTGCCAGCAGCGATGATACACTCGAGGTGTCTCCGATAAATATGCCCTGGTTCGAATGGCGGCAGTGAGTAGCGGGGGAGGGGGGAGCATGAGCGTGTTGTTGGTGGATGTTCCGGATCGAAGGTTCCTGGAGCACGAGCGGCCCCCTCTGACGTTGCGGGGGACTTGGAGCTTCCAACAAGCGAGGGAACTGCACACAATCGGCGCTTCCGAAGCGTTTCGCCGATGCCCGCAACAACTTCACCAGCTACACCACACTCCCAGTCTCGGCCACGATCCCGAGTTCAGGTGCGTACCGGTCCCGTGCTCGCTCCAGCCTCGAACCACTCGACCTTCGGTGCAATTGTAACCCATCGCTGACGTTTGGCCGCCGCAGTTCTCCCCACCTAGTCACCTTTCTCTCTCAACACCGCAAATATGGATCAGGCAAAGTTGGCGCGTATGCAAGCGTCGGTGCGCATCGGTATGTACAAGAAGCCCGAGCTGGAACTGCTTGCGAGAGGCGGCCGACTCTATTTTCTTGTCCCATACCCGCTAACATGCGTGCACAGGGTAAGCAGGCCTCTTCGCCGTCTATTTTGACAGCCCCGCACCAAACACCACGCCGAATTTGCGAAGACCCCACCGCAACCCGTGACGGCTGAAGAAGGACTCACGGTGGAAAGAATGGCGAGCATGAGGTACATGAGGCTAATTGGATCAATAGCGGCAAGGGCACACCCCGCAGGAAGGTTAAGAAGGTCCACAGGGGCGCCGGTACCGACGACAAGAAGCTCCAGACCGCGCTGAAGAAGCTCAACGTCCAGCCTATCCAGGCCATTGAGGAGGTCAACATGTTCAAGAGCGACGGCAACGTCATCCACTTCTCGGCGCCCAAGGGTACGTCACCACATCTCCGCTTGTTGCCAATGCCAGAGGGGCAGTTTAGATGGAGCAAATATTGTGGACAATCACACAATCCATACTACTAGGCACCTGCGCTTTGAAAATCAGCAGCGACTAACATTCACGTCACGGCAGTTCACGCCTCAGTACCCGCCAACACCTTCGCCATCTACGGACACGGTGAGGACAAGGAGCTAACAGAGCTCGTCCCCGGCATCCTCAACCAGCTCGGCCCCGACTCGCTCGCATCGCTACGCAAACTGGCCGAGTCCTACCAGAGCATGCAGAAGGAGAAGGGTGAGGACGGCGAGAAGAAGGATGACGATGACGAGGATGACGACGACATCCCCGAGCTCGTCGCCGGCGAGAACTTCGAGTCGAAGGCCGAGGTCGAGTAAGAAGCTATGCAAAATGTAGCTGAAGAGACTAGGCAATGGTGAGGAGGAGGTTACGTGCAAGGCCGGCCTGCCGCATGTATATTTGTACGGAGGACTGGATGAATGCAATGACCATTACGGTCAGCAGTCGCGGCGGGTCTTGCATGCAGACACCGGGCTGGCGTTATATCTCGGAAAAGGATATAAATGAAAATCTTCTGGCACGCTCCCCATGTTCTGTTCCCACGCCGATTGCAAGTCGAAAAAGCATGCGCCTGTATACTTACGTGAACTAGTGGGTCCTGGACTGGAAATAAGCCCTAGTATACGGAGGGTAGTGTCCTAAAAGTCACAAGCGTTTCGACCCCTTATTACAAACAACCACACGCTGTGAGTCCCGCACAGGGTTCCGAACGATTGCGAAGGCAGTCTGGCGAGAGAAATCCTTGCTTTATTACTCATGCACAAGCTCCCTAAGAGTCAGTCCTCCGCACCATCACGGTTGTCAATAACGGATCGACAGCGAGGCGTGGTCACGCTAAACGCAAAGAGGCTAGCATTTCGCCCTTGGCGCCCTGTCTCCGCCAGCATCCAGCGTCCAGCATCTCACATCTCACCCGCCTAGTCCCCGAGAACCGAGGCGATTCATAAGCACAGGCATATGCACAGGTTATATGCCGGTAAGACGAGCTTGCCCTCGCAGCATCTATAAAGGAGCAGCATGGATGCGCCCTTGGGTCTCGACGTAGGATTCGACGGCTCCCCACCTACGACGTGCCTGGCTTGTCATACAGCGCGCCTCCCTATTAAATAATTTCTTTTACAGCCCATTTACTGATTCCTTCTCCAAGTACCCCTTTTCGGTTCCTCTTCCAACAAACTCACAATGAGTACCGAAACCATTCTCATACTGGGCGGATCTTTCGCAGGCATCAGCGCTGCCCACTTCGCACTCAAGCATGTCCTCCCGCAGCTGCCCAAGAAGGATGAGGTCACCTACAATGTCACCCTTGTCAACCCGTCCAAGGATTTGTGGTGGCGCATTGCCGCACCGCGAGAAAGCGTCTCGAAGCAGATGATGCCTTCGGACAAGACCTTCTACCCTATCGAGCCCGCGTTTGCCTATGCCTCCTCCAAGTTCAAGTTTATCCAGGGCATGGCAACCGATTTGGATGCTTCGGGACAGACTGTGTCTGTTCAGACCACATCCGGCGAGCAGCAGTCTATTCAATATGCGGCTCTCGTCATCGCAACCGGATTTACAACTCCAAGCCCTCTATTCACGCAAGCTACGGATCGCGAAGCGCTTGAGCAAGTGCATATTGCTTTCCAGGAGGGGCTCAAAAGCGCAAAGACGGTGATCATTGGCGGCGGTGGGCCAGTTGGTGTAGAAGTCGCAGGAGAGATTGCAGAGATTCTAAATGGTAAACCAGGATTCCTGGCATCTGCACCCAAGAACCCGAAAGCACAGGTCAAACTCATCTGTGGCGACAAGAAGCTTTTGCCCGTTCTTCGACCAGCGATTGGAAAGGCTGCAGAAGGGTACTTGAAGCGACTCGGCTGCAATGTCATCTACGACACAAGAGTCATGTCATCGTCCAAGGCGAGCGAGGAAGAAGGCGCAAAAACAAGGGTAGAGCTCTCCAACGGTGAGATTCTCGAGTCGGACATCTACATCGACGCTACCGGCAGTCGACCAAACACTGGCTTTCTTCCAAAGGAGTGGCTGGACACCCGCAATCGGGTGGCTTGCAATGCCAAAACCCTCCGTGTCGAGCACGAATCCGCTGGCCCCCGTGTCTACGTCGTCGGCGATGTAGGCTCATACACACGCGGAGGCGTCATGGACATGTACGATGCGATACCCGTAGCCATGACGAACCTCAAAAACGACCTGCTTGCTCACTTGACCGGCGAGCCACACAAGGGCGATCGCCACTACACTCCCAACATGAAGGAGCAGCAAATCTGCCCAATCGGTACGCAAAAAGGTGTTGGCGCCTTCAACGGTTTCAAAGTGCCCAGCCAGATGGTGTGGATGATTAAAGGCCGAGACTACATGGTTAGCCAACTTGCCGAGGCTACGCTGAGAGGTGATCAGTTCAAAAAGGAGGGCAAATGGACGCCTGTCCAAGAGACTGGCAAGGCTGGACTGAGCTCGGGTTAGTTATGCGGTTTTTGATCGGTAAGCTGGCACCAAAGTAGAGGCAGCTGGAGTAGCGATATCTGTAGTGGTAGACAGTCGTGATGGGTAGTGGTAGTAGGCATAGAGTGAAAGTTCAGGAGCATAAGACTCACATAATACCCCCAGGTTAGGAGCTAATAAGATGAGAGCTTAATTACGCTAATAAGCGCAATATTCTCGTAATAATTCGCGTGCTGTAGGACACGTGACACAATCTCGACCATGATCTGCCGCGACACCGGCAATGAGTACCCCTGAGGCTTACTAAGGACGGATGGTACTCATCCCGGGATCCGAAATGTGCGTTCATGTGTTGGACGAGTCCATGCTGCATTTGTCTTGGGCGAAGTACCCCTGTTGCGCAGCGCGCATTGAACATACGATTTTCACACTACACAATTTGGAGACGGGTTTTATGTATTAGTAATGCCTGGGATTTCAGGTGCTTAGGTTTGTTCATCCATGTTACAGGCTGTCGATCCATTTATGCGCCGGATCAGGATTCAATTGATGCCCCACCCAAATAAGCTTAAACTTAGCGCGTCATAGCTCGGAGCTCCAAAATTTCCCACTCTCGAGACTGGACTGGAACACCACGCCGCGCTGCTAGTCGTGTGCCCTCTCCTCGAATCTTACAGTACCCCGATTGGTTCTCCATGGCGACCGCGACTCATCCCCCGCCCGCGCTGACGTTCCCGCGCCCAATCTTCGCCGCCGTCTCCCCACATCCCTTCCTGCAAGCGCACCTCGCTGCTGAGAAGAAGAAGCCCATACGCGCCAACGGCCGGACAATCAACGAGTTCCGAACACCGGGAATAAACACTGGCAGCTTGACTCATTGCAATGGCAGCGCAGTGGTGCGCTTGGGCAACACGAGCGTGGTTTGCGGCGTACGCGCAGAAATCCTGAAGGAGGCCGACATTCCAGGCACCTTTGAGTACCCTGGGGAGACTGCAGGCAAGGATGGGGAAGAGCAAGAAGAGAATGGCGAGGAAGTAGAAGGGCTGAGATTGCTGGTGCCCAACGTAGAGTTGTCAACAGGAAGCACACCTTCGCACATTCCAGGCAACGCGCCCTCAACATACGCGCAAACACTCATAACACGCATACGATCGCTCCTCCACTCTACGCGACTGCTCCGCGCATCCGACCTCCGCATTCTATACAAGCCCTCTACCAATCCCGAGGATCCAGACACAGAACCAGAGACACAGCTCAAGGGCTACTGGGTCTTGTATCTGGATGTCTTCTTCATCAGCATCGACGGCAATGCGTTTGATGCGGCGTGGATATCCATTCTTGCAGCCCTTCGCGATACCCTCATACCGCACGCATACTACGACGAAGAGTACGAGGGCATACTATGCTCTGATGACCCCCAGGATGCACACCGACTGCGATTACAAGGCCTGCCGATACCCACTACCTTTGCGGTGTTTGAAGGCAGGAAAGAGGAGGATGAGGAAGTAGACTGGGTACTCAGCGATCCAGATGCCTTTGAGGAGGGCGTGTGTAGAGAGACTGTGAGTGTAGTGGTCGACTGCCAAAGTGGAAAGAAGGGCACCAAGGATCTGGTTATTCGAAGGGTGGAGAAGAGCGGTGGGGGCATCGTAGGGAGGGAGCTGATGGCCGGTCTGATCAAGAGGAGCATTGACCGCTGGGGCACAGTTGAGGCTGTGTTGGGCGGGAATGCCTGAGCAAGGCCGGACGCAAGCGAGATTCGGAGTGCACCTACAGAGTTGTGACCATGTCTTTCTCAGTGCGTTAAGACATCTTGGGTCACGCTTTGAATTGGTTCATAATGTGGACAACAAAGCCACATCCGAGAATCCGCCAAGACACTGGCCCATTCCGCCCCAGCGTAGTCTTGGTACGTTGGGCAAGGGATGAATTTACTGCGAGATGAAGATTTCATGTATTTATGTGTAGACGACGGCACAGCAGGGTGCACAACTCACCTTCACGGTGCTAAATACGAAACGCTACGATACGAGCCAAGACATTCAGCATGGCATCTGTTTGCCCGGGAATAAAGTCATGCAACGATTGGACACGTCCCCTATACTTCCACGTCCTTGATTACTCACTCACTAGCCCTCGAGCCATGCCGTCACGATTCAAACACCACGATGCACTACTTACCGAAACGCTATCCGAGGATACGCGGCACGTTGCCACTCGGATACACGACCGTTCCCGTGACAGAAAGTTATGACGACAGCGGCATGTCGGCTGTAGCATGCAGTCTGGCAGCCAGCATAGTCCAGGCCATACCCATTGACCTTGGTGTAGGACGCGTTAATGAATAGTGGGGAATGTAAGCCTTTTTGGCGTAGAGTGTTCGGCAAGCGACAGCAGGTTAAAACTCAGTTTGCGAGGACCACAATCTAACCCACTGCCGATCTGCAGGTTCGCAGCCGCTCGGTAGGTGCACCAGCCAGACGGAGGATTAATTGCGGGATTGATTACAACTATGGGAAAGCCGGCTCTTGTACAGCCAGCCACCAAGGCCCGACGATGCAGATTAGGGTGTCTCGGCCACTGCACACAAAAAAAGCGAGCCGCCGCCCATGTGCCTCCGGGAGCAGTAGCTGCCTATGGAAAACGCCCCTTCTCGGGATTTGAAACTTGAAACATGTTTTTTTCTCTGCGGGCGTGATAGGGCAGTCGTGGCCCTGTGGAGATCTCGCTTCCATCTGCTAGGGAGGGCGAAACCGATCCTTTGATAAACTCTTTTTTTTTACCTGACGGCCACGCGGGCGGCTAGGACATACTTACTGTACACCTACCCAGCTCCACCATGGCAAGCCCGAGGGTAGCAGATCAAGGCTGCATCGGTGTCAGTGCCTTACACGGGTGTGTTTCTTTATCAAAGAGCCCCTTGTTCGCCTTGTTCCCCGGAGCCCGAAAAGAAGACGTCGCAGCTAATCGAGGCGCGGGCTGGCACGACTGTTTAATCTTAGGCAGGGGCGGCGCAGCGCAGTAATACCGTTTGAAGATCAGCCACCTTTTTTTTGACTTAGCGATGACGGTGCCACACTAAGCGCTCTCAGGAACAGGGCTAGCTTCTCCTCGTCCTATCGATACCTGCTCGCCTCGTTATCGGCAACGAAGGAACGGAAAGAAACAAAGCTGTACGCCCGGCGCGAACGCCGTTTTCCTTCTGTTTCACCTGTCGGCAGCCGAACGGCTCGCCTCGCTACATGGCTACAACACATACATACTCTTCCTGTTTTTTGGGGGGGCCAGTGTTGTGTGCCATCACAGACACGCTTTCACCCGGTGCTTGGCGGCTCGCCTGGAAACTGCATCTTCTTATCCTACCCCCTGACGCCCACGCCGCCTGGCTAACGGACTACGCGCGGCTCCCCTGGCCTAGATCGCCGCCTGGAAACGGCTATGGATAACATGCATCTAGTCAGTTTTGGTGTCACATTGTTGAGCTTCTAAGCTTCTTGTGTCAAATTTGGCTGCAATGGGAGGGGGGGGAAGGGCGGCTCGCCCAATTTGTGGCTGCATGCAATTCCCACCTCCTGCAGCGAAGGGAAACGAAAAAAAAGGCTCTTTGGTGTATATTTATCCATGGCCCCCTCCGTCTCTCTGTCCCTTTGGACTTTGTCCTATCTGGATTCTTTTTTTTTCACATCACTGTTCCCTTTTTCTTCCTCTCGCTCTCTTTGGCTTCCGGTACAGGAATACCACACCTTCATTTTTTGACTTCCAACACACTCCTTTGATATCAAGAGCAACTAGAGTCTGTGACTCGATCCCTTCATTCACAACCTGCTCTCTCCACCTTTTTCGCCATTTTGACACAGATCCACCACTGTTCAAGCATCCAGTCCTTGTCACAAAGTCACCATGCGTTTTGACGTCGTATCCTTTGCGGCTGGCTTTGCTGCCACGGCCTCCGCCCAGTGCTACGGCAACTACTTCAGCTTTTACAACCGCGCTGGCCCTGCTATGAGCTACCAGCGTCTGGATCCCGGCCTGTACCCCGGGGCCGTGAGTCCTCATCTTCACTCTTTTGACGGAGGAAACGGACTGCAAATGGACATGGACTACGCCGAAACACAGGGCTCGTCTTGCACCACGGCCCGTGTCAAGACGGACAAGTCGTTGTACTGGCGTCCCACCTTGTTCTTCAAGAACGAGACGGGCTTCCACCGCGTTCCCGAGCAGTCGACCAAGATCTACTACAAGTACGGTGACGGAAACAACTGGGCAAACGTCACGGCGTACCCAAAGGGCTTCAACATGGTTGCTGGACAGCCCAAGCGGCGCGCAGACACCAGCGACAACGCCGCGGGCGTGCGCTGGGGCTGCCACGAGCCCGACGGTAACTCTGCGGCCATCTTCGACAATGGGTTCCCCAAGGGCTTTACCTCTTGCAAATACGGCTTCGCCTCCGAAGCCACGTTCCCCTCTTGCTGGAACGGAAAGGAGATGGATCCCAAGAACGGATATGCACACATGGCTTACCCCAACAGCAACAGTGGCGTCGGCATCGAGAACTGCCCTGTTACCCACCGAGCCGCGCGCTTCCCTACCCTGTTTATTGAGTTTTGGTGGGACATTTCGTCGTTCAAGTTTGGCGCTGATGAGGCGCCTTGGGTCCTGTCCAACGGCGACCCAACTGGCTACGGCTTCCACGCCGACTTTGTAAGTCACCCACGTGCTTGGCCTGCATGCATCTGCTAACCCGCTGTCAAGATGAACGGATGGGACGAAGGCGTCCTCGACAAAGCCATTAGCGAGAACGACGGCTGCAAGTGCGGCTGCGGCTGCGGCCAGCAGGAAATGGAGCAGTGCTTTGGCTCTGCAAACGTCAACAAGGACAGCGACAACTCGTGGGCCAGCTGCTCTGCCACCGAAAATGCCCGTGCAGCCGACGACTCGCCCGTCATGAGCGTGCTTCCTGGCTGCAACCCTCTTCAATACGGTCCTGCGTCTGCCACCGACGCCTCTGGCCCTGGCTGCACTGCCGCCCCGTCCGTCCCTGCGCCCGGAAACAGTACCAAGGTTGCGTCGGCGGTACCAAGCCAAACTCCTACTTCTCCTGATTATTTCGCTGCCACGACACTCCCCGTCACGCCCGACGCTGCTGCACCCGCGTCTGCAGTGCCCCTTTCCCAATACCCAGCCTACTCCGCTGCTCCTCTTCCTCCTAACAAGGATGCCGACAACGCGGCAAAGCCAACTCCCGTCTCGCCTCCAAACCAAGTCCCTGCCGGCGGCAATGCAGACGCTGAGGATGCTCCTCTTAGTTGCACGGCCCAGCCTACCACCGTGTACAAGACGATGACGGAGACGGTGACTGTTCATGTGTCTGCCGCCAAGGAGACTGGCTCGTACTAGGCCATGAATTGGCTATCGCTATCCTTCTTGATTCGCCATTTAGCTTTGCTTGGAGTCCGGTTGTGGCTAGATATTGTCTTTGTTGCAAGCTTGGGACTAAGCACACTCGCAAACTCTTTTATGTTCCGTGTACATATATTCCACGCCTCTTTAGAAAGATAAAGGAAAAAAAACCTTTCCGACGTTAGACACGTGTTGTCAGTGCATTTGTTCTTTTGTGTTGAAGTGCCCTGATGCAAGTTGACCTTTCGCGTGTTTCTGTTGACACATTGCCCTACAACACTGCTGTGGATGAAGATGGTCCCTCTGGCCATGCAAAAAGAACCGCACTGAATCCCACACTCACTGATGGGCATCGACCCGGCAAAAAAGGATTTGGAGCTCTTGACGAGCTCCGGCTTTTGACTCAGCCGAGGTTTGAACTCGGGACCTTCAGTGGCCTAACACATTGTTAGACTGACGTGATAACCAACTACACCACCGAGCCCTGTTTGATACAAGAGAGGGTAGTTCTTTCCCAAATGATCTCAGTGGACAGCAAACGGAAAGTGCGAAGCACCAAGAACAACAAGTCTGTGGCTGCAGGGCGATATGCCGAAAAAGTTTTGTACTCGGGAGCCCACCGAATAGGTTAGTGGAAACGGGGCTGCACCATCAGACCCGGTAACCGAGGGTGCAGAGAAGCGGCAAGTCCCTCCCCTTCTGGCACAGGGATGTGTATACAACAGTATTGTTGGCATTTTTTTTCTCAAAGTAGTTCAGGTTGGAGCGTGCATCCGCACCGTACATGCTGCATGCAGCCAATTGTGTCTGCGCCGCATTGCCGCTTTCAATTGCCTTGTCATGCAAATCTTATGGTCGGGACCCAAGCGCGGCTAGCTGGGCAAGACAAACTCCGGGGACCCTCGGAAACCAGTTGCATGGGGGGTGCTGGCACTGGTGTGTGTACTGTAATAGGAGCTAAGCGGGCATCTTCCGTTTGGAGCGTGAGATTCGCGAGCGTGGCCAGAGGTAGATCTTCGAGGGACTAGATTTTTGGGGATGGGACTGTTGGGTGGATGGGTGGGTGAATAGCGCAATGGTTGGGGTAAATGGCCAAGTAGAGTGCCCAGAGCAGGATGAACATCATGGCCGGAGATTACAGTATCGCCAATCCGCATTGTCATCTCATATGCTGATGCTATGCGCAAATGCATCTGCAGAGAACATGGTGGGAGCGCAACGGTATGCTAATGCAGGTCTGCGGTGAATGCTCATGAGGGTAGCCAGCCTGCCTTGGTACTGTAAGTTACTATGGCGACTTGCGGCTGTGATGGCTGTTCACCACCATTGGTACTTCAAGACGCCGGCGTATTTTTTTTTCTCTTCTTCTCTCAAAGAAAGGCTGCGCATCGTCTTTTTCGGGTCCTGATGAAATCGAAATGGGCCGACGGGACCAGGGAGGAGAAGCATGGGGGGGGCGTGTGGGGCGCTGCTCGGCACGTGGGGTCGCTTTCATGGGGGGGCTGGCAGTGTTTGGCGGCCGAGGGCATGTCGGCAATTGATCACGTTGCTGGTGGACGTGTCGCAGGTTATCAAGAAGCAGTGCACTTTACTCCAGGACACACCTTTTTTGCTCCTCCATTTCCTGCCCTTTCCGCCTTGTTTTCTTTTCTCCCAGCTGTGGTGTTTTTCTCTCGACACAAGCTTGGAATCCGCAATCATGGCTCTAGGTAAGTGTTTACTGGTTGGTTGGTTGGGGGGGAGCTTTCCCCCCGGCGCGCCTCAACTCCCAACCACATGTCACTGCGTCAGCGGTTACTACATACTGTACAACCCCCAGCTAACCCGGCGCAGCAGCACCCGTCGCAGGCGCCATTGCAGGTGTCACCGCCGCTGCCGCTTATATCGACGCCAAATACCACGTTTCCAAGGATCTCGCCGCAATCCGTGGCCAAAAGGCTGCGGTGCGCGCCATAGAGAAGAATTGTAAGCTCCCGGTAGCTACATGCCCTTATCGCGCCCTGTTAACGATAAAACAGCGCAAGGCAAAGGACAGTCCCTTTGGTACCAATTCGAAACCCAAGTCCGCCGTCTCCCTGCGAATGAAGAATGCATCTGGTCTCGCAACGGCTGCTACACATGGGCTGAAACATACGCAAACGCCTGCCGGTACGGCCAGTACCTCCACCAGCATGGCGTCGCGCCCGGCCAGCTTTTTGCCATGTACATGATGAACCGACCCGAGTTTCTGTTTGCACACTTGGGCAGCTGGAGCATAGGAAGCGCACCGGCGTGGATCAACTACAACTTGGCCGGCGATGCCCTGGTCCACTGCTTGAAGGTCAGCGGCGCCAAGGTGCTGCTTGTGGATGAAGACATGGATTGCAGAAAGAGGATAGAGGATATACGGGAAAGGCTGGAGCAGGAGCTCGGAATGACCATTCTGATTCTGGACAACGACCTGAAGGGTGAGATTTCGAGGACAGAGCCTAAGCGACCGGAAGACGAACTCAGAGTCAACGCCAAGGGCAAGTTCCCGCTCTTCATCTTCTACACAAGGTTGGTCAAATCCACGGATTCCGTGGTCAGAGTATCGGGCTGACAGTACTAGTGGCACAACTGGACACCCCAAGGCCTGCCCAATGCCGACGGAGCGAGCCCCTGGCATGACAGGCCGTGTAGGTGCGCTGGGACTGAAACCAGGACCCAATGGCGACCGATGGTATGTTTGCATGCCTCTGTATCACGGCACCGGAGGTACCACTGCGCTCGTCTGCTTGCTTGCTGGCCTTACCTGCTGCATCGGCACCAAGTTCTCTACATCAAAGTTCTGGAAAGACGTAGTCGAGTCCCGATCCACCGCCATCGTATACGTAGGAGAGACGGCCCGTTATCTCCTCAATGCCCCTCCCAGCGATCTCGACAAAAAGCACAAAGTCCGAGCCATGTTCGGAAACGGTCTTCGTCCCGACGTGTGGCAGCGTTTTGTCGATCGTTTTGGTATCGAGATTGTGGGCGAATTCTTCAACAGCACAGAGGGCGTCATGGTGCTTTTCAATGGCTCTCGCGGGCCCTTCACAGCCACCTCAGTCGGACACCAAGGTCTGATTGAGCGCTGGCGAACTCACAACGTATATGTCCCTGTTGAGGTTGACATGATCACTGGCGACCTCCTCCGTGACCCCAAGACCGGCTTCTGTAAACGCAAATCGTACGAAGAGGGCAGTGAGATTCTTGTCCACATGCCTAGCGAAGACGCATTTGTCGGATACTGGAACAACCCGGAGGCCACCGAAAAACGCTTTGAACGCAACGTCTTCAAGAAGGGCGACCTCTACTACCGTACGGGTGACGCTCTCCGCCGTGACAAAGACGGTCGATGGTTCTTTATGGACCGTCTCGGCGACACTTTCCGCTGGAAGTCCGAAAACGTCAGCACAGCCGAAGTCAGCGAGGCACTTGGTTCGTTCCCTGGTATCCAAGAAGCCAACGTCTATGGTGTCGAGGTACCAGGCTACGATGGCCGAGCAGGCTGTGCCGCCATTTTCATCGATCCTGCGCACCGCAACTCGTTTGACTTCAACGCCCTGCTTGCGCATGCAAGCGCAAAGCTACCCAAATACGCAGTTCCCGTATTCCTGAGGATACAAAAGCAGCAAACGACAATGCACAACAACAAACAGAACAAGGTTCCGCTAAGGAACGACGGTATCGACCTCAGGAAGCTCATGGAGAGGGCCGACAAAGAGGCCAAGGAGCAGGGCAACGATCAGGTCGAGTACGATACTATCTACTGGAATCCTTCGGCGCTGGGTGCTAACAAGGGAATGAGCACTGGTGAGGGTTATGTCGTGTACACGATGGCGGATTGGGATCAGCTCAAGGGGAACAAGGAGAGCGCGAGGTTGTAGGGCTGTGGATAATTGTGTGCTGCTTTTTCTCTTGTTCGTAGCGTTCTCGATTAGCAACGCATTGTGTTTGTAAAGGGTGCATTCAGATATTGTTAGAACTGGCCTGTCGAAGCGATACTTGGGCCAAGATAAGATTATATTTTCTCCAATCTGTACTCTGATGCAACCCCTCCCTCGGGCTTACTAGGCGAATTGTACGATTGAGTTTACTGTCTATAAATTCACTAAAAGCGCAGTGCATAAGGCGGTTAGTGGGCTGAATCATTTCTGTTTGATTGATGCTTGTGCTCGTACCATCCTCGTAATTCATTACCAAGACTTTGCCTTGGCTGCTTGCGCGCTAGCTTATTCTACCGGGTACGTAGGTTAGAAAAAGGACGAAGACTATGTATGTACAGTCTTGGAGGCTAAGTAATAACCCAGTGGTAGTACGTATTCTAAGCTTTTATTGGGCAGTACTAAACGGTAGAACAGATAGAGAGCAACATCCAGCTTGAGTACCAGAGGCAACGTGGAGGCACAAGGGCATTGATTTGTTTATTCTTAGTTTCAAGATACTGGTAAAAGCGGGGAAGAGGAGAGAGCATTTCCGGTATTTGAAGCATCCCGTGTTGTACACGATATGTACGTGCTATCCCGACGACTACATGGAGAGCGATACAAGGATAAAGCGTGGAAAATCCCCTTATCGGGATAGATAACTTGTTATGTCTTTCTTGATTATCTATGAATATCACGATGGGACTCATAGGCCTTTTTCTTCCCCGTGTCACAAGTAGCAGCATACTGTTATCGCATCACAACGGTATGTACCTTCACAGTTAGATAGCAGAATAAGGGTACGGGCTCTACGGCTTCAAAGAGAATTTCATGGATGGATAAATTCGAACACAGGAAGCCGTATCGTCTGGGATAAGCAAACACTGGCTCAAGTTTGAATTCGCTGTCTGGCGTTCCTTACGTGAATATACGACTAGCTTAAAAAAGAGGTTCTTAATATCTTAGTATGTATCCTGGTTATTTGCTCTGGAGTTTCTTAGAACTAATCAGCATTGATTTCTTTAAGTGCTCTGAGCCACTGTACAACTAGCACGTGACTGACGTTGATATGCAGCTTGAACTGCATTACGCTTCCCAAACTTGACTTCAAAGGCTTTCACATCTTGGCACCTCATGTGCGTTCATATGCAGTCACCCTGGTCTTGGACTATTCTGGTGAAAGCTGTGTGTTTGCTCTTCGGCACACAACCGTTGCGGGTACTCACCTCACCTCACCTTCACCAGAGCTGCCTGCAGACCCACTCACCCCGCTATAAATAACGCCTCTTCTCCCAAAACAACCCTCCACCCCCTCTGCTACTCAACTCTACTCACTTGTACACCTACAAAGACAAAAGCAGCCATGAGCGATACCAGCTCCGACTACGAGAGCGCTAGCACCCCAGTCGCTCCCATACACGTGGATCCAGATGCCGTCACCACGAGCTCACTGCAGGCTCTTCAGTCCTCGGACCAACGCAAGGTCATGGACATTGTGGACAAGCTCCGACGCACTGGTCTTAGTGGTATAGTGGAGCTCCCCCAACTCATTGTTTGCGGTGACCAGTCATCGGGCAAGAGTTCAGTGCTGGAGGCGATTACCGAAATCCCGTTTCCTCGCAAGGAAAACCTGTGCACGCGGTTTGCGACTGAGGTGAGTTTACTGATGTCTGGGGTTCATGCGCGGAGTTGATATGACATAGATTATTCTGCGTCGCTCCACAACTTCGACTAGTACCGTCACGATTACCCTGGATAAGCTGCGTCCGAAAAATGAACAGATCAAGCTCAAGGAATTTACCAAGTCGATCAGCGACTTTGATGAGCTCCCCGATGTCATCGAGGAGGCAACCATAGCCATGGGTCTAGGCGCTGTAGGAGGTATCAACTCCAGAGCATTCTCCCGCGATGTACTGTCTATCGAGATCACAGGCCCGAACAGGCCCCAGCTGTGAGTTCTCATTTCCAAAGCCCAGGTAGTAGCAAGCTGACGTCATTCAGGACTCTCGTCGACCTTCCTGGTCTCATTCATGCGACAAATAAGGCTCAGACGGAGACTGACAAGGAGCTGATCCTGGACCTTGTCACGCAGTACATGAAGAACCCTCGCACAATCATTCTGGCCGTCGTCAGCGCAAAGAACGACTTTGCCAACCAGATTATCCTTGATCACTGCCGCAAGGTCGATGAGCAGGGCCGCCGTACTCTGGGCATCATCACCAAACCAGACTACCTTCGTGAGGGCACCGAGAACGAGCTGAGCTGGATTGAGCTTGCGCAGAACAAAGACATCTATCTGGAGCGCGGCTGGCACATGCTGAAGAACCGGGCTGATGACCAGATGGGCTTCTCATTTGAGCAGCGTAACGAAGATGAGACGCGCTTCTTCAGCAAAGGCCGATATGCCGAACTGCCTCGCGAGTGCGTGGGCATCGTCTCGCTGCGCCAACGCCTCAGCAAGGTGCTGCTCAGCCACCTGACCAAAGAGCTGCCATCGCTCAAGGAGGAAATGGTAGGCCGGCTCGAGACCACAATCGAGGAGATTGAACAGCTGGGCGAGAAACGCAACACAAGCCATGAGCAGCGCATTGTCCTCATGAAGATCAGCATGAAAGTCAACAGTGTCTTGAAATCCGCTACAAAGGGATACTACGATTCGCCCTTTTTCGGGTCCATCAACACAGACGCCGCAGTGGACTCTTCGGAGAATATTCGCCGCTTCCGCGCTGTGATTCAGCATCTCAACATGGGGTTCGAGAAAGACATGCGGCTCCGAGGCCACAAGTTCTTCTTCGAAGCGGGGCCTGGCGACGAGGAGAAGGAGACGAAGGAGGCACTCAAGGCGCAGGAAGAGCTGGAAGAAGAACTAAAGAGGGACAAGTACGGGCTCACAAAAGGCCTTCCAGTTCCCAAGAAGTTGACGCGCGACGAAGCCGTTGAATGGGTCAAGAAGCTGCTTGAGCGCTCGCGCGGCTACGAACTCCCCGGCACGTTCCAACCGCTGCTCATCTCGCAGCTGTTCTGGGAACAGTCTGAGCCATGGGAAGAGCTTGCATCGCTGCACATTACCAAGGTAGCACAAGCCTGCGAGGAGTTTGTCGATATCGTTCTCGAAGACACGACGCCCGTGGAATTCCGGCACCGGCTCGCGGCTCTCAGTGTGGATGCTGCGCTGAGGAAGTCGCTGGCCGACGCAAAGGCCGAGCTGCGCAAGCTTCTCAGCGACAAGGCTCGTCATCCGTCCACGTACAATCAGCACTTTACGACTAGGATCCAGAAGATGCGCATGCGCAAGCATCAGGCCATGACGGGGAGTGCGTCTGAAGCCTCGACCACGACCGTCAAAGATCAGTCCGGCACGGCATGTACGTACATTGAGATCGACAAGCTCGCTGCCCAGATGGACATGCTCATGGAATTCGACATGGATGTGTTCGCCAGTAAGGAGGCGCTCGACACGCAGCATGCCTACTACCAGGACGAGATGAAGTACTTTGTCAACGCCATTACCAAGGCCGTCATTGAGCGTCACTTGGTGGAGCCGTTGCCTGACGTCATCCTTTCGCCGCTGGTGGTGACGGAAATGTCGGACAAGGAGGTCGAGTACGTTGCTGCTGAGCCTCCAGAGACGACGCAGCAGAGAGGTCATCTGGAGGCTAGGAGGGCCATGTTGGAGAAGGGCCTGGCGACGTTCAGGGAGGCCATGGGCGAACTGAGGCGCTAGGCTTGGAAGGGCTACTTGGATCGCTGAAAAGATTGGATTAGTTGCGGTATTACGCAGTTTGGACATGACGAACATGTAGACTGACTTGAACATGTAAACAGTTAGATGGCTCGTAATTGCAGAGCTATAGTGAGCAGATGAATCAAAACAGTCAACAGAACTGGCACCATGCTAGCTCCAGCGCCATGTGTGGTTGAAAGTGTTCCATTCAACTGATCATTTCCAGATCACGTCATACTGTAACTCCTCTCTTTTCCCTCTTCATTCTCATCCATCAGGGTAGGCTTAAACACCTGTTTCCGCGCCTGTACCGCGCCCGACGCCTTCCAGGCAGACAGGATCAAATCGACAATGGCGTCAACGCCCTGGTCGCGCTTTACGACGGCGAAAATGGTCGGACCGCCCTCACGCATCCGCCTGCTGTCTCTCTCCATGACGTTCAGGTCAGCGCCTACAGCCTCAGCCAGATCGATCTTGTTGACGACGAGCAAGTCGGATTGTGTGATGCCAGGTCCGCCCTTTCTGGGGATCTTGTCACCGCCCGAGACGTCAATGACATAGATGATGAAGTCCGCGAGTTCACGCGAGTAGTTTGCAGCCAGGTTGTCGCCACCGGATTCGATGAGCAGCAGGTCCGTGTTGAACTTGTGGTGGAGTGTCGTGAGCGTCATGAGGTTGACCGAGATGTCTTCACGCACGGCGGCGTGGGGGCAGCCTCCGGTTTCGACGGCGACAATGCGCTCGCTGTGGACACGGTCAGAATGGCAATCCGCCGGGTGGGTTGGAAGAAAAGCCTTACGCGGGTAGGGCATTGTTCTTTGTCAGGAACTCGCAGTCCTCACGGGTGAAGATGTCGTTTGTCACTGCGGCTATGGAGAAGCGTGTTCGGAGATGCTTGCAGAGAGCCAGCATGAGGGCCGTCTTGCCCGAGCCTACAGGTCTACTCCAGTCAGCATGTCTCACGGCTGCGGGTGGGGTGCCACGGCTTCGGTGTTCGGATAGGGCTGGGCCAGACGAGCGACATGTATAGATTGGTTGATGAAAGGCAGTCGTACCCTCCGATGCCAACCGTGAAGGAGCGGTCCTCCCAGTCTCTTCCCTCGATGATTGGCATCTCGCGGCCTACATAGCTTCCTGGCCCGTCGAGAATCTCATGCGTATGGCCATGGTCAGCTGCAGAGTGCGAGTGCGAGGCAGCCTCGTGCGAGTGGCTGTGAGACATGGCTACAAGGAATGCGGGTTAGCACGGCGGGTTAGCAGAGAATGCTCGATGGCAGAAATGGATGAAGCTCCAAGCTGTCCATGGTGGGGCAGAGGGGTTGCGAGGAGCTGGCGCGGGGTTGCTTCTCCAGTGCCGTGGTTGGCAGCGGCGCTTCCCATGTCTCCCGTATCCTAACCGGGTGCGTGGGCCCAGCGCAGGAGAAGCTGTTGCTTGTGCGCGTGGAGAGGAGCCGCATGGAAAAGGTAAATCCGGGCTTATCGAGGCCAGAGCATTGGCATGCCGGCCGCCGTTGTTGTCATCGTCGTCATATGCATGCATGTAGTAAGTAAGAAGTCGGTGACTGGTTTGGCTGCGGAGAAGACGGCGGCGATGCTCGGGCCACGGGCGCTTCCCAGCGTCTCCTTTTTTTTCCCTCAGACTCAGCACCAGCACCAGCACCAGCACCAGCTCCTTGATCACGGCGGCTCACGACTCACGACTCGCGCCTCACGATGCACCGGCGCATGCACACGCACCTGCACAGCCGCACGCCTCAGCACATTAGCAGCCATGACGATGATTCCGTTGGGCGTGGTACCCAACACTCACAGACCACGGGATCCATGTATCCACCTGGACCCGTAGTTCATCACCCGCAACCCGGTCCGCCTGGGTGGCATGAAAAGAAAGGCACGTCCGCTGGTAGCGGGAACGTCTTCGGGTCCCTAAAATCCTCCAATATCGCCGAGGCGCGCCACAAATACGACAATCTTCATGCGTGCAATTTCCGCCGTCGTCAGCTTTCCTACTTCTGCGCTGGCACCTGCATGCACATGACTAGGCCCCTCGCAGCCGCACCTAAAAGACGTACGCAGCACTCTCCCCCATGTTTACCGTGCTTGTTTTGGTGGATAACACTGACAGGCTGCTGCTTATCCTAATCGAGATCGCCGTCTATGCGCCTCTCCCCCCAAGCGGCAAGATCGCCTTGACCAAGTAACGCCCGGATGGTCTTGTTTAGTCGTTTCACCTCTTATTTGTCTATCCCATCAGCGCTGTTTATCTCTCTGTATTCCTAATTGCCGGCTCGCTTTCTTTTTGCCCTACTACTTGTATAATGTGTCCTGCTGTTGCCATGTCCTGGGAGAAGACACAGCACACGGCCCTCACGCTTTGGGACATTGACCGCGTATTTCAAGATGCTCACGAGGCCTACGAGCAGTGGCAGGCCCGCCACCGGCACACCCGGTCCAAATGGATCTGCTTTGGTGGAAAGAACCGGGACGACGCTGTTGGGAGAGCCTTGAGCCTTGGCCGCCAGATCCAGAGAATCATGGAGTCCGGAAAGGAAGCGTTTGGGGAGCGGTTCGAGGAGGGAGACCGTGAGTCTAGTGCTGTCATCGTCAAGATGCACGTGTTGACCATGGGCAGAAAAGTGCAACACCATTCTCTCTGCACAGTTGCTTCGAGTGCAGTACGAAATCAGACAGCCGCTGTACGACAGTGCTTTCTCGTCCACGCCAGTCACTCCCATCGACGACATCATTACAACCGCCAAGAGCGTACGACGCGCCTGCCTCACCGCCCTGCGCGACCAATATGCCCGCCTCGAAACACCCATCCTCTCGCCAGTCCTTCCCCCGCCCCGATTCAAGGTTGAATTCTGTCCATTCGCCGACCAGCTCCGCAAGGACCTCAAGGAGACCAAGACGAGCACGTTACGAGCAAAAAAAGCGCAACCACACGACAAGCACGACGACCGAGAAATATGCCCCCACTGCAGCGCATGCGTATCTGTTGCAACCCATTCGGGCTTGCCGGCCTCCAGATGCATACTCTTCACATCGCATATTGCGCTGGATCCAGACGCCAAAGACGACAGAGCAACGTTTGCGTGTAACAGCTGCTACAAGACATTTGACGACTCGTACGCCTTCCTGGACCACTACTTTCAAAAGCAGATTGGCAGCGATAAGAGCTGTCTAAAGCTGTCCGTGTCGCGGTCAACCTCGAGTTGGTTCTTGAAGGAAGAGCTCATCGACGTGGATCCTTCAGTAGTCGAGCAGTGCCTGAAGAATTGCATAGCAAGAGAGACGATGCGAAGCAAACAGCACAAACGCAGGGGCAGTCGGATTACCATACGAGAAGTGCTTACTACCGACTGAACTCCATCCACGCGAAAACGACGACACGACTCTCCTTCTACCGCAGCTCGATCCACGGAGGCAGGATGATTATGAGTAACCGACGCACGGCATCGATCGAGCACTATTGGGCGCTCTTACCCAACTCTACCACCCTTCAAGACGTCGACGCCGGCGTTTCTGGCCTCGCTAATTTCGCTTCCGCCGACAGCCGAATTCATAAAACTCGGGGCTCATCGGTCGGGACACTGCATAAAACCAGAGTCCCTCTCGGCGGCTGTAAAATTACCGTATTATATTAACCCTTAGATTTCTTTGTCATGTCATACCAAGCCATGTCTAATGCAGTAATGTATTTATGAATAATCTTATTTTTCATGCTCTTACCTTACTCGGTACGTGAGGCAGTTATTTATGCATACACGCACTCACACATAAGTCATTTCGTTTCGCTACTTGATACCGCAAATACGGCATCACGCGGTCAAAGAATCCATGCTGGTGATCTTACTGAACAAAACGCCATGAAACTTGTCACGAAGATATATTTGTCCACGGCAATTTCCTACAAGCAGGGTCACCGCGCTTATATTGTACATCCACATAAAATTTATGGGCTATGGTTATATTATCACATCTTGCTCATGGACCGATATGGCCTTACTTATCACCCCAAGATTACTCGTCTCATCTGCGCCCGTTTCACCATTTTCCAAGCCTCTCATGATTAGTATCGTACGTCGTAGGTAGCAGTAGTATGGGTATCGCTGTGGGAGACACGGGCAGAGAAGAAAAAAAATCTCCGCACGGCCCCCCACGCCTCCCGAGTCACAATCATGTACACGTGTATGTATGTATGTGGAAAGATAGCTAGTGCTGCTCTTGGCGTCATTCGTCATCTGGGTATTCATTCTTTCTTGGCACAATGCGGAGACGGATAATCACATCTGGACCCTCCATACAAGGCACACTACTGGCTGTACATCTCTACAAGCCCTGTCTCGGCTGTGTGTGTGGATGTGGCTGTGGGAGTGGTCAGGCGCGTAGGCGTAGTGCGTGTATGTTTTACACGGTGCAGTCTAGACTGTTACTACAGCCCTCGTGGTAGCGACCGGTAGCATGTATATTCCGGGGCTACAGTAAGTACGGAGAAAACTAGCAGGGCATACTGTATCCAGTCTTACTCGCATCGTCTTTCTTTCCCCAGGCTCCGTCTATGCGTTATCGCTGCAATAACAGTATCAACGGCTTACCTACTCGATACACACACATGCCCGAATGCCAATGACCTTGTTACACTCCCTCCACCACGGCCCGAGTCCAGCCCAGCATGATTTTACAGTAGCTATTGCCACTAGACCTACCTACCTGTTTTACCCCCCACCCCCAGATTTATCATTAACCACATCCATCCATACACCCATACGCACTAACAAGACCCCGCTCGCGTCTTTCCGTCCACATCGCTAATGGACCCTGCATCACTAACACATATGTACGTACACACCGTGGATCCTCCTCCTCCTCCTCCTGCCCCCCTGGCTGTCAAAGCTGCACGTCAGAAAATAGATTGGCCTTGGCCTGTTTTTTGGGGATACTGCATGGCGGTATGGAGCGATATGGTATACACCGCCTTGAGTCTCTCCGAGCCTTTTTGATTGTCGTACTTGTCTTGTTTTGTCTTGGGCATGTGTGGTTTTACTGGTGAAGCGAGGGAGGAGGCGTGTACAGTAAGGCGAAAATTTAACTCGTTTGCATTTTTTCATTTTTCATTTTCTACTTAAGTACTTAGATCCTTAGTTACTTAGTTACTTGGAGGAAATTCACAGGAAGTAGTATATACTGCAAGATTGTTTTTAATTTTTTTTTACCTTTTTGGTGGGGGGAAGTCGTGTATGAGAGTTAAACTAAGCTCATTTAGCATGCTCATCTGAGTTACGTATGTATGTACGAGTTGAGTTTCAACTCTGTTGTTATCTCCATCCTTCCTTCCCCCCCCCCCTTTTTTTCACCGTCTTTTTTTCTTTTCTTCTTTTCTGGTTTCAAGGATAGCTAAGATGGGCTTATTGCTTGTACACATACATATATATCCTTTACCCTTCTCTTTTTTTTTCTTTGCCTCTCGTGTGTCAGCGCTGTGCTGTCGAGGCGCGGGCACATGCACACGCGTGGCCTGTGTGTTTTTTATTTTCTCAGACGGCGAGGAGGATGATGCGAAAAAAAGCAATGCTGGAAAGAAAAGAAACAATTGTGGATAGGATTGGGAAAAGGTGGGGATGCGGGGGAATCTGTGTGTGTGTGTGTGTGGGTAAATATGCAAGGGGGACGAGACAGTTTTCCTTGTACGGAGCGATATAGCTCGGGCCCCTTGTGCTATAAAGTCGAAAAGTTACAAATCCTTTTCTGAATATAGAAATGATTGTTTAACGTGTTAGCAAAAGTATTGATTTTAGATCTACAACAAATTGAGACAAAATTTATTTTATTTTCTACTTTCTTCTTCTTCTTCTTCTTCTCCTCCTCCGTTGTCTCAAAAGATTTTTTATTGTTCCAGCGTGCGATGAAAAGAGAATCCCATTCATACCTTCATCCTCATCCACATACTTACTGGATTTTGCTTTCCTAACTCTATCCTGCCACGTCAATGAAACTCTTCCAGAAAAATAAAAACCCCCCTTCCCCCCCCAAAAAAGACACAAAAAGCAAAAAAAAGAGTGACATCCTAGAAGACTAGGGTTTAAGGGGGAGGAGAAGCCATATATTGATTTCCTCTCTTTTCGGGTACACCCTCGAATATAACTTGGACCTATCAAGACGACTTATTGCAATAAGTCGTCTCAGCCACAGCTGTCATGGCACATACACATACATATGCAGATATATATATATATATGCTGGTGCTATCATTCACATGGCATAGCAACAAAGAAAACCAATAAAAAAAACGACAGACGAGTGGAGTGGAAGAAAAGCAGAAAAAAGAAATATACTCAGAGCATGCAGAATCACACGTTCCATAGCTAGCACTAGTGTGTGTGTGTGCCACACCGACCATATCAATATGCTGCATGGGGAACACAGCCCAACATGCATGAACCCAGCTCGCGCAGTCTAAGCCCAATATAGCCTAGTATAACCTAACCTACCTCAGCTTAATCTAGTTCAGCACAGCCAACATAAGCCCGACCGTCCGACTCCGTGCATAATTACGTATGTACATGCATCTAACTACATACATGTACCGAGGCAAGTCACAAGACGAGAATCGACACACGCACATGGAAAATCAACGCCGTGTATAAGAGCCAGCTATGGGGGGGGGGCGCAGCAGCAGCAGCAGCAGCCGTAGAGATAAGTATGGTAATATGTACAAGGTTTAGTATAAAAAAGTAAACGTCTCCCCTCTGACCCTCGTATCCACTAACACCAACACTGATACTCATGCTCATGCTCATGCTCACCCCCCCAAGTCAACCCCCCCCCCGCAAAGCCAAGAGTTTCCAGCTGCCAATGCACAAAAAAATACGATGTCTGCCGCTGGCTTACACGCACGGCGAGTTTCTGTGGCTCGCCGCTGGAGCTTGGAGATTGGCAGAGTGAGAAAAGCAAGGGACTCGTGGTTAATCTATCTGGCGGGGGAAAATCGACAAGGCAGGGGAGGGGGGGGGAAGGCGGTAAGTAAGACAGCGGCAGATGGTGTTTTGAGTTTTGGCCGTGCTGCCAAGGATCCATGTTTGTTTGGGAAATGGCGAGTTGCGGGTGTTGGTTGTGTGATGACTTGGTATTGATTAGTCGTTGTTTTGGAGAGTGCGGGCTTGGCAGAGGCTATGGCTAAGGGCTCAGCGGTGCTATTTTGCGACTGCCGTGCTGTGGTAGGAGTCGAAAGTCGACTGTCGTGTCTGGGCAGAAGGGAACAGGGGAGTTTGGTGGCGCCGAAACGGTCTTATGCGTCAGACAGCATGCGTGAATGGCATGATGATAACCATGTCACTTGGGGCAAACACGAGGCCATGAATGGCAGAACATGGGCAAACATGTCTCGAGAATATTCGTAGTATTGCAGTACAAGAAAAAGTAATGGGGTATATCATATCGCGATCCTATCCGCCTCGTAAAAGAGAGAGACCGGAGGGAAGAGACCTAAAACGCCGTTGCTGTCGTATGCCATGACCAGCAATATCCCTGTTCCTCATATCTGATGAAGACCTAAAAAAAATCCATCTGAACGCCTTGGTATATGCCGCTTGAAAGACTCCATCCTGCCGTGGCTAGGAGAGCGTGGAAACAAAATAGAAAATAAACATCAAAACAAAAAGTCGTCGATAGTACATGAGCTGTTGCTTCATTTTTCCGAGAGCGTCTCCCTCAGTCCGCGAGAGAGCCATCGTTCCCAGTAGTTGCGCACACCGACGATGCTCTCGCGGCCATCGTTGTGGCCGTCGTGACCGCCGGGGTCGCCGAGTATGCACGAGAAGAACCAGAAGCCGGCAGCAGTCCATGCGGCGATTGCGACGCCGAATGCGACGAGCGGCGAGAAAAGGTGGATGACGACGAGCATGGGTGCGCTGTAGCCGGATGTCGAGTCGTGCGAGTAGACCATGTGGAGTTGGAGGTTGAGGGCGGGAGCGAGGAAGGACGTGATTTGCTCCGAGAGGGGCGGGCGTGTCGAGCAGAGGCGCAGCGGCGAGAGGATGAGAGAGATGAAGAGTGCGAGGGCGGTCCAGAGCGCGATGGCAATGGAGAGAAAGGCGCAGGGACCAAAGAGCCAGAACTGCGACGAGGGTTAGCCATGAGCGCGTCGAGTCGCAGGGAGCGCAAACGAGTCTTCTTACCAGTAGCTGCCAGGCCTTTTCCTCGGGGCCCTTTTCGTGAAAGGCGCCCTTGTCGTAGACGATGGCATCGGGGTTGGAGGGCACGACCGAGATGCGGTTCGGCACGCGGCGGGTCTGCGACAGAAGCTCGGCGTGCTTCTCGGGATCGAGGTGGGCCTGGGGCGGATACGGGATGGATGTGCGGTCGTAGGGCGCGGGCGCGTGGGATGAAGTGCGGTGGTTGCTCAGCGACGAGATGCTGCTGTTGCTGCTGGGGCTTGGCGGCGACGAGGGCTTTGGCGAGAAGGGGCGCGACGAGATGACGGAGTCGTGGGGGCGGCCATGGCTCGAGGCCTTGCTGGTCCTGTCGCGGCGCAGGCTGTGGTGGTGGTGGCAGTGGTCGTGAGGGGGATAATCGGACTCGGGGCCGCCGGTGCTGGTGTTGTAGATGTACGAGTAGCCGTCGTGGTGGTGGTGGCGGCGGGCGTGGTGGTGGTGATGGTGGTGGTGGTGGTGGGCGAGTGCGGCCGAGCAGGGCACTGGCGTGGGCTGGGGGTCCATTGCCAGGGGGGGGGGCAGTCAGGAGATCAGCGTCACGGGCGGACGGGCATCAGACGACGCTGCAAGTCGAGCTCGGTGGTGGTGGTCGTCGAGGCGGCGGGCATGTTATAGCGAAAGGCCTCAGGAGAGGCAAGAGTCTTGTTACATGGAATTACGCTCTCAAGGCCTTGGGCGAAGGGCAAGGGCTTGGCGCTCATCCCCAAGGCTGGGCATTCTGGCTGGGCAGAGCATCTGGCGACGGCGCCGGCCAATCCGCGCGCGCGCCGCTAAGACCGAAGACGGCATGCGCGGCAGTGACCTGTCGTCGTCGCCCACCCTTTGCTGCTGCAGCGCCTTGGCCCAGCTAACGTGCTGAGCGACGCCGCCGCCGCCGCCGCCGCTGCTGCTGTGCTGCGGTGCTGCTGCTGCTGCTGCTGCTAAGCCAAACACCCCCCGCCGAGTCGCCCTCTCGCCCTCTCGCCCTGCCCCCTCCGCCGCCCCTCTCACCGTCTCGCCCACCGCCCGTCGCCGCCAGAAACCCCGCCAAGCCGCCCGGCCACCACGCCCTATCCGCACCCTCCGCACCCTCCGCTGCCCACGGGCTGTGCCCCTCGATGCATGTCCTGTGTACCACGACCGTCCACCCGCCGTGTGGGCGTTGCGGCCATCTGCCATATCCCACGGATCCTGCCCCGCCAGTCCCGTCCCGGCTCCCAGGCGGCCCAGTGCTGCTGCATGCTCACTCACCCTCACGGCGCACCCGCCCGCCAGCGTCCGCGGCGGAGCAGCCCCCCGGCCGCCCTCACTGTCTGTTGGTGGGAATAGAAGCACAGCACCACCACCACCACCACCACCACGACGTCTGCATCTGCACCCAGCATCGCCCTCGACGGCCCTGCTGTCGCCTGGCCTGAGCGCCGTCTCTCTTTCCGGGCCCTAGGCCTGGCAGCGTGGCTGAAACCATGTCCGTCTTGTTGATCTTGGGCTTGGCATTGGCACCACACGCCCAAAACCCCTCACCTGCCTCGTCGTCGTCCCCCAACACCGCCGGCTCCACGCCCTGGCTCCACCCTCGGTCAATTATCTCGCCTGCTCGGCACACGGCGCCTAGATGGATATCTTGGGAGAGGAAGAAAAAAACACCACCACCAAGACTCGACGCTCTTGTCCCACGCCTATCCGCATCCGCCAGTGTCCACTCTCGCCCTCTCGCCCTCTCGGCAGCCATGCAAATTATTGCCGTCTCCACTGCCCCTACCTGCATCCGCCCGTCGTGACCATGGATGCCTTAGACTTTCGACGTCATCTTGGGCCTCTCTTTCTCTCTCTCTTTTTCTTTTTCCTTTTTTGTTGCGAGTAGCCCTCATCGAGTACCGCCAGACGCGGCCACACGATATTCAACAAAGTCTCCTGATGCAGCTACTACCACCACTACCGCCTCCACCACCAGCCCTTGGCAGCTCTGTGCTTGTCGTCAGCTTGGCACTGCTGCATTCCGCCTCGGACATGAAGCAACCACGCTGTCCGCCATGGCAGTCAGCGCTTAGCGACTGTCGATGAATGCCATGCAAGGGCATGCCTTCTGCCTCTGCTGCTGTTGGCTACTTACCCCCTTCGTACCGGTGAGTCAGTCCTGATGTCACAAAACAACGCATCCAGCAAAACATTACATGGACGCACGCCGGAACTTGCCGGCCTGCTCTTATCACACCCGCACCAGCACCAGCACCACCAGTACCCCGTTTTGACACGCCCATGTCCAACTAGTTTTGTTTTTTGATTTCTTTAAACTTTTGCCAACCTTGGAAATCAAAACACGTCCCTGACACGCACACGCATCGCCCATGCTCAAACACCTCTCCGCCCCCCCACCAGCTTCATACCCTCGCGCATGGCCTCTGTCAGTCGGCTCACCACCAGCTCCTTGATGCCGCTCTGCTCGGGCTTGCCCATGAAGCCAAGCTCAATTAGATAGCTGATGTAAACCCCTACCGTGTCCTCTGTCACGGCTCCACCCGAGCTCCAGTCCTCGCCCGTCCACGCCTGGTCCCGCTTCAATGCCTCGGTCGCGTTCTTGTCGTCTAGCTCGGGCGCCTTGGTATCGCCAGGCAGGTCTCCCGTCACAAAGTGGTACAGTGGCAGCAGCGCATTCTCCTCGCGCGTCCCAGACCGGTCTGCAACGTATGTTTCCATTTTCCGCTTCCACTCGCCATACGACACGAGCGGCACACGGTACCCAAACTTCTCGAGCGCCCCCAAAAACTCGTTGAACGTGATGCGGGGATGTGACGTGACTTGTGCCACGCCCAGTGGTGACACGGGCGGGTTGAACGACGAGGCTACCACAACCCGCGCAACGTGCGTTACCGGCACCATGTTGATTGTGTTGCTCATGTCCGGCCTCGCCTGGAGCTGAATGCAGCCCTTGAGCATTCGCACAAGGAAGTCGTCGGTATTGGTCGTGCCGTACTCTGCGTCGCCCAAGACGTACCCAGGCCGAATAACACACCCGCTCAGGCCTCGCTTTCCCGCTTCTCGCGTGAGATATTCAGCTGCCCACTTGGATTGCCCGTATCCCGTGCCCAGACCCTTGCGTGCTGCCTCGAGGTCGTCCTCCTCCGGCACTCCCGTGCCGCCCTCAGCAACACTCTGCTCAGAAAGCTTTACAAAGTAGTCCGTGTCGAGCACAGACGTCGAGCTGACAAGGCCAAACTGCTTGGCTTTGCCAGCAGCGCACATGGAGAGGGCAGTCATGGTCGACAAGACGTTGGGGCCTCGCAGTCGCGAGTATGGCAGCACCCAGTGCACCAATGCCCCGTTGTGCACCACCACGTCGACAGAGTCAACCAGCTGGTTCCACGTGTTTGGCTCGAGCCCAAAGTTTTCCTTCTCCAGATCGCCCACAACCGGCTCCAGCCGCGACTCCCAGCTGTCCTCCCAGATGCCGTATGCCGTACACGTTTGCCGCACACGGCCCAGCGCTGCATCCATGTCGTTTGCGCGCACCAGTACAGTGACTTTGCCTGGCCTCGACAGAATATTCCTCAGAATGTAGGCTCCCAAGAATCCCGTCGCACCAGTGAGGAACGTGTGCACTTCCTCCTTGGGCGTCAGTGCTTCCCTCGTCTTGAAGTCGGTCAACTGGTGCGCCAGATCCCTGGCATCCGCCGAGTACGCCTCATCCTCGGGATCGTCTTCCAGCGCCTCAGCTGTGTCCAGTCGCAGACCAATCGGGTCCATGGCCTGGTCAATGTTTGCCGAGAAACCGCGCAGCGTAGGGTATTGGAAAATGGTTGTCATGGGCACATCAATGTCCTTCCATTCCTGCCGGATCTTGAAGAAGAGTTGCTGTGCAATGATGCTGTGTCCACCGAGATCAAAGAACGAGTCGCTTCCGCTGATACCATCGGCTGTCACGCCACGGTCGCCAAGAAGATCAGCCCAGATACCAGCCATTTTCTTCTCGGTCGGCGTCAGAGCGGCTCCCAGCTGTGAGGGGCGCCTAGCACCCGCCGCCGCTAGATCTGCTGGATCAGGGAAGGGCAGCGCCGGCCGGTCAATCTTGCCGTTTGGATTCAACGGGAATCGCGTAAGTGGGACAATGACCGACGGCACCGCGTATGCGGGGAGCTTCTTCTTCAGATGCTCTCGCACGTCGTCTCGTAGATATTTGAAGCGTTTGAGCAGTGTCACCATGCTGGTGTCCTCGGACGAGGCGCTCTCGTGCGCGCCACGCTCCTCTAGCCAGTCATACCATCGCTTCATCTCAGGAACAATGTAGCCTGTCGTGTCAGGGGCAATCGGCCAGGAGAGGGTGTCTAAACTTACTGACGAGAGTCGGCTCCTCGTAGGCGTCACGCTTGAGCAGTGTGACATTCTCACGCACTAGTGGATGGGCAGAGAGATGGGAGTCGATTTCGCCAAGCTCAATGCGGAATCCACGAATCTTTACTTGCGAGTCAACTCGCCCTGTGCAGTGGACATTTCCATCTTCCGAGTAATGGCCTAGGTCTCCAGAGCGGTACAGCCTGTCGCGGGGTCCCTTGTAGAACTCCCGCCATGGCTCAGACGCGCCCTGGCTCTCCACTCTCTTCTTGTCCTCATCTATCCACTTTTGCTGGTCCACAAACCAGTTGTCGATGAACTTGGTAGCTGTGAGATCGGGCAGTCCAAGGTATTCCTCGGCAAGACCACCAGCGCGTACATAGATTTCGCCGCTTTCGCCAGGCTTGCAAATCTGATTTCGATCTTCGCGATTGACAACCAAGAGCTGGACGTTGTTCATTCCTCGGCCAGCAGGGATGACTTCACCAATGCTGTCGAGGAATTCGGGCGCTTCCGAGCAGCTGGGAAGCTCGTAGTAGCTGACGGCTCGCTGCGTCTCAGTGGTTCCGTACATGTTGACGATACGTACATTGGGTGCGAGATTCTGCAGCCTCCTGCAGTCTCGCTTGATCAACAGGTCGCCCACGAAGAACGAGTGATGGAGGCTGGGGAACACGGCTGATGCACCTCCTACGAGAATCTGACCCATGGCGGGCGTGAGGTGGGTGACGGTGGCGCCGTATCTGCGCATCCACTCGGCGAGCTTCTCGTGCTGGATGTCCTCCTTGCTGGGCACGAGCAATTGAGCGCCGAGAAAGAGAGGAGTGAAGATGTCTCGCTGGATAGGGTCGTGGGCGATACCCGAAAGCATTGTGAACTTGTCATTCTCAGACAGCCCAAAAGTCTCGGCCATCCAGGGAAAGTAGTGGGTTAGTGAAAAGTGACGCCCTTTGACGCCCTTGGGCTTTCCCTCCGATCCTGACGTGAAAGATAGAGTTGGTGTTGAGTCTGGGCCGACTAGCACGCCGGGCAGCTCACTTCTCAGCTGCTGCTGCCCGTCCAGTACGTCCTTTCCGTCCTTGATGCCTCCCACCAAGGTGCCGTCATCCTTGAGCTCGAGTGCCGGTATCTCGGTTCTCAATTGCAGCGTGTCCCTGATGTAGTCTCGCACTTGGTCCGAGAGAGGGCCTGCTTCGCGGGTGGCTTTGTCGATGACGACGAGGGCGCGCGGCTGTGAGACCTCGAGGTAGATGCACTGGCGGTCTGGAGGGTATCTTGCAATTGTTAGCCAGGGACGTGGAGGGTAGACAGGCAGTGCTTACAGTGGGTCCAGCACTGAGAAGGTGGCGCCTGTTGCGAGAACGGCCATGATGGCCACGACCAGATCCACGCCGCGGTGGGCGAAGATCATGACCACCTCGCCCCTTTGCACGCCACTTTGCACGAGATGATGGGCCAATACCGACGTGGCCTCGAATATGTGCTTGTATGTGAAGTTGCGCTCCGGCGTCTTGCTCGTGGCGGTTTCGACGACGCATGGGCGGTCGGGATGCCTGCGAGCATTGGCCGCAAAAATCTCATGGATGGGGCCCTTGAAGTCGGACCAGCCAAGGTCTGCAGTCGGGTCTGGGATACTTCCCTGGGTAAGAGAGGCCATTGTTGCGCGTGCGTGCTCCTGCGCGACTCTGGGAAATATCTGGTGGGGTCGCGATGCGTGTGCGCATGCGGGGGGACGGCGTGCAACGGGCCAAACGAAGAGCGGCGAGGCGCAGAGGGCCAGTGGGTGTCTCGGGGGGGCGTCTCGTGGGCGTCTCTTGGGCGTCTCTCCACTGTGCAATGGCGTCTGGGGGAAAAGGGCGAGTCAAAATATTCACTCCTGCGTATGACGCATCGTCTCAAAATGCGCTCAACCGTGGCGGCGGCCGATGTCGCCTGTGGCTGTGGCTGTGGCTGTGGCTGTGGCTGGCGTCGCCCCTCCCCCCACCAAAGCGCCGGCAAGACGCGGGAGGGCCGCAGGGAAGGGCATTGGCATGGCCACGGCCATCAGCCCTACGCGCCATACCAATACTGTACATGGAACGGCCTGCTGGCACGACGCGTCGCCCATGTGCCTTGCATTGCATTGCTTTTGCGGCATTCGCCCAAACCCACAACGGCTGTCGCTTTGCACCCACGCGGCCCTCTGCACGCCCGCCGCGCGGCTGTCGGCGTGTAGCTGCCGAAAGGAATCCATACTTACAGTACTGACCGCCCAATGCCCGCTCTCTCCTCTTCCTCCCACACCTCGATTGCGCCATGCCGGCGCAACACACCATCATGGGGCGGCCTGTCGCCCTGCAGATGCCCCCAAGGAGGTTCCAGATCCTCTTCATCGTCATCATCTTCGTGGTCCTGAATCTGGTCTTTTACGGCACCCCGTCGCGCGAGAGCCTCCCCACCTACGACCAGGTAGCCGACGCTGTAAAGCATCCCCAAGCCCACGTTCCCGACCTGGGCCAACTCCCCGCTGTCCCCAACCCATTTGGACCCGCCGCCCACAAGCCACCAGTCCAGGCCAACAGCACTGCCGCAAGTGCGTACGGCGCCATAGAGTGGCTGAGTGACTTCAAATGGCGCAATCCCTTTTCGTCGGCCGTGACGCTGGACGCCAACACGGCCCTGCTGCCGCCGCTGCGCGAACGACCGCCCGTTTACACCTACTACGACGTACCGAAAAAGCAGGACAAAGACATATCCGCAGCCGAGCAGCGACTGATTCTGGCATGGCGGCGGGCGTGGTGGGCACAAGGGTTCAAGCCCGTGGTACTGTCGCGCGATGAAGCCAAGCACAACCCACTGTACCAGCTATTTCAGCGCATGAAACTGGAGCCCAAGATTGAATTCGAGGTCATGCGCTGGCTGGCCTGGGGACACATGAGAGGCGGCATTCTCGTCAATTGGCTGGCCCTGCCCATGGCCGAGTACGATAACGCCATGCTGAGCTTCTTGCGACGCAGCGAGTATCCCAAACTGTCAAGAGTCCAGTCTCTCGACAATGCCATCTTTTTTGGAGAGAAGATGGCCGTCGACGATGCCCTCAAGAAGCTCTCCAGCAACGAGCTGCTGAAAAATGTTACGGCAAACAAGGACAAGCTCACCAAGCTAGCCAACAAGGAAGGTGGAGCTGTCGTCAATCTCCTGGCTGCGGCGGACGTGGCAGTAGACACAAAGGCCAACGGGATTGCGTCCTACAACAGGGCTGTCATTTCGAGCAAGTACAAGACGGTTGCCGACAAGTTTACCAACAAGACCCAAGCGGAAGCGCTGACTCTGCTCGAGAACCTCATCAACTCGCACCTCCATTTGACGTGGCAGGAGCAATACCCGGAAGGCGTAGCAATCGCCAAGCCAGTGCCGGAACATACAACTGCGCTCATGTATGAGGCCACCAACATCGGACGCAACCTCACGCAATGCCCAGCCTCACCACTGCCCAAGTCATGCCCGCCCAACCGACCAAAGTGCAAGCCGTGTGACAACAACAAGCCAATGAAACTCCAAGTGTTTCCGGAATTCGTAAACACCACCAAGTTTTTCACCATTGGCACTGTTCCGCATCCATACACGCTTACTTCGCTACATTACACGCGCGACACACTCGATAGCAACTTTCTGCGCAACACGGCGGCACGCGACATCTGGATCCGCAAGCTGACTGGCAAATCCATCCCAGGCCATCATAGTGAGGAGGTCCGCGTACTCAAGTTCAAAGAGCTCGTAGCGGCAGCCCCTGCGCATTCACTGTGGCTAACAGCTGAACGCATCACCCAAGACGATCTCGACTGGATTTTTGGCTTTGGTCTTCCTCAAATCGCATCCGACACCACCGAGCCTAGTTCGCCGAGCAAGGACTCGGAGCTCATCATATTCCCCCGCCCAGACCCGCCCAAGCCCATTGAAGGTGTCGACGTGCCCGATGAAAAATGGGTTGAAAAGGAAGAAGCACGCCTCAACAAGGCTCGGGATGCCATCAAGAGCAAAGACAGGAACATGAAATCGGTCGTAGCTGCAGTGGAGCTATGGAACATGGCCGATACTGAAGCTTGGCGCTTCTCTAGGGCGTATTCTGCAAGAAGACGACAGGAGAGAAAGAAGTGGGAAGAGGAAGAGGCGAAATACTCGGGCAGTGAGAAGAAGGCTGGCGTTAGGCCTGGCGAAGGTGGAGGGAGATGGACAGATCGGATATAGATGTTGAATAATTAGCACTGCAAGGCGTTCTGGCGTCATTGGATTATGGGACCTATATCATAGTGCATTCAATTCGCCCAAGATAGTAGATTATTTTTAAGACCCAAGTGTGCCAAATGCTAGAATTGTGTTGATAAAGCCGGGTAGGCTGCAGAGATGATCAGGGTTGGGTATACCTCATGCTAGTGGTTGCCACATCCAGATCCGGTCAACAGTGAATGCAGGAACGTGCCTGAATTTGACAGGCGCGCTACTTCAGCGTCGAATACACTTCCAAAACCCTGCTGCATGCTTACTTCACTGCCAATTCTCGTTCACCGTGAAGTTATCATCAAACGTTTTCTCGCACAGCCTGATACCGCAGCAATCACATCCATTATCAAGTAATGCATGTCAAGAAACATATCTCTCTCTTGACATAATTACTACGCTATAACTTTTGCATAGAGCGTCTTGGCTTAAAGAGCACATGTGCGTCTAACTACTCACATTCACTGTAAGAGAACATCTGAAGGTTCGTGCACTAGCTGAAGCTAACTTGTAGACCAGATATTGCTCTTGTCTCTCGCTCTCCTAGGCTGGAAAGTTGTAACATTGCTGCTATACCGCCGCCGGATCAACTCGCAGTATACCCACACCACAGCAACCGCCAAACCGAGCCTCTCCTAGCACAGTCCGTCAAGAAGCGCCATCATGACCAAGAGTTGCGTAATCTGCGGCTCTGACGAGAGCGAAGACGTGACCCTTATCGAAGCACCCTGCAATAACCATTTTGTCTGCACCGACGACATTGTCAGTTTCTTCGAAAACGCAATAAACAACGAGAGCCTCTTTCCGCCCCAATGCTGCGACCAGATTTTCATGTTGGGCGAATACGAAGACCACATTCCGTTTGAGGTATTATGGAAATACCGTGTGAAGCAGGATGGCGAGTACACCGTTCCCGCAAAGTGAGTTGCCTCCAGTCCAGACTGCTTGAATGTGTGGTCGTGTGGGCTAATATCAAGGGATATAGGTATCGGGTTTACTGTGCAGATCCGCATTGCGCTAGATTCCTGCACCCATCAACCTATGTCGAAGATAAAGACAACGACATCACGTATGCTGTCTGTGAGGCAGAGAGTTGTGGTAAAATAACGTGTGTTCGTTGCAAGGCGCTCCTACAACACGAAAAACATGCCCACGAGTGCGGGCCCAACGAAGAGGATCGAAAGTTCAAGCAGATGGCTACCGAGAAGGGGTATAAGGCGTGCCCTGTCTGCGGCGTGACGGTCGAGTTGGCCGAGGCGTGCAACCATGTCATGTAGGACATCCCTTCTCTCGCGCGAGAAAGCAAGCGCGATACTCATTACAAGATGTGTAGGTGTGGGTGCGGTAACTCTTTTTGCTACGTTTGTGGCGAGCAATGGGAGGGCATGCACGGATGCCCGCAATACGGTCCCGCTGTCTACGACGAACAAGGGTACAATCAGGATGGATTCCACCGCGACACGGGCCTGAACCGTGAGGGACTAGACCGTCGCGGGGTACTGCTTCGTGATGGCGAAGCAGACGACGGCAACGGTTACAACATTGGAGGCGATGTACTCGGAGACATCGCAGGTGACATGGTGGAAGACTTTTTGCGCATTTTTGGGGATCCAGCCGAACCGACTAACTAGATGCCTTAGAGCCAGCGTAGAGACGCCTTGCATCAGCTTCGCAATCTGTTGTTCCAGAGTATGAAGGCCTTGGTCAGTCAGGTTCTGCATGGAGATGGCTCGGAGCAACATTGTAATCAATTACTTGAGAATCAGGACATCTTGTTTGATCAGGTTCGGACGGTTCTTCGCGGCGACGCTCCTTTGTTGCTTGAATCTGATTATAATGGTGAGGAGGAAGGCGAGGAAGAAGGTGGCGAGCAAGACAGCGACGAGAGCAGTGAAGAAGGGCAAGGGCAAGGAGAATCAGCTATTCACCCTCCCGACACCATCCCAGACCCAGACTCCGAAACGCACTGCGAAATCGACAGCGATACAGAAAGCTCATGGAAAATAAATCGGTGATATCAAGTAAAAACGACATGCTTCACCGTGGGAAACAGTCCCGAGATACACATAGTCAGTATCAGTCAATTCGTTAATCAACAGGCTGATTGAAAGCGTATGACCTGACCAGTGACTTGTTGTGCTAGGCAAGAACAAATAGAATGTTCGCACGAGAATTCGTACAAGTACTTCTTTGCTGAGTAAACTGTCGTCCAGAGTAGAAGTGCAGCCTGAACTCCAGATACTGGTTTCTTATCAGCAGGCTGTAGTCGCCGCGACAGTCCTTGTAAGTATGTATGTGGACCTAAGCTAGAGTATAGCGGTTCTTAGTAACTATAATAGTAAGCACCAGCACCAGCACCAGCACCAGCAGTAGTAGTGGTAGTGGTAGTAGCACCATCTCTCAGCGCATCGTAATGCCTCAATAAAAATGCAAAAAATACCTCACCACAGGAATCCGTTTGCTACTGCACTATTATCAACGCACCAAGGGTCATGGTAAGAGGTACTGTAGTAAAGCAAAAAATCAAAAAAAAAGGCGCACTACTTACTACCTACATGAAGCCTGTGCACCAAAACGCCAATTCCATCCGAGTTTGAGTTTGGCGAATCAGAACTGCCGTGTATTTTTGTCAATTCAAACTATATATTAGATGCATGACATCTACTTGACAAACGTATTCACAGGCAAGCGATAAACATCGATAGTCCAGTAAGGGCGGCGCGTACCCTCCCATTGGTCGCTGCCGTGCAGACCCGCCGGGACGTTGATATCCTCCCACTCAGTGTCGAAGCCTGCGTCGTACAGATCCATTTCAGCAACCTTGTAGATGGAAAAATTGTGGGTTAGCTCATATTTCGTGTGCGCCATGTGGTTCAAAGGATGGGATGAGAAGATACCTTTGTGTAAACGTCGTAGCAAATCTGGCGATCGGCACCGAGACCATTGTACCAGCCGAATTTCCCGTCTTTGGCTAGCAGCGCAACCACGTAGTCTGAGAAGAAATCCTTGAGCGCCTTGTAGTCCTCGGCAAACGTGTCGTAGTAGATTGCGTCGAGCACGACGCCTTGCTCTACTAGCTTGGGAAGCACATCTTGCCACCTGCCCTCGTGGATCTTGACATTGGGCTTGTCGTACCAGCCCTGCTCGCGGAGCCGCTGGTGCACCTGGGGATGCGCTTCGATAATGTGGTGCTCGGCGGGGTCGTGCGTCAGGATGGCTGTGTCAACGATGCCCATGCCGTGGCCTACGTTCATAGTACGCAGGCCGGGCTTGGGAATCAGCGTCTCGGCGTGGCGCTGCATGATTTGCGTTTCCCAGTCCATCATGACTGCGTTGTCGCTCTCGTCGAGGAGGATGCCGGGCTTGTATCTCAATTGACTCTTGAGGTAGGCCTGGTTGTCCAGCGATACGTCATCAAGGACCTTTTCATCGACAGTTTGCTCGACGGGTTTGGCGTCTTCCTCGGATATTTTTTGCTTCTTGGCCGCTGGCTGCTCCTCGCGTGTCTCATCCTCTTCGGCCTCGTCTTCGGCCTCGCCGCTGTTGTCAACCAGACCAAGCGCTTCCATTCGCGCAAACAGCATCTCTGCCTGAACACCGGCTGTGACCATCATGTCGTAAATCTTCTTCTGGCCTAGACGGAGCGCAATGCATCCTGGGGTTTCATCCTCCTTGTTGAGATCGTTCCAGATGGCGCCGTTTTGAAGTAGCAGTTCTACCGTTTGAATCGCTTCTTCTCCCGCCTCTTTTCCATCCTCGGCCTTTCCGCATGATGCAATTGCTGCGTGTAGTGGAGAGGTTTTGACGTCTGCTGTTGGGTCCATGACCTTGGCTGAGCCATCTTTGAGCAGGACGTTCAACGCCGTCACATCGTGGCGCTCCGCTGCGGAAATGATGCGCTTGGCGAGTAGGATATCCTCTTCTGTTGCTTGTTCGGCCATTTTGGTGTGATTGAGGTCTCGATGAATTGTGGGGTTTGAACTTTTTAGCCAGGCACGTGCAAGGGTTACGATAAGATAAGTAAGCGAACACTAGTGCTTCACTGTCATTGCCTGTTCAGGCAAGGTTTTCTGACAGTCTCGCTTTTGCAACCTCCAACTTGACTTGAACAATATGGTGTTTATTATATGGATGAATACACTACAGAACCTGGCTCGCACGCCAAAACACCAAAAGACATGTAGAAAGAATAGCACGGCGAAAACCAAACACACCATGTACTAATCTCGGGGGAAAAATGTACTTTACCATGATGCAGCGACCACATCGCTAATATACAAACGCAGATGGGTATGGAGCTCTACGAAACCATCCACCAAGCACCGACAAGAATAGTAACTAGGACGAGCACGGTCAGAATACCAGCACCAGCGCGGTCTCCAGTAGTGACGGTATCAAAGACGATGGGAGCGTCGCTCGCAGTGTTTCCGGCATTGGGATTGCTCTTGGAGATACCGCCCTTCTTCTCTGTGACAGGGCCTTCCTTGGTGGGGTACAGCAATGACTGGATGACCTCCAATGCAGACATTTCTTCACCAACACCAAAGCTTCCATCGTTGGCACCGCCGTCAATCCATCGAAGACCGCAAGACGTCTGGTTAACACCTCCGATACACTGCTTGGCAGCAGCTTGGGCAGAAGCCTGGAGCAAGGGGTCGAGCTGCGGGCGGGTCCAAGGAGCAACGGCAGCCGTGTATGCCATGAAGCGAGAGAGATAGGCCTTGAAGGAACGCTGGTCAACATCGCACTTGCCGTTGTTTTCGCAGGCTACTTCAGTCATGACATTGTCCTGGAAGAAGACGCCGATTCCACTGATGACGCCCTGAAGACGCGTCTTCCATATGTCGCTCTGAGTCTGTGTGTTGTTAGCATGATGTCTCGACGAGTGCGGGGCGTCTGCTGGCACATACCGCATTCCACATGGCGGCAGCACCCGACATGTATATACCAGCATTGTAGGTCCATTGAATATGGTTGATAGAGGTGCAGTTTTGGGTATCGTCGGTTCCGTCGTAGAAATGGTAATCAGGGCTCATGAGGCCAATAGCACGCTCCCACTCCCAAACCTTCTCAGCCCAGTCGGCGTAAGTTTGGTTTCCGAGGTACTTGTAGAGTCGTGAGGCGATGTTGAAGAAGCAGCCGTTGGAAATGGTGTTTTTGTAGTTGTAACCGTTGTTGAAGGTATAAATCTGCCATCGCAACCCTCCGCCGCAGGTAGACGTGTCCCAGCGCTTGTACTGGGTGTTGAAGACGGCCTGGGCTAGTTCCAGCCAGGAGGGTTGGCCATCAGGAAGATCGGGCAGCTTGTTCTCGGCAGCAGACAGCGCAGCCATTCCCCAAAAGGCCTGGTCGTCGTTTCCGAGGGTCCTGGACTGGTTCGAAGGCATAAAGGTGCCGTCGTCTCCCATCTGATGCTGCAGGGCCTGGGTGGTAATGCCGTTGTACGTTTCGTCGCCAGTGTAGTACCAGTAGTCAATGAAGGCGTTGAACATGGCACCGCATTCCCACCAGTAGTAGGGATCTGGAAGGTTACCGGCGACATCACCTGGGCGGTCACCCGTGTAGTAGGACCGCATGTTGAGGGCGAGCGCCTTGGCAGCCGCCTTGATGGAGTCTGGGCAGGTTAGTGGTGGCCAGTAGCAGGCGAGAGACAGTCGCACCTGGCGAGTTGATGTCGAGCTCGACGGCGCCGACGCCAGCGAGCAGAAGACTCGAGGCCCCGAGGGCGCCGAGGGCGGATGGAAACTTCATGTCAAGAGCTCAAAAGTCAAAAGCGACCTTGTGTCGCCGTGGGCGGGCGGACGCAGCCGGGGGGTTCAAGCGCCAGGCTTGGGATTGAGTAATACGCAGCAGAGGCAGGGCCGGGAACGTGGGGCAGGGCAGAAGAAGGGCGTTGAAGTTTGTTGAAGGCGAAAGTGGAACGAGTGGACGGTCAGACAGAGCAAGCGCGCAACGGCCAGGGGCGGGCTCGGAGGGCAGGGCGCGAGGAACAGCAGGCGGGCTGGCGAAAGTAGAGACGTGTGATTGAGCGAGTGTGTTCAGAGAGCAAAAGACGGCGACAAGAAGATCAAAGCCCAAACGGTGGTTAATGCTGGAGAGTCTCCTGAACGAGCGACGGATAGCGCAAGACAGGGTAGCCGCGCGGCTTGGCACACGGGCACACGGGGAAACAGGGCCTCTGGCCTCTGCCCGCGTCGCCTCGGCCGGCCGTGATAGGCTGGCCGCCCGTTGCACGTTGCAATGCACGCTTTGTTCTACTACACAGCGCGTCTCGGAGCGGCGGCGGGAGCAGCAAAGCAAACCATGGCCGCCGCCGTGAGACTGGCCTGGCGAAGAAGCTTCTCAAGCTTTGCCTAGGCGCCTGCCCATCATCTCTGGGCTAAAAAAAGGAAGGCCTCGTCATAGCTCAGCCGTACTTGTCGCCAGCCGGTAGGGCCGCGCCCGAACCCTTCTCACGCATCGTATTGGCCCTGCCCTGCCCTGCCCGGCCCTGCCCTGCCCTGCCCGGCCCTGCCCTGCCACTGCCACTGCCCTCAGGCCGGCCAGCTCTGCGACGCAACCAAGGCACGCCCACGTGAAACGCCCGCAGGCATGCACGGGCGGCGGCCTTGTGGTTTTATTTATTTTTTCCGTGCGCTTTTGCTGCGCTGCGAAGGATTCTGGCGGCTGGCGGCTGGCGACTGACGCTGCGAGGCATACGCACACGCTGATAGCCGCGGCCTCTTTGTCGCTCCGCTCAGTCCTGGCGCCGGCATTGGCAAGAGGCTGGGCGGGCCATCTGGGTCACGTGACGGTGGCGCAGCAGACAGCGTTGCGTAAAGCTCAACGGATGCCGTCACCAGTGTACCGCATATTTATCCTCGAGTGCACTGGACGCTCGCAGCAAAATCCCATCTGTACGCTCGTAGCCGCGATTCCCGGAGCTCGTGTTGTGCGCCAAGCCAGCATCACGGCATACCCAGCCTCAGCGCTTTTCAAACGAGACTGACACATCGGCTCGGGCTGAGTCTTGGTCGTCCCTACCCTACGCACCCTCATCTCCCCCAGACCACACCACCCTACCACACCACCCTTCACCCTCCCACCCACCACCTCGTCGTCCCTCTGAATCCCCCCAACAGCAGCACCCTACTCAACTGCTCTGCCGCATTCCATTACCAGCCATGGCCAACCGCGAGGAGCCCCCGTATGACCCTTACATTCCCAGCGGCGGCGCCGCCGGCCAGCAGGGCGGCCAGAACGGCAACCACCGCACTGCGGCACTTCAAGCTGTACGTCGTCATCTTCCCCATGCATGCTGCGAGAAAAACAAAGCGATGCAGCCTAGGCTGCCCGCGTCGCTGTCTCGCACGCCGACAAGATGGCGTCGCTAGCCCAGGCAGCGATGCGACAGCGGCAGCGGCAGCGCCGGGCTGCGCTTTTGGCCAGCGGGCCAACTGCTCTGCACATGGGCGAGTTGCGCAGCTCCAGCATGTGTTACAGTTTGGTGTGTGACGTGATGAGCTAACGTGCAGGCCAGGAAATCGACAGCACCGTTGGCATCATGCGAGACAACATCAACAAGGTGTCTGAGCGTGGAGCTCGTCTAGACTCGCTGCAGGACAAGACGGACAACCTTGCCGTGTCTGCCCAAGGCTTCCGAAGGGGCGCCAACCGCGTGCGCAAGCAGATGTGGTGGAAGGACATGAAGATGCGCATATGCCTCGTGGTGGGCATCATCATCCTGCTCGTTGTCATTATTGTCCCTTCCGGTAAGCTCTGCTCGGCAACGCTCCGTGTGCCGCCTCGTGCTAACTCGCCTGCAGTCATTGCCACGAAGAAATAAACAAAAAAAATCACTCCCTTACACGAGATACCACGAACTATACACATTAATAATGGCGCGGATGAGGGAGATGACGGAGCCACTGGAGAGGGAGGCGAGTGGCTACGAGTTGCACCATGACCAACGACATTAGTCTCTGTAAGATCTGTCTTCACACGGCGAATAGGGAGCGATGGGATGGGACGTCTTGTCTTTGTTTGCACTTGCACGGTCGTGCCGGACGCCTGGAAAGCACTCTTTTGCACGGAACGAACTGCTTCTGTTACGATGCCTGATGGGCGCAATTCCGCGCATGATCGCCTGCTGCGCAAATGGAGTTTTTCTTTTATTCTGGATAGCTGTCTTCTTGTCCATAGCCCAATTGCTCATTGACCTGGATTCCCCGGCCCCCGCGCAGTGCAATCTGTCTGTCTGTCTGTCTGTCTGTCTGTCTGTCTGTCTGTCTGTCTCTGGGTTTCAGCGGCTGCACGTGATGGTGCCATGTATAACGAGTATCCAAAGACCCGCAGGGCGACTCGAGTTAGCCTGGCGGCCGAACCACGACAGAACCAAGTGCCTTGCAAGGCCAGCGTGTGCGTGGATGGATGTGTGGGTGTGGCCTGCATGCAGTGCTGACACGGCCAATGGCCATGACGCCCGCCCCTCTCTGCTCTGCTGTGCCTGATGGATGCCGGCGACCCATGCCCCACAACACGATGCGGTTGACGAAGAGCAGCAACCAGCAGCCGCCGCCGCCGCCGCCATCGCCCGTACCTGGCACGCCCCATCGCGATGCAAGAGTCGTCGACTCGCGACTCGCAACCCGCCGGCAGTGGACGGGGGGGGAGAGGCGCAGCAGGCGCGCAGGCCGGCAGTGATTGGGCAGCGATGGGCGCGGGCGAGGGGCGCTAGCATGGGCCTGGTCTGGGGAAAGTCTGCGTGTGCGATAACGGCACCAGAGATTTTGTTCGTTGCTCGGCGTCATCATCTGGCTGGGTCCCGCTTCCTCTCCACCGCCCAGTCACGGCAAGGTGTAGTCAATTGTTGTCGAATTGAGTCGCCGGCCAGGGCCTGAGTCGCCTCTGCTTCTTGGGAGCCATCAGTCACCATGCAGAGCATTGTACGAGCCGGCCGTGTGGCTGCACGATCCTCGCTCCGCGTCCTCGCTCCCCACGCACGACGAGCCCTTCCGCGAGCTCTCGTCGCGAGCTCCACGCCCGCCCGCCTGTACTCGTCGTCCAAGGATGGCCGCAACTCGTCCATCTACGCCGCCTTCCTCAACCTGCTGGCCAGCTCCAGCTCCCGCCGCGAAGTCGACCAGTATCTGGGGCAGTTCCGCTCCGTCTCACCACACCAATTCGCCGTCGTCAAGGTCGGCGGTGCCATTCTCACCGACCATCTCGAGGAGCTCTGCTTTGCTCTGCAGCAGCTGCATGCAATTGGCCTGTACCCCATCATCGTCCATGGCGCCGGCCCCCAGATGAACCAGCTGCTGCTCGAGGGAGGCGTCGAGCCAGACTTTATTGATGGCATACGTGTCACGGACAAGAAGACGCTGGGCATTGCCCGCAAGCTTTTCCTCGAGGCCAACATGGACCTGGTCATGACCCTCAAGAGGGATTGGGGCGTCCCTGCCCGGCCCATCACGGCCGGTGCGCTGCAGGCCGACTATCTGGACAAGGACAAGTGGAAGTACGTTGGCAACATTACCAACGTCAACCGGAGGCAGATCATGGATGCTCTGGAGAACAAGGAGCTTCCCATCCTATGCTCCATGGGCGAGACGCTGGATGGCCAGATTCTCAACATCAACGCCGACGTCGCTGCCGCAGCATTGGCGCGCGAGTTCCAGCCCCTCAAGGTCATCTACCTCTCGGAAAAGGGAGGCTTGTTCAACGCCGAGTCCAAACTCATTCCTCACATCAACCTCGAGGGCGAGTACGACACCTACATGAAGCAGTCGTGGGTTAAGTACGGCACGAAGCTCAAGATTGTAGAGGCAAAGAAGCTCCTCGATGGCCTTCCGCGCACTTCGAGTGTAGCGATTACGCACCCTTCGAACCTTGGAAAGGAGCTCTTCACCCACACGGGAAGTGGAACTCTAATCCGCAACGGCGGCAGCGTCAAGGAAATTAGTAAGTTTGAGGACTTGGACGTTTCAGCCCTGGCCCAAGGCATCACAAAGAGCCGGGGAGCTGAGGCAAGCGATGCTGTCAACCGATACATCCAGAACCTAAAGAACCGTCCATTCGAGGTCTTTCACGATGATTCCATGGGTGTGGTTGCCGTCGTGTACCCACCTACTGCAGAGGGAGAGTTTGCTCAGCTCTCTCACTTCAGCATGACCAAGGATGCATTCTTGAACAACCTCAACGACCTGGTATTCCAGCGCATGAAGCAAAAGTACCCCAAGCTTTACTGGATCGTTGATGACCAGTCACAAAACTACGTCAAGTGGCATCTGGAGAAGACTGATGGCTTCCTCCGTCGTGACAAGGAAATCTTCTGCTGGTGGGGAGCTGCCGAGTCTTCGGAAATCTTCTCGCTCCTCGAGAGCTACCAGAAGCAGGGCCGTAGCATGTTGAAGGACAGCTTGGACGCCCAGTTCCGGAGGGCAGCCGACTTTGTAGCAAGCCTGAAGCAAGGCCAACAGACTCGCGCCTTCACCACCATGGCTGGTTCGTCTGCGAGGCCTACTCTGAGGTACGTAAAAGAAGTAACCCTGTCGATTTCAATTGCTGACTTGGCATCTCCAGGCAAAACAGATCTGCGCCTGCTTCAGCCCGAGGCTTCTCCACTACTGCAAAGCGCTCATTGGAGACCACCAACCCCAACCCTCCGTATGGCATCAAGCACAAGAGCAGGGATTACCCCGCCAAGGTCGCTTTGATTGGTGCGCGAGGCTACACAGGTCAGGCCCTGATTGAGTTGTTTAACAAGCACCCCAATATGGACTTGCGCCATGTATCATCACGCGAGCTTGCTGGCAAGAAGCTAGAGGGCTACACCAAGCGACAGATCACCTATGAGAACCTCTCAGCTGAAGATGTCAAGAAGATGGCCGAGAACGGAGAGGTAGACTGCTGGGTCATGGCTCTTCCCAACGGTGTTTGCAAGCCATTCGTTGATGCAATCAATGAGAGCGGCAAAGACCCGGTCATTGTAGATCTAAGTGCTGACTACCGATTTGACAACACTTGGACCTATGGACTACCAGAAATCGTCAACCGCTCAGACATCTCAGACGCTAAGCGGATAGCAAACCCTGGATGCTATGCCACAGCTGCTCAGCTTGGTATTGCCCCTCTCCTTGAGTTCATCGGCGGTCAACCTACCGTCTTTGGTGTTTCTGGCTACTCTGGAGCAGGCACCAAGCCCAGCCCCAAGAACGACGTCAAGAACCTCGAGAACAATCTCATTCCGTACAGCTTGACCGACCACATTCACGAGAAGGAAATCTCACGGCAACTGGGCATCGATGTTGCCTTTATTCCTCACGTTGCTGTTTGGTTCCAGGGTATCCACGTAAGTTTCGTCTCGTCTGACACATGACAATGCTGACGTGTTTTGCAGCACACAATTTCCATTCCGCTCAACCGCACCATGACGTCTCGTGACATCCGAAACTTGTACCAGGACCGCTATGCTGGTGAGAAGCTGGTCAAGATTGTCGGAGAGTCACCGCTCGTCAAGAACATTTCCGGCAAGCACGGCGTCGAAATTGGTGGTTTCGCAGTCCACAGCTCTGGAAAGCGTGTTGTTGTGAACGCCACCATTGACAATTTGCTCAAGGGTGCCGCAACCCAGTGCTTGCAGAACATGAACCTTGCACTCGGATACGGCGAATACGAAGGTATTCCCTACTAGGCGTCGGATCCTTTCAGAAAAATGGTCTTTCATTGAGTATGAACAAGGGGATTGGGGAAACAAAGTAGGGGCTGTTCCGGGAAGGGGGGCATAGTAGTTCAAAAAAAAAAGGAAAATATGAATTACAATGGCGCATCACAAATGTACTAGACAGGTTTCTTGGTTGGACTTGTAGATATATCCAATTCCACGTGTATTCAACACAATGCTTATAGTATAGGCCTGGACATGTGTTTTTTTTGTTTTTGACCTGTTCCACTTTGAAGAAAAGAGAAGCACTGCTTCGTGATACTGGTGGCAGTACATAGGTGGTGGTGATAACTCTGCTAACATGCACCTACGTAGATGAGCCTAGCCATGAATGTTGTTGCTGTGCACGTCATCAGACAGGGGGGGTAAACATGCACAAGCTGCAAGCTGCTCAAGAAAACAAAATTCCAGGCCAAAACTGTCCTAGTAAAAGACACACACACACACACACACACACACGGAGGCGTCGCACGCTGGACGCCTGATTTCCACCACAAGCACGTGTGTGTCTGTGTAATGTCCCACAGCACCACCAAAAAAAAGGCGATATGTTTTCCAAGTTTGGAAGATTCTTACCTCTTCTAGAAACAGTGCATTTCCGAATAGACGATAAAAAAACGGGGTTATACTGAAGGAAATAGCATGAGGCGATGCAGGTGGGAGATGGATATGTCACGTGCAGTCGTCGATCGACGCCGAAGGAGTCACACAGCCGCCATGTGTGTGTGTGTGCTCTAGTTTGACGATTCCGGTCAGCAGCTACAACGAACGTTTATTGAGAAAATGCAGTACACTTATTCCCCATGTATGTATGTATGTGTGCATGGAAATCATGAATGAATTTTTTTCCCCACAAGCTTTGAGGATTTGAGGAGGACTACGCGGGAAAATGTGCCAAGTAGTGGATTTGGGGGGGAAGGGACTTTGCCTAGTTGGCTGGCCGGACAACCCACCACGACTCTGATATATCCTACATCACGCACACACTACTACTCAGAGACTATCAACAGCCTAGAAATGATGTTTTAGGTAATGCAGATCGATGAGGAGACTTGGTAAAATGTTGGAAAACCTCCTTTTGGAACGGATACCATAGCCATAGGCCCCATATGGTGAAGGAGCAGCCGGCGACGACGACGTTGGCAGACAGACAGCTCCAGAACCCGATGCATCCAACGGTCTAAGCCTCCCCATTGGTCTCATGGGCTTCAAACCCGCCTCACTCCATGTGTTGGATGCTCACTACAACTTTGATGTAGAAGCACACTGGCACTCCGGTTTCCCAAAGTGGAAGTGCCTAAAAAGTGCTCTGGGCCCCTCCAAGTCATGCACTCTTGGACTCCAATGGACAATTCCAGTGTCTCCGGCCTAGCTGTGAGCTCTAGAGTCGATTGCGATATTTTGATAAGGCAACCGAGAGGAATAGTGGTGGATGCAGAGCCCGGGGTGTGTCAGGTGTGATTGGTCTTGGCGTGCTGAGCTTGCACACTTATACCTCGCACCGCCCACCTCCCACATTATCCCTCCTTTCTCCCCTCCCCTCTCTACACACTCTGCACACAAAACCTCTTCTCAAGGCTCGGAATAGCCTCAAGGTTCTTCCTAGACCATAGAGTAACACTTCCAACTCCTTTTTTTATATTAGATGCTGGTGGCTGGCCCGAGCTATCACCATGCCGTCGTCGTCACCAACGCCATCAGTCCAACCAGTTCCAGGTCATCCATTGCATTGGGAGAAACATCATGGCTACCGTCAGACAATGTACCATGATAAAGCCGGGATTCGGATTGCGGAATCTCGTCGTCGCTCCGGGGTTGCCGGCAAGGTCGAGCCATCAACGCAGCCTTATGTCGACTTCGTCCTTTATCCAGTGGAACACACCCAGTACTCTTCCAAAAATTGCTCACAAGACGTCTCGTATCATGCCGCACCAAAAACAAGGGCAGCAGCATCTTACTCGAGACCGCACGTGACTTCTGCCAAGCATTCGTCCATTAATAGACCAGAGCCAGCGATCATCCATGCGGCTACGGAGCAAAGCAGGACACTGTCTGGTGGAGAAACGACACCATTTCAGCTCTCTGGAGAGCCGACACCTCCTCCAACACCCCGAGTTGCCCGTTTGTCGACACCAGAGCTTGCTGAACTCATTGAAGCGCCCTTTTGCGAATGCGGTGTCGAGAGGCAGATTGTCAGGTGCTGTAAGACATGCAGCAAGGAAGCTGATCTTTGGTCTACGCAACGATGAGAATTTTCATATCGCAATCGAGTATGTTTCTTCGGGCAATGCTTCATACACTGGGGTTGTGTTCTGGTTCTCCGGTCTGGCTACTTGACAATTCAAGTTCACCTCTTGAGTAAGGAGTTAGAGGCCTTGGTTGGTTGGGCGTACTGTTTCCTCTCATCTTCATTTCCTTGCAAGGGTTGTCGGTCTTTTCCAGATGCTATATTTTCGGCTATTACGAGGCGTTCGGTGCATGGATCTGTCGTTCCAGATGTAGCAATATGCTGCATGTGCTTGTTGACTTATCCCGAAACCAGTTTATAGTATTAAACCGTATATTTTGATCCTGGTAGATCCAATTTTGAGCGGCTTATTCTTGAGGTCGTTCGCTTTCGACAACAAAATATTTGCCTGCCTTTCGCTCGGCTGAGCCCAGCACATCCCATTCTTCAACTTCCTTTGCGTTGACAGGCGTAGTGTCTCGCTGTAAGCGTTTATGATGACGTCCTACAACCTTCTCTTTGCTCAATGCATCCTTGAGCGTCTCTAATGTGATCTTTTGCTCCTCTTCTGCAGCTGCAGTCTCATCACGTATAGCCCGCAGAGGTTTTACACCAGTGGTGTCCACCTCCTGTATCTTGCCCACAAAATGTAGTTGCGCTGCCAGTGTGTCTAGCATCTTCTTCTCTTGTTCTGGTGTCTCTGGCGGTGGAAGGGCCGATAATCGCAGTAGGTGGTGGAGCTGTTGCGAGGTGACTTGCGGGGCGTCGGGAGCGCGTGTCTTTGGTGGGAGGAGGGACTCGACCGACCAGGTGGGCTCTGCAAGAAGTTGTTCTAACTCGTCGGGATGGATGCCGACATTCTTTTGTGGCTGTTGAGGCTCTTCGGACCCCTTGTCTAGTCGAAAGGGGGACTGTGTAAACGACCGTATTTGCAGATAGTGTATCGGCCTGCAAAGCTTCACAGTCGCAAACGCGCGGCGGCACGCCATGGTTGTTCTGAACCCGCACGAAGGTTTTTGCGATAAGCTTGCGGGATTATTCCGGATAGATGAGGTTTTGCAGTAGTCCAATTGATTCTATCGGCGGCCCCAGTTGGATGGTGAGGCTGAGGCGAAACGTGAGTGGTGCCGTCGTAAAGGTGGGAGGTTGAGGCAATGCACTAGCGCGGCGGGGGTCGGGCATGGGCCAACGTAGGCATGGGTCGTCATCGCTCGTTGAAACAGCAAGCGCAGCCACCACCTGTCTACAACCCAGTTTCAACACCTACATCTGCCTACACAGTTTCTTCTTGCATACACATCTTCTCGTACACTCAAGCATTCGCATACCGCGTGTCTAGCAAACATGGCAGGCGACCCAAGAGCATTGATGCGACAGGTGGGGCCTCCCCTCTGGGCTCAGCCACCAAGCAGATAACTGATATTGAGGTGACCCATTAGGCAGAAACATCACTGCAGAAGGCGTCTGGAGGCTTTAGTTTCTTTGGAGGAAAGCAAGACAAGTGTAAGGCTCTGCGGATAGCATATGAGTACCGGAATACTGATGCACGTGACAGACGAGGCAGCTGCAGAGCAGTTCATCGCCGCAGCAAATGCGTTCCGGATGCAAAAGATGGGTAGGATGCAGAAGCCCCAACAACACGGAACAGAACATGACCTATGTCAGTTGTCTTGAAATACTAACTGGTTCTAGGCAAGGAGGCCGGTGAGGCCTTTGAGAAAGCAGCATCAGTTCAACGCCAACACCTGAACGAGCCGGATGACGAGGCAAACACTCTTACAGATGCCTTTAGTATGGGCCACCAAAATCTTGCCCTGGATCCGCATGACTAATTCAATGCCAGAGGCCTACCGAAAAGATGACCCGGAAGCAGCAGCAAGGTGTCTAGACAAGGCCATCGCACACTACTGCAGCAAGGGCAACTTCCGCCGTGCCGCCACTCACAAGCAGAACCTCGGCGAGCTCTACGAAGTCGAGCTCGGCGACAAAATGCGTGCAGCAGCAGCCTACGAAGAGGCCGCTGGCTGGTACGAAAGCGTAAGTCTCGATATATTTAGATGTTCCATCAAGCAACAGATAGGATTGTGAGGCTAACACGTGACTAGGACAATGCCGAAGTAATTACTACCCAAACATTACCTAACTTTTTGGCCAAAACTAACCCTCACTCTCAGGCACTTGCTAACAAGCTCTGGCTCAAAACGGCTGACCTTATCGCCTTGGAGGGCAAAGACTACTACAAGGCGATTGAGCTCTATGAGAAGGTGGCAAAGGCATCTATTGCTAACAACCTCATGCGCTGGTCGGTCAAGGAGTACCTCCTCAAAGCCGGTATCTGCCAGCTTTGCACAGGCGACCAGGTCGGTGTCAACGCTGCGCTTGAGCGATACAGGGAGCTCGACCCCAGCTTCCAGCAGCAGAGGGAGCATGCGCTGCTTGTTGATCTTGCGGCTGCCGTGCAGGATGGCGACCAGGAAATGTTTGCCGACAAGGTATGTGATGATGGCTATACTGTAGAGCAAGTGGAGGCAAAGCAAGTGCTGATACATGGTGCAGCTATTCCAATTCGACCAGCTGAGTAAGCTGGACAAGTGGAAGACTACGCTCCTTTTGCGGATCAAGAACACGATTGAGGAGGGTGGCGAGGACTTCTCGTAGAGCCGGGTCTTGGCATGTTCTGTTCTTTTTCCTGGTGTTTTGCTGTCGGGCTCGAGTACGTGGCATAGACCTATATCTCAACCAAACTTCCTCTGGATGCGAGCGTTCAGTGTGACGAGATCAATCGCTCGGCTTATCATAATCACGTTGACATGCTGTGGATATGCAATGTGATTTTCAACAGTGGTATTTATATGCTATATCAAAGTAATACGTGCGTAGTGTGAAGGAAGTGTTTCTACTCAAGACAAGGCTTTAATTGAAAAGGGGAAACATTTCGAAAAGATTGTCCAGTGCCGCGATGGCTATATGATCCGTTCGTCTGCTTAGTTCAAGATGGGTAGTGTCATGCATGCTTACAGCTCCATGTTGTCGACAAAAGGCTGAAGACGTTCCTTGAGATCATCAACATCAATCTCCTCACCCTGCCAGAAGATTTGCTCGCCATTGGCGGTCTTGGGTGGGATCAAGACGCTAGAAACGCCGTGGATGACACCATCGCTGGCAACACCGTCGCTTACAGTGACGTGCGCGAAACCATTGATTCGGATTTCGACAAAAGGTCCCCAGCTTCCAACATCGACTGAGAGGTACTTGTCTTTCAACAGGGTAGCAAGGTCGTAGTGGTAGCGAGATGGGTGGGCATCGCCATCCTCGTCGTCACACTCTTCGTCATCGTCGTCCTCGTCGTCATCTTCGTCGTCATCCTCATCCCACTCGCCATCATCGTCCCACTCGTCAGCACCATCATCCTTGTCGGCAGCGTAGTTCTTGTTAGCGCCATCCTTGTTGGCACCATCGAAAAAGGCGTCAGAGTAAAGGGTCTGGTCGACAACAATGTGGTACTCGAGAAGAGCCTTGAGGTACTTCTCACCGTACTTGGAGAAGAGGAAGGCGTTAGCACGATGGCCAAGCCTGGTGAAAGCAGAGTTGCTGGGTGCAAAGAAAGTACCGCCATTGTGGTCATACTCGGTACTGTTCATCAGGTCAAAGATGCCAGTCTTTTCGAGAGCAAGGTTGAGCGTGCTGAATTCGCCGGGGAGCAGGCTGATGATGGTGGCGACGTTGGGAGGAGGCACGAGGATGCTGCTGACACCGTGCACAACGCCGTTGGTGCCAAAGATGTTGACGGCTACAATGCGGCTGTAGAAGTTGATGGTAGGGCCCTTGAGTGAGACTTTGACAGTCAGACGCTGAGCATGTCCGAGGTTCTTGCTGGTTGTGTACAGCGTAGGGATGGTGTAGCTATGTAGAACACGACCAGCAGGGTAGAAGTCGTCAACGACATGGTATAGGAGGAGGTCCTTGAGGAATTCCTTCGAGGGCTGAGGGTGATGCTTGGGAATCTTCTCAAAGGCCTCATCTGTTGGTGCAAAGATGGTATAGTTGGCCGCAGTGCCATTGAGCAGTTCAACAATGTCATCGTACTCGTTGATCAGCTTGGCCAGCTTTGTTGTGTACTTGCTCTCGTTGATGAGCTCGTAGACTGTTCGGTTTGGAGGACCGCCGTGGTGAGGAGGACCGCCATGGTGAGGAGGGCCACCATGGTGGGGTGGGCCATCATGGGGTGGGCCATGGTGTGGGCCATGGGGCGGGCCGTGGTGAGGGCGATGATGATGCTCAAAGCCGTCGAACTGGGCGCTCTCTAACCACGCCTCGGCGTCGAAGCCAGCATTGTGGACTTTGTTGTATGCATCCTTTGCAGTGTCTTTGACCTTGCTGAATGCACTGTCAAGGACGCCCTGGGCGTTGTCCAGAACCTTCTGAGAATGGTCGGCAAGCTGCCTTCCCGACTTCTCAATGTTTGCAAATACATTGGGTTCAGTGATAACGAAAGCAGAGGCCAGGGGCAGAACGGGCACCACGCGTGAGAGCCGCATGTTGGCGGGACAATGGAGGTGATGAGAGTGGTAGACAGGTGCTGCTGGTTGGGGGGGGGGGGGGAGGCGAGGTACTGGTGTTCGGTCAATGACCCACGCTATGCGGAGCCGAGTAAGCAGCGGATGAGTTAATCGACTGCAATCAACTTGTTGGATGGGCGTGGAAAAAAACAAACAAGTAGTGGCTGTACTATCTGAGGCGCTGGTCCGCAACCGAAGCTGAACGAGGACAAAGGAGGTGTCCAAGGCGACGCAGGAGATAAGAGTACTTGAGGCGAGGCCGCGCAGTTGCTGCTAGGCTGCAGCAGAAACGAGGACGCGTCAGTCAGTGTTTCCCCGCGTTCCGCCATGTCAGTGTGGCGGGTAAGATGATTCGAAGACGGCCGGCGCTACGTCACGATACCCTTGCAGCTCGTCATTCTAAACGCCCCAGCGTATAGCAGCGCCTGTGTCGAGCAGCACCTCGAAGTAGCGCCTCGACTTGGCTGTGGCGAAGCAACTCGGTGGGGGCTTCATCTATACAAATCCGTGGTGCAACATGCACATGTGCATTCGAGGCCGCGGCCTGTGCCTGTGAAACAGCCATCACGTGATACCGCGCTCGAGTCGACCGCCTCCCTTTTCGGCCTAGCTGGCTAGGCTGGAGCGGATTTGCAGCTCTCATCCGATTTGCTCTCAACATCTGCTCCACGCCACACGTTCCGAGGAACCCGGCAACCGCTAGCTACATGCACATGTACAGACTCTTGGCTACGGATCAACGACAATCAAGTATCGCATGTTGATCTCATGGTTATTTGAAGGACTGACCTCGCAGCTATATTCTCTCCCTCTCTCTTCGCACACAGCAGATGCATTGCTGCTACGGCTGCAATCAACGCTTCATCTTGACGCACCGATCTACGCGGCAAGAAACTGTGACGTTATTTCCAACTCGTCACCATGCGTCAGCTTAACTGCGTCCTCTCACTGAGGCACAATTCCAGGCCTGTCACGCTTTCAGACTACCGCCTTCAAAATACCGCGTACCAGACATTGGGTCAAGCGCTACGACAAGTGGACCCCGGCAATAACGTTGTAATTGGCCATGAGGCCTTTTTTTAAAGCTGTGGTCAACAAAACAGGCTTTTTGACAAGCTTTGGTCAAGCTTTGCAAACACTTACGGAGGTGGAGGCATCCATTCCATGTCCACGTTCACTGGTGCAAACAGGCGGGTACGAACGGATGCATTGTGTCGTCATGCCTCTTCGTATCCTGACGTGTACCGCTCTCCATGTATTTCTACTATAATACCTCTGCTTGAATGATGCAAGATTTACAGCAAAACTAAACCCCTCGACACCCATTCCTCCCTCGACAGCCTCTGATCATGGCCGGACTCGCAAGACACGTTGACACGGATGAGCTCCTGAAGACGCTCAAGGACCACCCCATACACAAGGCTGGTGGACGTCATGCCGCCAATCGAGCAACTTCCCATGTCACGCCCTACTCGAGCCGGTACGCTGCTGGCACCGAGCTATCAAAATTCAAAATTCCGCATGATGGCGCACCCGCCGACGTTGTTCACCAGCTACTCAAGGACGAGCTTGACCTGGACGGACGACCAAGTCTAAACCTCGCCTCGTTTGTTGGCACCTTTATGGAGAAGGAGGCCGAGCAGCTCATGATTGAAAACCTGTCCAAGAACATGTCGGATGCCGACGAGTACCCAGCCATGATGGACATGCATGCCCGTTGTGTGTCGATTATTGCCAATATGTGGGGTGCGCAAAAGGGCGAAAAGGCCATTGGATCGGCTACCACGGGGTCCAGCGAGGCCATCCACCTCGGTGGGCTGGCTATGAAGCGCCGATGGCAAGAGAAGAGAATGGCAGAGGGCAAAGACACTTCCAAGCCCAACATCATCATGGGCGCCAATGCTCAGGTCGCGTTGGAGAAGTTTGCGAGGTATTTTGAAGTCGAGGCCCGCATTCTTCCTGTCAGCGAGGCATCCTCATACCGTCTTGACCCCAAGCTCGTCAAGGAGAATATCGACGAGAATACCATTGGTATCTTTGTCATTCTAGGCTCTACCTACACTGGACATTACGAGCCTGTCGAGGAGATTTCAAACATCTTGGATGAGTTTGAGAAGAAGACTGGCGTCGACATCCCGATTCATGTTGACGCAGCGTCAGGAGGCTTCATTGCGCCCTTTACCCATGCCAAGGCGGGCCAGAAGTGGAACTTTGAGTTGCCACGAGTCAAGTCGATAAACACCAGTGGTCACAAGTTTGGACTCGTGTATGCTGGTGTTGGGTGGATCATCTGGCGCGATGAGAGCTATCTACCCAAACACTTGGTGTTCGAATTGCACTATCTAGGTGGAACTGAAGAGTCGTATACACTCAACTTTTCCCGACCGGGTGCACAGGTCATTGCACAGTACTACAACTTGATTCATCTGGGCTTCACGGGATACCGCAGCATCATGGAGAACACTCTTGCAAATGCTCGTCTGTTGAGCAGAGCGTTGGAGCATACGGTAAGAATGCTTCTGCAGGCAGACCTCTGACAGTTGCTGATGTTAACATAGGGCTGGTACCGCTGCGTCAGCGATATTCACCGCAAAAAGGGAGACTTCAAGTACGAACCGGGCAAAGAGCAGTATGAAGAAGGGACGACGAGCGAAGCTTACAACGCCGGTCTGCCAGTCGTGGCATTTTGTCTTACCGACCAGTTCCACAAAGACTTTCCTCACGTCAAGCAAGAAGCCGTCAGCAACCTGATGCGTGCCAAGCAGTACATTATTCCCAGTAAGCAAAGCGCGGCTGGAGCTATTGAAGCAACCCCTTGACTAACCGCAAACAACAGACTATCCGCTGCCACCGAACGAAGAGAAGACGGAGATCCTTAGAGTAGTCGTCAGAGAGTCTCTGTCTTTGGACATGATCGACAGGCTGGTCACGGACATTTGCAGCGTAACCGAGATGCTCATGAAGACGGATGCCGTGGACCTGGCCGCGTTCCAGCCCGGATCGAGCCCGAGTGTCGAGAAGCAGCATGCGAGCAAGGGCCTCACGAAAGAGCACAAGCACAAGGCGCAGCGGTCGTCGGCGGATGGCGTGTACCGAACCGTGTGTTAGCGACGAAGATCCAGATCTACCGCTACTGCCGTATTTAGTGGACATGGTCGTCTTGATCTGCAAGGCGGCTAAGAAGCCGTTGCAGTGACGAGGCGGGGAGGGATAACCGGTATGCGGTAGTGGTAGACTTGTTTTGCAAATCGTCGGCAATGCGAGGTGTAAATCAGTGATGGCCGGCCCCGATCCAGTGGGTTGTCGGCGAGAAGGAAAAAAAAATGGAATATTTTTTTTTGGTTCACATGAATCAGGTTGCTGTCTACTGGCCCCATAGTAATGACATGTTGCTTCTTAAGCCAGGGCTGATAAGAATGCGCCAAGAAGGGCAGTATACTTGTCTGGGGTTGAAGAGTTTTGCTAGTCCAGGCAGAGTTTCAAACAGGAGGGGGTGAGGTGAGGTGTAGATTGACGTGGCGAAAGCATGTATGTAGATGTGTGACGCAGTGATGTGCAGGTAGGGTTTGGCTAGAGCCGATCAGGCAATTGCAGTGAATCGGGGAAGCGTGGCACGAGACCAACAGTTCTAGGCCAGCTGCAGCTGTGATATTTCAGGTGTCTCAGGGTCCGGTTTCAGGCTGGAGGCAAGGCGAGGAGGGAGGGTAGGAGGGTGGATGGGTGGATGGGTGGATGGGTGGATGGGTGTGAAGGCGAGGTGGTGTGCCTTGGTAGCTGCCCATGTTGCTCAGGGCCACTTTCCATGGTTTGCAGTCCTGTCTCGGAAATGGAAAGGGCGCCCCACTAGTGACGAGCAAGATTTGATGCAAGATAGATATCGTGCAGTGGTCGGAGAGGTTCCCACTTCCCCCCCCCCTCCTTCACCTCCGACCACGACCACGACGCCGCAAGCCGTATGACAGCCAGCAGCATGCGCAGCCACTTCTGTTGACTGCCGGTCATTCGATGCTCGCCCGTTTGCCGGAACACGACAGTGTTGTTGTGCAGCATATGGAGAGGGGCTTGCAAGAGACGTGGTACGGCATTATAGAGGATGCGTGCGTGGCAACGGGTAACGGGCAACTGGCAGCTGGTGACTGGCAGGCTTGGAAGAGATGGGTGTCGTGATGGGCAGCCAATTTGGGCGCGGTGCACGTGTGGGATGGCTGGATGGCTGGTGGTACCTTGCACACGATTTCGGCTCCAAATCGACGAGTATCGAGATCAGATCAGGACGGGGGGCGGCTGACTTGGGGCGGCGCTTGGGAGGGCGCCAGCATGGACGGGCAGCTGTGCAGCGGCAGGCGTCGAGTCATCGTGAAGAAACGTCGTGCGGCCTTACCGCAGGCGGGCTGGCGCGGGCATGGCAGGACTCGCGATCGCGCTGGTGCTCGATTGCAGCGCGACATCGCAGCGTCCATGGCGGAGGGCGGGCGGCGTCGAACGCTCGGCCCGGCCCAAGTCGCGCGCTCGCACGCTCAGCATTGCTCGCACTCGCCTCGCACTCGCTCGTTTGGCGACCCTGCAGCCAAAAGAGGGCCCAGCGGTGGCGGCGCGCTAAACCGGCTCCAAACGTCATAACACCCCCCCCCCCAATGAACCCCCCCAATGACCCCCCCTGGCCAGCGATGCTGCAGCATCACCAATCTCGACCGGATCTCCTCAGTGTCGACCACCTGCACCCCTTGCGGTGGGGTCTGCCCTGATATGGCCCTGGCTGACAGATGACATTTAGGCCTCTCTTTAGTGTCCAGCCGCCTCGTGCCCTAGAAATTTCGATGTGAAGCTCCATTGTCACCCTCCATCGGACCATGACGTCCTGAACCACGCACCCAGCCAGCCAGTCGTTTGTTTCTTCCTGTTCTCCCCCTCTGGCTTGCTGGCACCCGCCATGCCTCTGCGAGTCTCTCTCTCTCTCCGCCTCCTCCATGCTTCGTAACCTTGATGTTACGCCGTAGCTGTTCCTGGCCGCCGTGCAACACCTGCGACTTGTTCCTCTGCTCCTTTTGCTCGACCCGTGCCTTCAGCGCCTACAGCCCAGAGCCCCCGAGCATGTCCCCCCGGGTCCCTCGCATCCTCTTGTACATTCTGCGCCGCGATGTCCGCCTCTCTGACAATCCCGTCTTCTACTCGGCCTCGTTGCTTGCCAGCCGTCCGAGCTCAACTTCATCGTCGATGTCCGATCGGCGGCATCGCGATGATTCGCTGACTTCAGAGCACGGCCGCGCAACCTTCACCCACCTCTTGCCGGTATATATCTTCCCGGCCAACCAGATCGAAGTCTCGGGCTTTCTCTCTTCCCCATCCGACAAGTCGCCTTATCCCGAGGCGCGGAGCCAGCATGCCGGTGTCTGGCGAACAGGGCCTCACCGCGCAAAATTCATAGCCGACGGCGTTTGGAATCTCAAGACCAGGATTGCCGCTCTCAAGTGCGGGTCCGCCCTGCAACTGCGTGTCGGAAAAATTCCCGACGTGGTTTCTGATATTTTGAACTGGTACAGTCAAGACGACAATGACGGTGTAATCAGCGGCCTGTGGATCACGGGCGAGGATGCCACAGAGGAAAAGGGCGACGAGGCGAGCCTGAGAAAACTCGCCGAGCAGCACGGCGTAGAGTTCAAGGTCTGGGACGACGAGAAATACTACGTTGACGAGTAAGTAAATGCGCTGCAGACAATGACGTAAAGCTAGAGTAATTCTGCTAACTCAAAATAGCCGAGATCTGCCATACGACAACATTTCAAAGTTGCCCAACGTTTACACCACATACCGCAAGGGCTTGGAGCCACTGCGCAACCGGCCCAGAAATACCCTCCCCACCCCTGAGCAGCTGCCCCCGCTGCCCCCGAGCATACCGCCCCAAGCCCCGCCTTTTACCATCCCGTCGACACTCGACGGCTTGAAGAAGGCGCTACTCACTCCGCTGGAAAAGGATCCAACCTACACCCTCACATACCCACCGCAATGGCCGGCGGACGTTCAATCAGCGCACCCTTTTTCGGGCGGCGAGACGGCGGGCTTGGAGCGAATATCACACCTCATCACAACAGGCGCAATGAGCTCCTACAAATCGACGCGAAACGGCATGCTGGGCCTTGACTTTAGTACCAAACTTTCGGCCTACCTTGCGCAGGGTCATATCACAGCACGACAAGTCCACTGGTCCATGCTGGACTTTGAAGAAGGACGGGGACCAGGCGAAAAGGCCCAAGGCTACGGCAAAGGCGAAAACGAAGGCACGGCTGCTGTCCGCTTCGAGCTGCTGTGGCGAGACTACATGCGTCTTTGCATGCGAAAGTTCGGATACAAAATGTTCAGTCTTTACGGCATCCAGAGCTGCGAGCAAAAAGACGAAAAGGGTCCCCGCGAACACCGATGGAAATCACTCAAGAAATCATGGGGTGCAGGTGACGACCCTGCAAAAACACTAGAAGCCTTTCAACGCTTCCGTTCCGGCCGAACCGGGGTCGGTCTTATCGACGCATCCAACCGCGAGCTCTTTGTCACGGGCTACACGTCGAATCGCGCGCGGCAAAACGTCGCTTCGTTTCTGTCGTCGCACCTGAAAATCGACTGGCGCGTCGGCGCAGAGTGGTACGAATCCTTCCTCGTCGACTACGACACGGCGAGTAATTGGGGAAATTGGCAATACGTGGCGGGCGTCGGCAACGACCCACGACAGGGCCGAGTCTTTAATCCCGTCAAGCAGGCCCTCGACTACGACAAGCATGGCGAGTACATCAAAGCCTGGGTACCTGAACTTCGCGGCCTCAAATTGACGCGCTCCATGGGCCAGGGCAAGGAGGAAATCGACCAGCAGCGCCTCATGGGCTTGTATCAGGCGTGGAAACTGAGCGGTTGGGAAAAGTCCAACCTAGGCCTCAAAGGCATTGATTGGGTGGAGCACCCGCTTACTCGCATACAGTTTCAGGTTGGCCGTGGACGCGGCGGACAGGATGGACGGCCCAAACGTGGAGGGCCTGGTGGCGGTGCTGGTGCTGGTGCGGCTAACGGCGGTGGCGGCGGCGGCGGCGATATTCCCTGGCGTGGAAGAGGAGGAGGGGGTCGTGGGCAAGGAAATTATCATTCCAAGCGGAAATGCGACGAGCAAAAGTGGCCGAGAAAAGATGATGGACCTACCATTGTAAGTAGTGTGCAGCGGACTTGACGGTTGGAGAGGAGGAGCTGTTCCCCGAGGCGTGAAAGTGTCGTGTATGTAAATAGGCTTGTTGATTCCCCTTGTCGATATACGCTTTGCATTTTTGGCGTCGTCGCGTCGCATCGCATCGCATCGCATTGCATCGTGTGTAATTCATCCCCCAATTAACTCTTCAATCATAACATTGCTGTCTCTACTTCTCAACTACCTAAGACTGTCTTTTCCTTTCCACATATATCCCAAGGCAAAGCGACATTGCATAAAAGACGTTCGCTGTATTTCACTACATGGTCTCGCTACAACATTCCTGCATTCTATCATAGACGTCTTCTCCAAAAACGTAGCATCGCAATGCTCCAATCAGGTATATCCGCCCAGCGCAGAAGCCAACAGACACGTCAAACATGGCCACCGATTTATTGCGCTCGTTGGGCGCGCGCCTCAGCGGGCGTGGGTCCGGCCATGCGCTTGCTCCTACAAGGGGGCGTTAGTTATGTTGCGCGCGCGCTGAATTGTCGAGCTGATGTGCTTACATAAAGGACCTGCTGATGAAGGAGATGATGATCATCGGCATCCACGAGGGCATCTTAGAGAAACCATACGTCACGTAGCCGTAGGGCAATGCAAGGTTATAAGTCTGCATTGTGCCGTTGAACGGGTGGAAATGGCCCCAGTAAGGCTCAATCTTGAGGATCTCGTTGCCAATAATGAGCTCCTTGATTGTCTCGCTCGTCGTCGTCGTGCGGTTCAGCGTCGTGTAGCGCGCGACGGGAGTCTCGCCGGCAGGCTGCATCTCGAAGAAGTACAGCGACGGGGCGTGGATCGACCACGAATTCGCCAGAACGGGTTGCTCTTCGGAATCCAGGTATACAAATTTAGGCGCATTTGGCATTGCGGCAATGTACGGCAATGAGTCCTGGGTACACGTCAGCATCAGAAATGGTCCATGGCGACGCATATACGTACGTTCCATGCCTTGGTGACGTTCTCACAGAGGCCAAAGCAAGTGTTGTTGCCTCCAGTGGTGAATACCAAGACGTTTTGCGCATCCGTTGTCAGGACATCCTTCCACGTCTCCAGGGTCAGTGGGTGCTGAATAACCTCGATGGCCTCGACTTTGGCGCTCTCCGTGGCGGCAGCGGGGGCCGTCGAGATGGACGAGGATGCAGCAGCTACAGCAGCAGTCGCCTTGTTGAAGAAGCCCTTGACCCTTTCGAGAAGAGGGACTTGCGCCTCTTCGGCGACAGCAACAGAGAGCGCTGGGGCGAGGAGAAGGGCTGTTGAAACGCGCATTGTGGTGTTGAGGGAGACGTGTCGAATGGGAGAAGGAGAGAAGGCGGCAGCGGAGCGATTATGCCTGTCAGGTCAGGGTACTACAGTGACCGTGCGCCAGATGGTCATGGTCGCCAGTTGGACACCCCAACAACAACAATATAATTAAAAAGATGAGGCTGTATAGCCCCCACAAATCGTAATGAAATTGCGTAAAGCTAGGATTATACTATATATAGGCCTATAAAAGTTTTAGCTTATTTAGATTTTTTTTTAGAGGGCGTTATTAGTCAGTCTCGTCGACTACGCGGTATAACAGCTAGTGCACCTCTTGCGGCTCTTACTATAGCTAGAGCAACACTACTACGCTTTTAACGCTTTGTAGCTAGCTTATAAGGTTTTAAAGCTTTGCGCTTACCTTTTTAAGGCAATTATATAGCTTTTTTAGCGTCGCGGAGGCTTCTACAGCGCTCCTTTTTAGCTTGCTCTACAGCCCTCTACTTTCTACTCTCCTCCTAACCCTTCTCTTACTTAACACGCTTTATAGCTTTAATTTAAAGCTTATAATTATAATTTGCCTTCTTAATCTTAGCTTACTTAGCTTTTTAAAGCTTTTTAAGCTTAGCTTGTTATTATTATGCCTTCTAACAATCGCGGGATCGTTGTATACTCTTAGGCGACTATATTTTAGCTCTCCTATAGTAAACCTCGTCCTTATTAAGCTAGAGGGCGAATAACTGCTTTAGTTGCCTCTTCTTAATAGCTAGGGACTGCCTAAGGCCTCTAATCTCCTTATAAAGTATACTATTTTAAGCTAAGATGTAGTATAAGCTTTATTAAAGCTTCTTAACGTCTTTACTGCTCTAATCCTTCACCTTACGGTGTATAATTAATTTAAGCTTGAGCTAATCGTCTCTAGAGAGGACTGACTGGCTGCTTTTAGAATCTGAAGCCTCTTTGGCAAACCTCTTAAGTACAACGTCTAGGTTGGCTGGCTGTATACTGGTGGCTTTAAAAGACCTTTTAATAAGTTAAGGCCTGAATATAGAGGTCCAGGACCTCTAGAAGAGCGGGAAGAAGTCTCCTTTGGTTAAATTGAGCAACCTCTGGCTGTCCTGTAGGTATCTAGATAACTAAGTTAAGTAAGTGTTACACGGGGGTCGGCTATACTTCTCTGGTCTCGTTCCGGGTTAGGGCGAGTAGACTTAACTAGCCCCACCACAAAGTGCGCGCGACCACAAAGTGCGCGCGCGCCTTACAACCACCTCAACCTCAACGCGTCGTATCCCCACCACCATGGCTAATATTGAGGCTGCGCTTGCAGCTATTAATGCCCTAGGACCTGATGAGCCTTTTTCGTATACAGATATTGCAAAAAAATATAGTGTTGTTCGATCTACGCTTACCCGAAGACACCAAGGCCTACACACCTCACGCGCGATAGGTGGCCAAAAACGGCAGCTCCTCCACCCACAGCAGGAGCAGGCCCTAATCGCCTATATTAATCGACTAACAGATAGAGGCTTACCACCTACTCAGGCCAATG